GAACAGGAAATAAACTTGGTATTTGCACTGTACATGATCCAGAAGTTCTGAGTGCATCAAAGAGAAATGACTGAGGTGTCATAACAGCAATTCCAGAAGCATGGCCTAGATGGAGACTTGAAGGAGTTCAATTATAGGATCAGCACATTATGGCTAGGAGAAGAGTGCCCTGTGGTCTGAGAGAGCAGACCTAGCCTTGAGTACCAGGCAGTGTCAAGGCAATCTGGGTCACACCTGAAGATGAACTATCTTGGATCCACCTCCATCCTGAACATGGTTAATCCAATGCAATTCTGTTGACAAATACATAACTGTCTACGAAGATTAGGCAGCAGTCCTTGTTTTTAAGGAAGTTATTGTCGGTTAAGTAACAGATGGCATAATGATTTGATGAGAACAGAAAAATGTACAGACTACTTTAGTAGTTGAGAGAAGGAGCATTTCACCGGAGGAGGTCTTCTGTGAGAGAAAGCTCAGATGAGTGTTTGAAAGATGGAGTTAGGTGAAAACAGGGCCGAATATTGGGAGGGGACAGTGTAGGCTGAAGTATAGTCTCAAACAGTGTGAAACTAAAAGCCTGGAGGCTGCCCACACCTGTAATCCCAGTGACTTCAGAAGCTGAGACAGGAGGAGGCTGAGGCAGGAGAATCGGAAGTTCAAAGCCAGCCTCAGCGATTTAGTGAAACCCTGACTCAAAATTAAGAGGAAAAAAAAAAAGCAAAAAGGACTGGGGATACAGCTCAGTGGTAAAGCGCCCTGGGTTAAATCTCTAGTACCAAAAAAGTGAAACTAGTTGAGTGTTCGCCTATCTTATTAGTCTCTGGAAGCCAGAGTTTCTTAACCTTGCACCATAGACGGTTTGAACTGGATGAGCCTTTGCTGTGGCGTTGTCCCCTGCATTGTAGGATGTGTAGCAGTATCCCAGGCCTCTAACCCCTGGATGACAGCAGCAGCAGCACCTCCCCCGCCTCGGTGGTGGAATCTATACAGGAGGGCAGAATGTCCCCTGGGAACAAAATCACCCTGCCCAGATGCTCTGACCTGGTATGAAATCTAGTTAGATTAGAATTAGAAATGTACATTCTGGAAGCTGGTGCCTTTGTATGTTCTTTTAAATTCCTTTTTCATTGGTAAAAGTTTCTTTTGAAATCCCAGTCTAATAACTAAAAAGGAAAGGAATTTTTTTCCATATTTTGTTGAAGATAGAAAGTGATGTAACCAGAGTTCTAGATATGGTGGTGACAGAACCTAGGGAACTGGAGAGAGGATAAGTACAGTAAACCAGAGTTGGAGGTAGATGTTTTTCCCCCCACTCATTTGTAAGCTCATCCAGCTTTAGAACTCCTTGATAGTGCCAACTCTGTCTCCAGATTCATCCCACAACTTAAGATATGGAAAATCTGAAGGTGGGCAGGATAACATGAAAATGATTACATTCCAGATATCTCAGAAAACAATGTTTAGGATTCTAGTTGTTTGTGCCCATAGGGAAGACAGGGTCTGTGCTATGATCTTCTAGTGTTCAAAAAATCATTCTAAACATGGTATACAGTTCCTTTGCAGAATAAGAGGAGAAAAGAAAATTTAGATTTCAGTAGAAGGACTTTAGAATTAAATTAAAAAATGAGCAACTTAAAAATGTATGCCAGCCTTTACATATCTATAATCACCCCTCGGTAGACACAGGGGATTACTTCCAAGACTTCATTACACATCAAATCCAAGAATGCTCAAATCCCTTAGATAAAATAGCAGGATATTTGCATATAACCTATACAGGTCCTCCTGTGTATTTTTTCAATCATCCCTAGATTACTTACAGTGACCTACACAATCTAACTAGTAGTTATACTGTGCTGTTTTAGGCAACTAAAACAAAAATAAAAAGTCTCAAGTATTCAATACAGGTGCAGTTTTTTTTAAAATTTTCAGTCTGCTGTTTGTGAATTCATGGGTGTGGAGCTCACAGAGATGTATTTTAAAAGTTGTTTGTAAGGACTGGAGACTTAGCTTAGAGGTCGAGCATCCGTTTGTATGCATGAGGCCTGGATTCCATCCTTGTTGGGGGACAGGGGGTTACTTGTATATGTATACATGCATACACCTGTGTATTTGTATAATATATACATGTGTATACTAGAGTAATAAACTCCAGTTAATATAACCTACTTTCAACTCTGCTGGCTAACTTTCCTAATTATTTAACATTAATACTCATACAAATGTGAAAGTGAGGCCAGAAGTTTTGAGAAGCTATAAATTTGATAGGTAAGTAGATACACAACTGACAGGTAAAGTACACTATAAATCCTATTATATTAAAATAACATTGAGGGGTGGGGTTGTGGCTCAGTGGTAGAGGGCTCAGCACCACATAAATGTAAAATAAAGACATTGTGTTCACCTAAAGCTTAAGAACAAATATTTTTAAAAAATCACATTGAGTTAATGAATTTAACTGTAAGATGTTAATTCATTTGAGAGGAGTAAAAAATAGCAAGAACCATATTAAATTTGGAAGAACAGACAAAATGTGTAACATGCTAATATTTACTGCTAGAGGCTAGTTATAGTTCAGAGTCTTGAAACAGCCCCTTTGGAAATGGAAAGCTCCAAATTGTTCTAGGTCCCAAACTCCCTCAGGCTGAGAATGGAAACTAAAAGATTATTCCGGCTGGAAGGCTGGAAAACTGGCTTCTTCTCTGGCCAGCAGAGCCTCGCTCCATCTACATATGTACATCTCCTGACTTTTTTTTTTTTTTTTTTCTATTAATTGTCACTCCTTCCGTAGGACCAGGGGAGAAACGATCCGGCTGCTTCCCAGTTTAATCAAATTGCATTAAATTCATTTTTCCTTTTTCCATAGTTGGCTTATTTCTAGTTGTGGGCAGGCAGATAGCCAGGATCCAGGCAGGTTCCCCAGTTTGGCTGCTGGGAATACTACCTGGGATGTGTTTCTAAAACTTCTCAATAAATAAATTTTGCAAAGAAAGCAGACTGCCCAGTTTTACATTTGTCAAATGTTTCTGCTTAATGTTAAAATTAACATTGATTCAGTCAAAATGCACCCAAAACAGGTGTTGTCACTGGGCTCATTTTCATTTGGGTCCTTGCTATTGCCAAGGTGTGAACTAGTTTGGCTTTGATGGAAGCACTTGAGAATTTAGTTTCACTGAAATGTGTTTATCTGGCTCCCAGACATGATTTTACTTCAATAGCCTTTCTGTGCTTAGGTTATTAAGAGCCACCACTATCTTTTATTTACTAACATCTCCCCAGTGCCTGGCACTCTAAGTCACACAGTGAATACTGTGGGTGAATGATTGAAGGGTGGCCCTGTCTGCAACAAACTAGACCCAGCTCTTTACCCAGCTCAGTGCTTTTTCCACTTCATTATCTTTTATTGTTTGCTTTGTTTCCAAATAATGGGTTTAAATCAGTTTTATCTAAGTGTGATCTCAGCATGTGTGAACAGAACATCATGTTATGAATGAGAGTCAGTACTATTTTGGGGGAAAGAACAAATGCATCCTCACCTGCTAGTGCTTTTGAGAAGTGTTAATTGGGAGTAGATTAAAAAGTAAAAGGTATTCTACTTGGGTGATGGCACCATTTTAGATGTGATTTTTGTGACACATAAAGGCAAATTTTTTTTGCAAAGTAGAGTATTAAGGCAGCAGTAATAACTTGTGAATATAACAGGATATTAAACTGAGTATGTTTATGAATCACTGTTCTCTTACATAAAATTCCTTAATTTGTACATTAAGACATAAATGTCTTCTGTTGATCCAGTGTGTAAGAGCATACACAACATTTTCACGGCTCTGGTATGCAGTGGACTTGTTATGTTTAGTTGTGTTTTAAGTTCCCCTGGACAAAGTCTCTTTCTGTCCTCTCACTGTGTCCCCTGAAGGTGAGCAGCAGTGTGTGATGTGGAGGAGTTACGTAAAGAGCAGTAGTTGCACAACAGGGGCCAGTTGCAGTCTGCTGATGAAGTGACCTGAGTTTCCTTCTAGCTCTGAAACATCATGCTCATCAAATACTGAGTTATCTTAGAAACCAGAATATTTTCAATACTTCAGGCATTTATTTAACATTTTGCACAAAGCAGGTGGGTACATGGTGACTAAAAAAATCATGGACCCTGCTATTGATGAGTTTACAGGTGGTCTCTGGTCTCTCCTCTTTCTCATGAGGACTTTAAAGTTAGGTTCACTGAGCCGGGGATATAGTGGTAGAGTGCTGACCTAGCATGTGTGAGGCCCTAAGTTCAGTCCCCAGCACTGTGAAGAAGAAAAATTAGGTTCGTGGATGGTGGAATATGTAGTTTTGTTTTTGTTTTTGTTTTTGTCTTGCACTAGGGATCAAACCCTGGGGCTCTCGACCCAATGAGCTACATCCCTGATACTTTTGATTTTTTATTTTGCAGGTCTTGCTCAGTTGCTGAGGCTGGTCTCAAACTTGAGAGGCTGGCCTCAGTCTCCCCAGCAGCTGGGATTACAGGCGTGCACTGCCACGCCCAGTGAATATATAGAAATTTTGCAAAAACTCTTACTATGATATATATGGAAAGATGTCATTTATGGTTATAAATATTGATAAAATCAATGTATACACAGATATCTACTGAAGCTCATATTATAAAACTTTATTATAAATTTCATTTTCCCAACTGGAAGATTATCGTTATCATTAAGTTCCATGTTCAAGGCAAAGCTTTGGAATTAGTTTCCAAACTATCTCCATTATAACTTAGCTTGTTGTTAGTGAATCACAAAAGTATAAGTAATTGACAAAGATCAAACAAGTTTCATGACAGATTTATGCTGTGACACTGTGGTAATTTTCTAAATGTTAAATACAGAGTAATACAGAAAGCATAGTAAAAATTATTATATTGGTAAATCTTTGGGTTTTTGAAATTTGGTAATGGTTGTTAAAAGATATGTATGTGTAACATGTTTGGTTCATTCCTGAATTTTTCTTCTTTATTTCAGGCCCTAGAACAGTTTTCTTCTGGGCTCCAATTATGAAATGGGTAAGTCTGAGTTTTTGCAGCATCTACTGAAAAAAAATTTCCTCATTATGATTTTATTAATTTGAGGTAAATTTTATGAAAATATACTTTATTATTGGTATACCTCTAACTGATTTTTTGGAAAATATTCTTGGGTGTATCTTTTACTACACAGAGGATGCCACCTACTTACATCTTTCTGAAGTTCTTAGATAACAGACCTTTTGGGAAACATTTCCTATCAGAATATACAAGCCAGGAGTGATGATGCTTACCTGTAATCCCAGGAACTGGGAGGCTGAGGCAGGAGGAGCGGAAGTTCCAGACCAGGCTCAGTGATTTAGTAAGACCCTGTCTCAAAATAAAAAATTGAAAGGGCTAAGGATTGTGCTCAGTGATACAGTGTCTGTGGGTTCATTCTCCAGTGCCAAAAAGTAAAAAATACAATTGTGGGCCCCTAGGAACATGCAGATTCATCCTAAAGTCTTAGGACAGGGGTAAGGATATAGCATTTGAGAGGGCCTGGGTTCCATCTCCTGCTCGGCAAGAAAGACAGAAGGATCGCTTGAGCCCAGGAGTTCGAGGCCAGCCTGGGTAACATTGTGAGAACCTATTTCATCAAAAAGAGTAAAAAAATTATGACAAGGAAATCATTAACCTAGGTAGAACCCCCAAACCAACTTTTCTTATTAACATAGTAGATTGGTGGTACTGAAAGCTTACTCCTAGTCCCTGATGCTGATCCAATAGCAAGGACAGAGTTTTGAGAAAAAGGAAACAGAAGTTTTATTGATTTACTAGAAAATGAGAAAATGCAACAGGCTCACATGTCAGGCAGTAATTCTAACTGCCAGGGGAAACAGAGGGCTTTAAAAAGGGAATACAAGGATACAGAACTTTATTCCAACTAACTAATGAATGTTCAACATATGTCCTTGAGAGAGCTCTTGTTCCAGTTTGTAGGTTTGGAGTTTTATTTTGTTTTGCTTGGTACTGGGGTTTGAACCCAGGGGCTCTCTACCACTAAGCTACATCCCTAGGTCTCGCTAAATTGCCCAGGCCGGCTTTGAACTTGCTGTCCTCCTGCCTCAGCCTCCCAAGTCACTGGGATTACAGGCCTTTCAGCATGCTAGGCAAGCCCTCTACCACTGAGCTATATCCCCCACCCTGGCATATGTTTTTTAATAAGTAAGAAAATACTAAAAGAAAGAATTTTACTCTAAGCCATCTCATAAGTATTTATTCTAAACCTAGTGAAGATAACCAGATGCCAGGAAAAAAGTGTGGGCTTCAGGCATTTGAAGAACATGTTTTAATTGATGAGAGTAGGGGAGCTAGCTTGAGTCTGCCAGATGTCACATGTCTGTGCTGGATTGCTGAACACAGCTCTTGTTCAATCTTCATCCAAAAAAACTGTTTTCCAAATAAGGGTTCTGGGGTTCAAAGAACAAGGTGACCACAGATGCTAATTTTAGTAGGTGACAGAGTCAGGATTGAATATCCAGGTCTGTTTGACTCCAAAGCCTTTGCTCTGAGCACTTCCATCATCTTTAAACAGAAACTGAGTCTGGTGCTTTCTGAGTGTGTTAGGGAATATCTCACATAATCCTGAAGTGAGCACTTTCTGAACCTGTGGTTCTATTACATGAGTGAAGTTCAGAGTGAAGTTGACAAGGAGCACGGGAAAGATGCAGAGAAGAGCACTCCTTTATGCAGGCACATAATTTCATTCTATCATCATGTCAATCTCGCAAGGGTAGGCAATAATAATCTCATTTTACTTGTGAGGAATTTAAGATAGGTTAATGTAACCAGATCAGAGTCATACAGCTAGTAAGAAGTGGAGATTAGATTCACAGTGAGATTTTGTAAAATAATTTCTATGAGATTAGAATGTTATAGAAGTAGACGGGGATTTTTTTTTTTAAATATGGGAAAGACAGGCATGGTAACCATGTCAACCACTTGTAGTACCAGCCAGGTTGGAGGCTGAGCCAAGAGGATCACTTGAGCCCAGCCTGAGCAGCATAATGAGACCCTGTCTCAAAAAAGAAAGAGAGACGGGGGAGGGAGGGAGGGAGGGAGGGAGAGAGAGAGAGACAGAAAGGAAGGAAGGGAGGGAGGGAGGGAGAGAGAGAGAAACAAACCATGGGAAAGGAAAATCAAGACCTTTGTGGGACACAACAATTACTAATACCCCAGGAAATAAAATGTGTGCTGGGAACATAAAAAGTCATAAACTGCTGGCTCTTTCCAAAAGAGAATGCCAGAATACCACTCAGAGTTTCCGTGGACATGCTCAGTGAGCCACCCCCCTGTGTTAGTCCGTTTGTATCACTGTGCCCAGAACACCGGGCAGGAACCACCCCAGAGAGGAAAACTTCATTTTGGCTCATGGTTTCAGAGGCCTCAGTCCATACACACCAACGCCATTGCTGTAGACCTGAGGTGAGGTGGAACATCATAGCAAAAGGGTACCACGGAGGAGGGCTCTCAGTCATGGCACTGGGAAGCAGAGAGAGAAAGGAAGGGGCCTCAGGGAGCAGGCCCCAGTGACCACTGCCTTCTCCAGCCGTGCCCGCCTTCCTACAGTTAGCACCCAGTCAGGCCATTCAAACTGGGATGGACTGGTTGCGCTACAGCTTTCAATCCAGTCACTTCATCTCTGAATATTTCTGGAGTAGCACTGGAGTTTTGGGGGTAGAGGGGAACCTCATATCCAAACCACAGCATACAGTGTAATGCATGGATCCTGCAGAATAATTGAAATTGGTCCCTTTGTTCCCCTGATAGGCAATTTTCCACCCTGCAGAAGAGGTAGAACAAATAAGGAATAGAGAAAATACACATTGGGGCCTGGAAGGAGGGTGTAGGAGGGATAAGTTTTAAAGTAGAGTCATTGCTTTCTTGAACTACTAGATTCATTAATTCAAAACAATTGGGGCTTGTTTTAAGTTTTTTTTTTTTTTTTTTAAGAGAGAGAGAATTTTTTAATATTTATTTTTCAGTTTTCGGTGGACACAACATCTTTATTTTATTTTTATGTGGTGCTGAGGATCGAACCCAGTGCCCCGTGCATGCCAAGCGAGCGCATTACCACCTGAGCCACATCCTCAGCTCTTGTTTTAAATTTATGTATGGACTCATAAGTATTTCTGTGTTCTGTTAAGGAGCAGAACCTTTTGCTGATTTCTATTTTTCATACAAAAGCATCCTTTAGCAATTCAGTAAAAACCTGAAATAATTTCTTAAAAACATTCTCTAATAACATACTTAGAATTTGCTTAAAATACTTCAAGAAAAATGAGAAAAAGAAGGAGGGGAGGTAAAATCTCAATAATTTTTAACTCTGGGTCTGAATTTTTCATTAATAAAAATTGTTTTATTTTGTATTCTATTCTCTGCAAGAAAGTAGCTAACTAATTTTCTAGTGAGGACTTGTTATCTTCTCTGAGTGACACTGATGGTGGAACAGAGTGGGATAATTTACAAAGTCAGTATTCAAAACCTAACGGAAGAAATGACCATGTATACTTTGATATTGAATGACCTAGCAAAAAAATTAAAATCATAACAGCTTTTCTGATACTTCCACATTTAAAAAGAATAATGGGGCTGGGGTTGTGGCTCAGAGGTAGAGTGCTCACCTAGCATGTGTGAGGCCCTGGGCTTGATCCTCAGCACCACATAAAAATAAAACAAAGGTATTGTGTCCACCTTCAAACAAAAATAAATATTTTTTAAAAAACAGAATAACATTGACAGAAAATTGAAAAACATTATGCCACGCTTATTATGTCTTTTTTCTTTCTACGTGTATGTGCATTTTCAGGGGTTGGTGTGTGCTGGATTGGCTGATATGGCTAGACCTGCAGAAAAACTCAGCACAGCTCAATCTGCTGTTTTGATGGCCACAGGTAATTAAATTAATATCTTTCATATTCCATGAACAACATAAGTTATTTTGTTTTTGTTTCACATCCGTTTATTTAACAATTTAATTTTAAAAATATATACACACTCTTAGTACTTGCAAAGGAATTTAACAGTGTTATCTATCTCTAGGAAGTCACTGCATTATGCATGGAGGGGACAGAGAAATGTAGCTAGACATAAGTATCAACATGGGTTTTTGTTTCTCACATTTTTGTCACAAACGTATTTTTTTTATTCTCAGGAAAAAAAAATTAGAGTTAATATTCTCTTGTGCTGTAAAGGTTCCCTGTAGCATAAGAACTCGGGATCGTGGGGAACACTGGATCAGAGACCTTTTTGAAGATTAGATCAGTATTTCCTCCTTCCTCCTACATCATTGTTTTGCCGTAGTCCTTTTGTATCTATTTACTCTAATATGAAATATTCAGATAAGTCATTGCAGCAGGAGGTATGCTTTTTAAACAAATACTTTGTTTCAATAGGGTTTATTTGGTCAAGATACTCACTTGTAATTATACCAAAAAATTGGAGTCTGTTTGCCGTTAATTTCTTCGTGGGGGCAGCAGGAGCCTCTCAGCTCTTTCGCATTTGGAGGTAAGCCTACCGACTTTCATATCTGCTTCAGAAGCTACCCAGATGGCAACATAATTTTTTTAGGATTCACATATAATGCTAGGACAGGAATGTGCCTGAAGCAGAAATTTAACATTTCTAAAAAAGTATGGTTTACAAATAAATTAAAAGCAGTTACACAGTATGTTTCCTAGCTTTTAGACCTAACTGCATTGTCTACATGGATAGCCCTTTTATACAGTCCCTTTTATTATTAAGACAGCATCTAAAGTGTGAGGCTTATAAGTAATTTCCAATGTAAATCTCTGATGATTCACATTCAGTAATATATATAAGGCAGGATTTAAGTGTATGAAATTTTGAAAATGACATTTAGGGCAAAGTCACTGGTTTCATTGGGAAATATTTCAAAAGCCCTGGAAGTTTTTTAAGCCATTTACTCACCAGTAAACATTGTTTGTCAGTGACTGATAATATGAACAAATGTTTGCAATCAGGATCTTTTGGAAGTCTGTGTAGCACAGTAGGCTTATGGGATAAGTTCCTTCTTGAGCTTAAACTATTTTCCACTTGTTGTAAGCTGGGAAGGATAGTAAGTGAAATCCAGAGTGTTATGGAGGAGAGACTCTGGCTCAATTTTCTGAATAATTAAGAAAATTAATTAAGATATTGAGAAAACAGTCCTTAGTTTCAGTAAACATAACCTGTTAACCTGTGTTTAAAAAAAAAAAAAAAAACACTTCTAGTGACTAAACTACAACCCATTCCCAATTGATTTTATTGTTAAATGCTTACTGAGTAAGTGACAAATTCAAGTTGACCAGATTCTAATAAATTTTATGCATATGTTCACGTTTGTCATAGTCTTGTATAGCCCAAGAGTGAAAATATTCATTAAAATAATACTTTTGCACAAGAAACTATATGTCATGTAAGATGTTGAAACTTCTTGGCAGTTGGGATCTTATTATCTGCGATACAAATCAAATGCAGATGAGCCCTTGGATCACTTCTGCCTGTTCTTATCTGGTTTCTGGGAAGACTGTTGGCAACTACACAGCCACCTGACCACTGGGAAAGAGAAATGGAATATGCTTCCTATTCTCTCCTTACTATAAATTTATCTATTATTACTGATGGTTATTTTTCTTTCTCTCTTCTTTATAGATATAACCAAGAACTAAAAGCTAAAGCAATCAAATAAAAGAGTTCCTGATCACCGACCCTAGATGTGGACATAACCACTGGGACCTAGCTTATTATTTGGTTATTTTAAGGCATTGCTGGCTGTGCTGACATTTGAAAGGCACAACAAAAATCTTGCTGAAACTGGTAGCTAGTGCTTGATTCCATAGAAAATAAAGTAAATTTTAATAACAGTCTTCTCTTTACACATGACTTAGGGAACTTATCTGTGGATACTAGGAATACTTTTTCTACCATCTGTCCATAATAAACCATACTTGGTCATACATCCCATAGCCTGCGGTTTTAGTCAACAAAGTATGTATATAAAAGAACAAACAAATTGAGCAAGCTAAAAGACCACTGAAAGGCTATGTGCTCTGCTTATTTAGTTTAGGATGGTCAAGTGAAAGGAAATCGTACTGAGGAGGATGAGAAATGGGTGGTGGAGTAAGCTCACAGAATGACTTCACACTACCTGAGAACATTTTGACCTGACACGAAGAATCTGGTTTTATTTATTTATTTTGCATATTATGTGAAATTTTTGAACAACTATAGGATTTTCTTTCTTTTTTTTTGGTGGTGAGGGTGGTGGCCCAGGGGCACTCTACCACTGAGGTACATTCCCAACCCTTTTTATTTTGAGAGAGGGTCTTTCCAAGTTGCCTAGGCTGGCCTCAAACTTGTGATCCTCCTGCCTCAGCCTCCCAAGTCGCTGGGATTATGGATGTGTACCACCACACCTGGCTACAGCTACAGATTTTTAAAATAGTATTCTTATAAAGATCAGTTGAGATTTTGTTTTGTTTGGTGTTTTTGGGGGGAGAGGTGTTTTGTTGGTACAGGGAATTGAACCCAGGGTACTTTGCCACTGAGCTACATCCCCATCCCATATTTTATTTTATTTTATTTTGAGACAGAGCCTTGCTAGGTTGCCCAGGCTTACCTCAAATCCAGTGAGGTGATATTTTAACACAGCACCTGGGCCATGAAGCATGTTAGATGTGTATATTATATTCTGTAACTAATGTAACATAGCAGGAAGAGCTGAATCAGATGGCCTGAATCTGAACCCCAGTTCTGTGATGGATGAGCTGTGGCTTGGAGCACTGAGTGCCTAGCAGAGTGTCTGGGACCCAAGGAGGCTTTCTGTGTATGTTATAACCTTCCTCCCCAAGGTGAGGAGAGACGGGCATGGATTACTCCACACTGGAATTATGCAAGTCTGTTTGATTTGGGTTTCAATTTTGGGTGGGGGGATAACTGGGGATTAAACTTAGGACCACTGAGCCACACCCCCAGCCCTGTTTTGTATTTAATTTAGAGACAGGGTCTCACTGAGTTGCTCAGCACCTCACTTTTGCTGAGACTGGCTTTGAACTCACAATCCTCCTGCCTCAGCCTCTCAAGCCACTGGGATTACAGGCGTGAGCCTCTGAGCCCGGCTTTGGCTTCAATTTTGAGTACAGAGGTTTTTTTCTAAAAGTTCTAATAAAGTTGACCTTCGTTAGAACTATAGTCATATGAATAAGTAAAGCAAGTTATTTCAAAATTTGAATAAGCGAGACAAAATAACTTGATAGATTGAAAATAGGGTCTTGCACATGCTAAGCACACATTCTTGACACTTGGGTGTCCCAGCCAAAGAACTTTTTAAATTAGTGTAATATACTATGACTGAAAATTGGCAACTAGCAGTTGAAAATCTTAAATTTTATCATCTACCCCTTCACCATAGTCTATTTTTGAGGAGGAAAAGAGAAGAGATTTTGACATAAGCAAAAGTGAAGAGGTTCTCAGCTGTCAGATCATTGCCTTTGTTTCATAAACCATACCATTAAATTCAGCTATTTGGCATATATGTGTTTCCAAGGTGAAGCATCTAGGAAAAACATGAAATGGGGCATAGAAATGAAAAATATATATGTTGAATTGATATTTTACTTCCTTTTCATGAAAACCTGCTCTTTCCTGTGATCTCCAAAGCACCCTTTGCCAGTCAAATTGTAGCATTTAGCTACAATCACAAGCAGTCCTGGTATTCCTCAAGTCATCCACAGGACTAGGGTGTAGCTCAGTCACTTGCCTGGCATGCACCAGGCCCTGGGTTTATCCCCAGCACCACAAAAAAAAAAAAAAAAAAAAAAAAGCATTTGAGGTGGGGAAATAGAGGTAGGGCTCTTGTCTAGCATGTATGAGTTTGATTAAAAAAAAAAAAAAAAAGATGGGGAGAAAGAATATTGGGGCTGGGGTGTGGCGAGTGGTAGAGAACTTGCCTGGCATACATGAGGTCCTGGGTTCCATCCCCAGCACTGTGGGGGGAAAATATTAAAAACATTGACAATTCATCTGTCATTTCTGCCCCCAAACGCTTAATCTCTCTCATTATTGAATCTTAAAATTTAAATGACTCTAAAATGTAGCCTGTCAAAAACTCTTATTGCCTCTTGGAACTCATAATCTAATGTTTAAATACACATTTATTTTTAAAAACTCAGAAAGATTTATGTACTGGAAGTTCTACTCTGACTATAGATGCTGAACTCCATGAAACAATCTTCCACAGTGGTACAGATCACTTGATCAACTCAGTGTAGTTGAATTGAATTCTCTCACAATTTTCTAACAAGTTCTTATCTATGGCTTTATTTAATAAGTTTTGTCAATGCCAGGTCTGATAGCCATGGGTTTCAACTCACCTCTACTACATAGGACTGAGATTTCATTAACATTTGTCTCTGAGATTGTCATTTTTATTTTCTTTAGGTACTGGCTTGGACCCAAGGGTACTTTACCCCTGAGCTACATCTTCGAGATTTTTTTACTTTTGTTTTGAGACAGGGTCTCACTAAGTTGGTGCAGTTCTTACTAAATTGCTGCAGTTGGCCTCAAGCTCAAGACCCTCCTGCCTCAGTCTCCTGAGCTGCCAGGATTAGGCATGCACCATTGCCCCTGGTGGATTTGTTATTTTCAAAAGTAAAACAGGAGGGGGCTGGGGGTATAGCTTAGTTGGTAGAGTGCTTGCCTTGCATACACAAGGCCCTGGGTTCAATCCCCAGCACCACACACACACACTCAAAAGTAAAACAGGAATAGTAGTACTGACTTCATAAGATTGTTGTAAAGATGAACTGAGACAGTGTTTTAGCACAGTGCCTGCTTCATGCTGAGTGTTAAAAATATATAGAAAATTCAGAAAATAGTAAACTTAATTGAACATAGACTCAAAAGTACTTTTTTAGACTTAGCAAGTTTGGATTTAGCTGCAAAAAATATATATATATGCCTTTAACATATCCTTTTTTGTGGTTTGGCATTCATTTCAAGGAAATGTTGATCCAGATCACATCAATGCTGCTATTTCTTCATAGTAAACAGGATTTTTTTTTTTAATTTTTTATTGTGGGTTGTTCAAAACATTACAAATTTCTTGACATATCATATTCCACACTTTGATTCAAGTGGGTTATGAACTCCCACCTTCACCCCATACACAGATTGCAGAATCACATCAGTTACACATCCATTGATTTACATATTGCCATACTAGTGTCTGCTGTGCTCAGCTGCCTTTCCCATCCTCCACCCTCCCCCCTCCCCACCTCTCCCCTCCCCTCCCCTCCCCTCCTCTCTCTCTACCCCCTCCACTGTATAACCCTGAGGGTCTCCTTCCATAGTTGTTAAAATGACAGTGAAAGGTTGGATGTTAACCTAGGATTGATCTGAAAGCCAAGGTTCCTCTTTAAAGGCAAAGTCTCTACTAGAATTTGTTTGTATAACAAAACAAATAGAAAGCCCTGGCATTTGCTAAGACTGGCTCCCTCCCTAAGGGGTCTATTTAGTTACAGGAGGTATGATTCTAAGACTGGTTTTCAACTTATACCACGTGTTAGCTTTTCATTGCTGCAACCAAATACCTGACAAAAACAACTTAGACTTACAATGAAAGGACAACAATAAGTAACTTAGAGGAGAAAAAGGTTGTTTGGGCTCAAGCTTTCAGAGAGGTCTCAGTCCATGGAAGACCAACTCCGTTGCTCTGGCCCAAGAGGAGGAAGAACATGGTGGAAGGACCTGGTGGAGGGAAGCTGCTCAGCTCATGTGTCTACCTGTTGAGATCAGAGCCCTCATCACTGCCTGCAAGTCCTATCTATCTCTGAACCTTGCTGCAACCAGGACCATGCTTCTAGCACATGATGAGTATTTAGGAGTATTCCAGAAACAAACCATGATGAAATTCTACTCAACAAATATCATTAAGTGAACCTTTTTTTCCTCAAGGCAACCATGTTTCACAACATTTTGAAGTGCATGGTAAATTTAATTGTAAGGCTGGATTTACTTGATAACATTTGAGTTTTCAATTATATTTTTAATTCAAGTTTTTAAATGTGCCCTTAAAAGTTAATTATTGTGATATTAGTAAGAACAGCTAGAAAATCCAAACACGCTGTTAGAAAATATACCACCCTCTGAAAACATTTTGCCAGTGTCACACTGGATTAAGAAAATTCAAGCCAGGCACACTGGCGTACACCTGTAATTCCAGAGACTGGGGAGGCTGAGGCAGGAGGATCACAAGTTTGAGGCCAGTCTCAGCAACTTAGTGAGACCCTGTCTCTAAATAAAAATCAAACCCAGTGGTAAAGCACCCCTGGGTTAAATTAGGGTAAATTTGGCTAGAAGCATGCATTTCAGAAGTATGTAATTCCTCAATTTAAAAAATTTACCTCTCTGAAATGAAGTATTGAATTATATATAACTGGGACATTCTGTATTCCTAGTGCAAGCCATAATCATAACAGTGGGTGCCCCCTATCTGAGGTGAGTGCCCCAAGACCCCAGTGGATACCTGAAATCATCTGTTATCTTCCTGTACATCATACCCATGATAAAGTTTAATTTATAAATTAAATATTTATCACAGAGATTAACAACACCTTATAATAAAAATTGTGTGTGTGTGTGGTCTGTCTCATCTGCCATGGAGGAAATAGCATATACAGGGTGGATACTCTGCACAAAGTGATGGTCCTTATCTCAGGACAGAATAGGGCAGCATGAGCTCCATTGTGCTATGCAGACTACAATGTAAAAACTGGGACTTTGTTACTTCTGTAATTTTCTGTTAACATTTTCGGGCTGTAGTAGACTACAGGTCACTGGAGCTCAGAGAGCAGAACCACCATAGATGAGGGATAGCCACGTTGTCTAAAATGAGGCGCTTGCTCCCTCAGGAGCCACAGAGGCCAGTCTCACTAAGTTGCTGAGACTGGCCTCTGTGAAAATCTGCTCTTGCCTCACTTTAGTCACCCTCCATGTGGTCAGGAAGAAAGCTGTGGAAACTGCTTTGGGGGTGACATCAGGGTCCCCTTTCCCCACTCCCCATGTCTAGCCTGTGCTGGATCCCTGGGCCACTCCAAGTGGCGGGGGAGGGCAGCCAATCAGAAGCCTGCTTGGGGCACGTGCAACAGTGGACTTCAGAGGAGGGTTGGCCTGGAAAACGGCTTTCGGACGAAACTGTCATTTTATTTATGGACCAGCTATGGACAGACATGGCACTTCTACTGTCTTCCAAATAGTGTCACCCAGCCCCTTTCACGTCTTCTGCACTCCTGGAAGATGCAGTCCCTGAGTGGGCTCTGGCTTTCCTCAGCCTCGGAGAACAGAGGTATGTGGAAGCAGGAGTCTCAGGACGAGGGTCGGGACAGAGCTGAGGGCAGCCATCTGGGAAGGAGACGGGCATTGGGGTGTAGAGGAGCCGGGACAGCCGCGGCTGGCCGTCAGGCTTGTCGGGTCTAAGTGAGGGTGGAGGTTTGAGGGCTTAAGTGCACCCTGTGCTCTGCACCCTGCTCACCCTCTTGGCCTCTGCCGCCACCCCTCAGTCACAGCCTCTTCCCATCGGTCACTGGATGGCGCCTACCCACATGAGGGTCACAGGAAGACGCCTGGGAGAAACACCAACGAATGTGGTCTCAACAGGGAGCTGACAACTCAGGAAAGAAACAGGAGCAAAGATAACCAAGGACACTGGTGTAGGCAGTGAACCACATAAGCTTAAAAGCACCAGACCCCACAGCGGCTCAGAAGAGAGCGTGGGGCGCTCGAGGCCAGCAGGCCGTCCTGACCCTGCCTCCAGCCTGCCCAGCTCCTCGCCACTCTCCAAGCAGGACCATGAGGATTTTTTTCCTTGGACTTAGGATTGAACCCAGGGGTGCTCTACCACTGAGCTATGTCCCCTGCCCTTTTTATTTTTTATTTTCAGACAGGGTCTTGCTAAGTTGCTGAAGCTAGTCTTGAAATTGAGATCCTCCTGCCTCATCTTCCTGAGTTACCAGGATTACAAACATGTGCCACCATGCCCAGTTGGCATGTTGATGAAAAGTTGAACATAAGCCGAACTGTTTTTGAAAATTCTAGAAGAGATTTAGAGAAACAGAGGATAGTATCTATCCCAAACTTCTCTGTAATTTCCATACTGAGACTGCTGAGTCTTCCCTAAGCAGAGCAGAACTGCAGACACGTCCCTCTTGCTGGCCACCCTGGGGCCTCGCTCACATGCTCAGTCCTTGACTTGGTGTCTGCGCGCCTAGATGCGTTCATGCTTCCACAGCACCCACTCGGATCCCGCTCTCCTCTCACTTCTTCAAGTGGCCACACAGTTGTGGAGAATGCCATCCGTGTGTTCAGCGCGCTCTGAGATGGGATACACCTTTTTTCTGGGCCGTCACATCCCCAAAGTGTCATAAATCATATTCAAATGGGATTCCAGCCTGAAAGAGAGGAAAGAACATGGACTCTCACTCCCTCAGACCCGAGTTCTCCAGCTGTGTGACTGGGGCAAGTCAGCACCTCTGAGCCTGACTCCGTGCTGCTTGGAGGGTTAAATGAGGTGACCTCATCATGCAAAACAGTCTTAACAAATTATGATTACAATGTGCTCTATGTCATAGAAAGTACATATCTCTGTCACTAAAACCATGCCCTAGTGTTGCAGAACTTAAGATAGGATTACTCTAAAATAGAAAATTTCTCGTATCATCTATAGGTGGCTGTTCAGAAGAAAAACTCCCAAATATTTTAGATGTGTCTGCTTTTTTGTCAGGGGCAGGGAGGGACATCAAGGATTGAACCCAGGGGCACCACTACGGCCCCAGTGCTTTTATTTTTTTTAACTTGAGACAAGGTCTTGCCCATGTTGGCTTCAAACTTGCCATCCTCCTGCCTCAGTCTCCCAAATCACAGGGATTACAGGCATGGCCACCACACCCAACTAGATGTCTCTGCTTTTTAAGCCCATGAACAAAAATATTCTTTCACTTGTCATTTCAATCAAAATGCATCTGGTTTCCTTGCTTAGTATTCATAAACTTAGAAAAAAATCTGTCCTCAAATCACTTTTTTTAATTGTTTTTAATATTTATTTTTTAGTAATAGGTGAACACAATGTCTTTATTTTACTTTATGTGGTGCTGAGGATTGAACCCAGTGCTTCACGCATGCTAGGTGAGCACTCTACCTCTGAGCCACAACCCCAGCCCCTCAAATCACTTTTTTTAAAACAATGAAGTTGTTTGATGGTGTACAACTGTAATCCCAGCTACAAGGGAGGCTAAGGCAGGAGGATCTCAAATTTGAGACCAGCCTCAGCAACTTCAGGAGACCCTGTCTCAAAAATAAAAAATAAAAAGCACTGGAGATATAGCTCAGTGGTAGAGCACTCCTGGATTCAATCCCAGGTACAAAAACAGAAAAGGAATCAGCCATCATCTCTTCCCACTAACTTGTAAGAATGGCCTCTACCCTCACAGGCAGGCAACTAGGCAATCTTCCCAGCTGCCCAGAGGGGGTGTTCATCTTTACGTCATGTGCGCCCAGGAACTGCCAGTCATCGATCCTACCGACCTTTCCGAGGAAATGAGTCTTTCCATGCAGCATTCAGACTCAAGCCGTAGGTCCACATGGTGCCTGTGAAGAGGGGTGGAAAGATGCAGTGAGGCTGCTTGTTAGGGGACCATGTCTGGAGCTGGATGCGGAGGCGCACGCCTGTAATCCCAGCAACTTGGGAGGATGAGGCAGGAGGATCTCAAGTTCAAAGCCAGCCTCAGCAATTTAGCAAGGCCCTAAGCAACTTAGTGAGACTCTGTCTCTAAATAAAACATAAACAGGGCTGGGGGTGTGGCTCAGTGGTTATCCACCCCTGGGTTCAATCCCCGGTAAAAAAGGAAAAGGAAAGGAAAGGGCATGTCTGGGATATATTATCCTAAGAATTCACTCATTTTCATTTAAAATTCAACTTAACTGGGCATCCTGTATTTTCACTTGCTCACGCTGGCAATCTCACAGGCAGGCAGTAGCCAGTGGGAACAAATTAGAGACAGTGCGCCAGTAGGACAGGAGGGGACACTGCACCCCGCTCAGCTCCTCGCGGTCGTCTCAGTTCTGGGGCTGCTCAGCACACCTACAGGGGCCTTTCCAGGGCCTCTCTGGCTATAAGATATAGAAGGCCACTTATTCCTCGATAAACTTACTCCCTCCACCAGAGAAAAATTGCCAGCTTTCTTTTCTCTCTTTACTTTTTCCAGGAACTTGATTTTTTTTTTCCTTTTGGTACCAGGGATTAAACTCAAGGGCATTTAAACACTGAGCCACATCCCCAGCCCCTTTTTCTTTTTTATTCTGAGATGGGTCTTGCTAAATTGATGTATGTTCCAATAAACTCCTTATTGTTTAAACCACCTTTTAAAAAGAAGAAAAAAAGAAGTTCATCAGTACGCCTTATCCTCTCTAATTCCCACGGCGGAGAACGCTGAGACAGAAGCATGGAGGTTGAGCTTTGTCCTTACTCCTCGTTGATTTCTTTGCTCTCAATAAAGCCAAAGAATCCCTCTGAAGTTTTCTTAACTTAAGCATTTTCCCTAAGTCTGAACTGAGTCTGGACGTTCAGTTTCTCACACCTTTGTTTTTCTTTGTTCATTCTGTGGATCAAACCCAGGGCCTTGTACATGCGGAGCATGCGCTCCATCACTGAGCTACATACCTGGCCCCCAAATTTCCCTTTTAAAGTTTACCGAATATCTAACATGTACTACTCATTTTTAGAGGTTTCCATAATTCTAAAGCTTATCTGTTAAAAATACTAACATTTTCCTTAACATTAAAAGAAATTGCTCAACTCAGGAGGCTGAGATAGGAGGATCACAAGTTCAAGGCCAGTCTCTGCAACTTAGTAAGGCCCTAAACAACTCATTGAGACCCCGTCTAAAAAAAAAAAAATTAAAAAAGGGATGGAGATTGTATCTCAGTGGTAAAGCCCCCCTCGGTTAACTGTCTAGTACTCCCATCCCCCCAAAAAATAAATTGCTTCCCTTAAGTCTAAGGAGCTTATGTGGCGGGCTTACTCTTTCCTTTGAATACTCCTGCATCCCAATATGACCTGATTCTGGTTGAAATTACCAACCGGTTCCTTCCTGCTGGCCAGAACGAAAACAAAAGTGACCACTTTTCTTTCCTTTTCTGTAGTAAATCCTCTTGTTTCAGAAATTGGTTTGCTCTGGAAAACCTGGAGCACTGTTACCGTCTGGCTGGCAGAGTTGGGCCTGAGCATCTGATCTCCCCAGAGTGAAGGAGGCCCCGGGAACCCTGCTCTCCTCCGATCCCACGGGCGGGGGCTGAGACTCCAGCTCTGCCGACCTCCAGGCTGCCTTTCCCAGAGCCTCGCCCGCTCAGGCCTCCCGGGGCCCCCGAGCTGCCACTCTGTACTGGACACTGACCTTGACGCATGCGACTTCTTGCCTGTGCATTAAATACTCCACATTCATCTACAAAGAAGAAAACTCACCTTCACTGTGGTTGTTTGTGGTGCTGGGGATCGAACCCGGCCTCGCACACTCGAGGCCGGCGCTCTGCCTGCTGAGTGGCATCCCCAGCCCCTCACACCTGTACTTTTATCTAATTTTTCAAAAAAGGAAAGATATAAGACAGGAAAAAGGGGGAAGGGACGGATGCAGGACGACAGGAGAGGGTCTGGCCAGGGGAACCGTCTCCCAGGCTCGCGAGGGGCTGTCCCGGCGTGGAAGTGACGGCCTTGCTGCGATGGCAGGCGTGTGTTTGGGCAACGGCTGTTTGGGGTTGGAGGGCCTCAAGGTCTGTGAGGGCTTTCCTGCTGCACTCAAGGGGGTCCTTTTGAGATGCCACTCACCCACTCTGCCACTGTCACCACCCAGCCATCTAGATAAGCAAGGCCAGGTCGGAACAAAGCCGGTGAAGAGCAATGGGCCAGGTGCGGGTCGCATGCCTGAGGCAGGAGGATCCCAAGTCTGAAGCAGCAACTTAGCAAGGCCCTAAGCAACCTAGGGAGTCCCTGGGATGGGGCTCAGTGGGCAAGCACCCCTGGGTCCAGTCCCCAACACCAAAAAAAAAAAAAGAGAATGAGAAATAGGAAAGTGAGCCACGAATGTGTCAGACTCCACCATCCCCAACTTTTCTTCCTAGAAGGCCTATTTGAGGACCGTCTCCTGTCACCAGGAAGTCCTGAGCACTTGTCCTGAGCATGGGCACCGGGCGAGAAGAACTGCAGGACCGGACCATCGTCAGGATCGCGGCTCACCTCCCCGACCTCATCGTCTACGGACACTACTCTCAGGAGCGACCCTCTGTGGACTACTTCGATGGAGTCCTGATGTTCGTGGACATTTCAGGCAAGTGCTGAAGGGGCCCTGTCCAGTGGGCCTGAGCCTCTGGGCTGGCTCTCTGGTCCTCAGCACCTCAACTGCCAGTCGTGGGCAGAGCTTCAAGAGGCCCACGCCCCACACCAGGGAGGGGACTCCAGGCTCCAGCGTCCCTACTCCTGTTTCACTGACTCATGCCCCAACCCCACTCCCGCTCCTATCAAAGCAAACTCAGAAATGATGGCCCTCGAACTTGCCACTTCTTCAAAGGAGTTGAAATGTGTGTTTTTATTCTCCTGGAATGAAAGTTCTATTCCCAGTTACAGGAATTGCAGCCATCACTGTACAAGTTGAGAGTCTGAAAAAAAGAGCCATCTGGAACCTCTCCTTGGCCCCTAAGATAATGAACACAGATAGAGGAGGCTGCATGTGTGACACCTGACCAGCCAAAAGATCATTAAGAAGAAACTCTGAGCCACGTGCAGTGGTGCACCCCTGTAATCCCAGAAAGCCGGGGCCACGCTGAGGCAGGAGCATGGCAAGTTGGAGGCCAGCCTCAGCAATTTAGTGAAGCGCTCTCTCTCTCTCTCTCTCTCTCTCTCTCTCTCTCTCTCTCTCTCTCTCTCGGTACTGGAGATTGGCATTTACCATTGAGCCACATCCCCAATGCTTTTTTGTATTTTACTTAGAGACAGGGCCTCACTAAGTTGCTGAGTCTGGCTTTGAATTTGCAATCCTCCTGTCTCAGCCTCCAGAGCCACTGGGATTACAGGTGTGTGCCACCGCACCTGGTGTGGCCCTTTCAGGGGATGTAGCTCAGTGGCCGAGTGTTCTGGGTTTAACCCCAGTACCAGAAAAAACAAAAAGGAAAAGAAACAAACAAGCCCCCTGCTCTCGAGCGCAGCCATGGTCCGCATCTTCTAGCTCAGCTTGTGCCTCCGAGTAGCCAAGAAAGCCAGCTGCACATTTGTTGCAGGTTTCACTGCGATGACAGAGAAGTTCAGCACAGCCATGTACATGGACCGCGGGGCCGAGCAGTTGGTGGAGATCCTCAACTACTACATTAGCGCCATCGTGGAGAGTGAGTGTCCCCACGGCCCCGGCTGGAGGAGGTGTTGACGCCTGCTCCTTCCCTACGTGTTGTTTGTGGCCAAGTGCAGTCACCCAGCTGACTTCCTTCCCCAGTGTGTCGGAAGCAGGTCTTTCCCTGCATGGGCTGTGGCACACTGAAGGAGGTGGACAAGCCTCAGGGCACAGACGGCCCGAGGGAAAGGTGCTGTGCACCCAGCATGCTCAGCTCTTCTGAAATCTGGCCTCCATACAGCCCAGACTAAGGGAGAGTGTGAGCAGATCCCAGTGGCAAATAATGAAGCCACCAACCGTGTGTCCTGAAGCCCTCCCAGCGGGGTCAGGCCTCTGGTTTGCAATGATAATTTGAACTGTTCAAGAAGAGAAGGGTTTGCGGGTGGGGTGATCTCTATGCCCACAGGGCCATCAGCTCTGAGTTCCCTGGCAATGCCGTAAGGTCACCCTCTAGGCAGCGCTTCAGGCTCACAGAAGCAGACATGGCCGATTCCTTCTGCACCCTGCTCAGCACGGTAGCTCTCAGCAAGTCCGTGCAGATGCGCAGCTCAGAGAAGAAAATGTCCCTTTACAGCGCAGTGGAGACAAACAGCACAAACCCGCAATGACCCCGTGGACTGCGATCTCCCCACTTCCTGCCTCCTGTGCTGGTGGGGTCCTGTCACATGGGCACACACATGTGCACACACACTCACACAAGCCCACCTTGTCCCCGGAGGAGGGCAGCCATCCCCACAGGCACAGAGTGGAGCCCTGAGGCCTGGCCCAGCGTGCTCCTGACAGCCTGGAGGCACCGCTAGGCCTGGTGGGAGGTGTCTTGAGACCAAGCCTGTCCCCCGAGCTGCTGCACCTGTGGCAAGGACCCCTTGGCCAGTGGCGGAGGCAGAGCGAGCTGACCCCCTTTGTCTCTCCTCAGAAGTGCTGATGTTCGGGGGAGACATCCTGAAGTTTGCAGGTATGGAGGACGCACGGGGGGCTGGCTGAGAGTGCACCTCACAAAAGCTGCCCTCCACCCAGGCCCCAAGTCCCGGGTGTCTCTCCCAAAGGTGACGCGCTGCTGGCCCTGTGGAAGGTGGAGCGGAAGCAGCTGAAGAACATCATCACCGTGGTGATCAAGTGCAGCCTGGAGATCCACGGGCTGTTCGAGGCCCAGGAGGTTGAAGAAGGGCTGGACGTCCGCGTGAAGATAGGTGAGCTCCTGGGCGGCTGCGAGGCCGGAGAGGGTGGCTCTGGAGACCGGCGGAGCGCTGTGCGCCACCTGAGAGAATCTGGGCCGGCCGTGACGCCTGCCCAGTGGACTACCACAAAAGCAGCGTGGCTCCTTCAGTAGCTGGCACACGGGCACCACCGAGCAGAGGGTCCTTGTTAGAGCCGCGGCTGGCATTACTGTATCTCGCTGTTTCTCGAGATCGTGTGGCATCAAGCACAACCGAGGGTAGCTTGCCATTGGGTAGATTCAGCGAGGACATCAGATGGGGGCCACCTGTCCCCCTTGTAGGAATGATGTGCAACAAAAGCCGGTCCACGGCTCCCGCTGTCTGCAGCACTCCCTAAGGTCAGGCGGAGTGCGGCTCCTGCCGCTGTGTTCCCACAGTGCTGCGGACACTACGCAGCCAGCTCTTCCCCTTGACCACTGTCCCAGGGTGCAGGCATCATTGTGCCCATTTCACAGGTGAGGAATAGGATCCTGCAGTGCAAACCATGAGTCACATAGCAACGTAGCGGATGTTGGTGTCAGTGTCCGCTCGGCTAAACCCTTTACCCCAGGAGCCTCTGTCAGAGCCGATGGGAACGTCAGAGGTCATCCAATTAACTGTTCCTCGCCTCCTTTAACCTCTGCCCCCTTTTGCTGTTATTTTAAATTTTCAAATAAATTACATGTTCTGTTGGGGAAAAAGAAAGCCCTCTTTTTGTTTTCCAAGTAAACACCTAGAGAGACGGACCTATAACCCTTCTTGAGAATGACGGGAGCCCCAACCCTCAAGACTCGTTTCCCCTCCCCTCTGGCCATGTCTAAATGCGGGACTCTAAGGTTTCATTTTAGTTGAAGCCTCAATCTCTTATAAAATGAAAATCCTCCCCAAATCAGGATTATTAGAGTTTTTTCTATTGCCATTATGTACAAATAAACCAAAGACCAGGTAAAATAACTTTGGGCACTGGTAGGGACATCTGGGGACAGAATTGTCACAGAAAGGCTGATACTAGTAGCTGAAATTTCTAGCTTCAACAAATGGGGCATTTCAGAAGACCCGAGCCTGGAAGGGACATTCTCTGATCCTCATGTAAAACGTTGGAAAGGGGATTTGCCTTGAGGTAGAGTAGTCAAGATTCTGACTCCTCCAACAGCTTGTGCTGCTGGGAATCCCCAGGACTTGTGCCCACCTGTGGCTCCCCTGCTTGCCAGGGCTGGCTGCTGGCCACATCTCCATGCTGGTCTTTGGAGATGACACACGCAACTACTTCCTGGTGATTGGACAGGCGGTGGATGATGTGCGCCTTGCACAGAACATGGCCCGAATGAACGATGTCATTCTGTCACCCAACTGCTGGCAGCTCTGCGATCGGAACATGATTGAAATTGAGAGGATTCCGGATCAGAGAGCAGTTAAGGTAGGTGTGACTTGCTGCCTGCAGAACGTCCTGCCAGCTTGTGCCAGAGGTTGGTTCCCCAACATTCCTGGGCTGCAGACAGGGTGGAGCCAGTCTGGGCTAGACTAAGTGGGCTTTGGCTTAGGAGCCATGTTGGTGGGCTGAGGAAGAAAGGAGGCTTACTGTGGGTGCCTAAGGATGTGGAATTGAGGTATTGAGGTCCTGGCAGGGGCAGGGGCGGGGACGGTTAGTGACCTTGCTTAAGGAAGGACCTGCTGGCTGTTACCTGGGAGCAGAGTGAGTTGTTTTGGGGGCAGCCATTGGCCCTGATTATCCCTACCCAGCACCCTCCTACCCAGGGCTAATGCTCACTAGCATGAGGACTGGAGGCAAGTGATGACAGCCAGGCCACTGGAGGGAGGTCAGGCCTCTTTCTTGCCTAGAACTGTCCTTGCAAATTGGCTAGTTAGAGAATCAGTGCCTTGAAGACAGATATGGTGGTTCACACCTGTAATCCCAGCAACTCTGGAGGCCGAGGCAGGAGGATTGAAAGTTCAAAGCCAGCCTCAGCAAATTAGCAAGGCCCTTTCTCAAAATAAAATATAAAAGAGGGCTGGGGTGTGTCTCCGTGGTTAAACACCCCTGGGTTCAGTCCCCGGTACCCTGTGCTTTGAGAGTGTGAAAAGGGAGGAGAGCTGAGCGGGCAGGGAGGGGCTGGCACCACGGAGATGAGGCCCAGGTGGGAGGCACTCCCGCCCCGGGACATCCTTCCACCACCCTCCCACCACTGACCCCCCCCTCCCCCGCCACTCCCGCTCCTCCTCAGTCCACGCCCAAGCCAGGAGCCAGCTGGCTAGGGCAGCCATGTCCCCACCTGCCGTCATTTTCACACCTTTCAAAACGGTTTTAATTTTGAATTGATTTTAGACTTTCAGAAAAGGTATAAAAATACAGTTTGCACATATTCTCACTATCAAACAAAGTTTATGTGTTTGGGGGCAGAGAAGGCAGAATACTCCAGAGGCTGGGCATGGGGTGGGTTGCACCCTGCCGTCCCAGCTCAGGAGGCTGAGGCAGGAGGACAAGGCCAGCCTCATCAACCTCAGTAACTTAGTGAGAACTTGTCTCAAAATGTAAAAAGGACTGGGATCTAGCTCAGGGGTAAAGTTTAATCCTCAGTACCAAAAATAAATAAATAAATAAATAAAATCTTTTAAAAAAGAAAGAAAGAAGGAAGATTTCAATGCTCAGTATATATACCCAGATACACAGAGGGCCCTTCCAGAGGACTAACCTTTATATCTTTGGCCAAGTTTCCCTTGATGAAAGAGCATCGTGTGGATCTGTTTGTGTTCTTTCTTGTGCCCCCATTTCTTGACGCACCCAGAATGCACCTTGGCTATGGTTCTCCCACTCTTCTTCTTTTTTTAGGAGGGGATACTGGGGATTGAACCCAGGGGTGCTTTACCACTGAACTACATCACCAGTCTTTTTTATTTTTTATTGTGAGACAGGGTCTTGCTCAGCTGCTGAGGCCGGCCTCAAACTCTGATTCTCCTGCCTCAGCCTTCCCAGTTGCTGGGATTACAGGCAAGTGCCATAGTGCCTAGGTGAACATTGAAATCTTAATGAATAGTTGGAGAAACTTTTAAATTTTTCTCTTTGGAGCTGAAGATGGAACTCAGCCTCTCACATGGTAGGCACATGCTCTCTCTGAGCTATAACCCCAACCTCTAAAATTTTTACTTAAATTTTCAGTTTTATAAATTAAAGATCTTTTGTGTTGAAGAACACCAATCACTGTTTACCTAGACATGCAAGAGCATATTCCCGAATTTCTACTGGAAATTCACACTAAAGGACCAGATAACCCTCAGAACAAGTGAAAACTTCTCTTTTTCTTTTATTTAGGTTAACTTCTTAAAACCACCCCCTTCTTTTAACTTTGAGGAATTTTTCACGAAGTGTATGACCTTCATGGATTATTATCCTGGTGAACACAAAAGTAAGTACCCTCCATGTAGGTGACCCCTTGCTCCTCAACACAACCCCCGGTCCTACCAGCAACCCAGGGACTGCTTCTCGTCCCCTAGAAGAGCAGTTCTCAGTAGCACCCTCTCCCCTGGACACTGGTCCCCGTCCTCATCTTCCAAGCTTTGGCTGAGTTTCCCTTGATGAAAGAAAAAGTGAAGCCTCTTTGAATCCGACTCAAGACTCAGAATTCTCTGAAGAGCATCGTGCGGGTCTGTTTGTGCTTGTTCTTGTGCCCCATTTCTTGACGCACCCACAGTGCACCTTGGCTATGGTTCTCCACTCTTCAGTCTTCTATTTCTTCTTTATTTTAATTGTTTGGAGGCTGGGTTGGGCTGGGGTGCCTGGCTCATCACAGCTGGGCTCCAGCCATCCTCCTGCTTCAGCCTCCTGAGCAGCCAGGTCGGGCGTGCCAGGCTGAGCCACTGACACCTTGTCCCTGCTCTCAAGCTTCTGCCCTCTTCCCTGTCTGGGGCTGCTTCTCAGCCACCAGTAAGCCCAGCTCAATGGCTTCCTCTCCAGCCTCGCCCGAGGCAGAGGACAAAATTACGACAATTTAGAGATCACCATTGGCTGTAGTTGGTGAGTCCAAGCAACACCTGGGTCCATAAAGGAGAGTAAGGGCTCCGAGGAGGGGCGCAGACCGAGTTGGTTTTGTAAAGAGAAAAGGGCTGTGGAAGCAGGATCAAAGCAGAACAAGTGACTGGTCATTTCAAAGTGACTTTCTTGGGAAGCAGGGCCAAGGAGACAGACAGAAAAATACCTGGTAGCATCCATCGGCCTCGAGCGCCTTTTCATGTGTCAGTTGTGCCAATTGACACTGTTCTGTTGGGAGAGTTTGCTGATCCCTCTTGTCCTGATTCTCCCAGAAGGTCAGAGACCTTCTGCTTGGTTTCATCTGGGGACCTGGAGCTTCATGACAAGTGGCTCCCTTTTGACCTAACCCAGTCAGGCCCCTGTAGGAGCTTAGTCCAAAACAAAGGCCTCCTGCGGTTTCCTTCAGCAGTCACCACCCTCCTGCTGTCCTTGCCTGTCATTCCTGCCCTTCTGACTGCATCCTCCTCTAGGGTCATGCGCTCTGTCCACTCCCATTCCTTTGGCTGTAGCTTTAGATGAAGCCCAGAGGCATCACCTCCCCAAGTTCCAAAGCACGATGAAAGTGAGATCGAGGTTTAGAGCTACATGCAGCTGAATTTTGGGAAACCCAAGCCTGGAAGAACGTGGATGTCCCTTGGCCAAGGGACCAGAGCCTCCTTTGCTAAGTCCACCCCTCCTCCTGCCCTCCTAGACTTCCTGAGGCTTGCCTGCATCCTGGATTCTGATCCTAAACTGGAGATGTCCCTACAAAAGTATGTGATGGAAAACATTTTGAAGCAGGTATGTTCGTAATTGAATTTTTGGCTTTTACTAATGGCTAGTAAAATTGTCTAGTGAAATTAGGACATTCTGTATATGTCGATGACAAACTTGAAATTCATTATTCAAACCAGGATACTACCTAGGTTGGGATGTTGGGCATAGCTCAGTGGCAGACAGCTTGCATAGGATGTGCGAGGCCTTGGGTTCAGTCCCAGCACAAAAAAAGATGAAAGTGGCCTTATTCGTAGATCCACTGTGACAACAAGCATCAACCAGAGGCCAGGCGCCGTGGAGCCCACCTCTAATCCCAGCGGCTTGGAAGGCTGAGGCAGGAGGATCTCAAGTTCAAAGCCAGCGTCTGCAGGAAGGCCCTAAGCAACACAGTGAGACCCTGTCTCTAAATAAAAAATAAAAAGGGCTGGGGGTGTGGCTCAGTAGTTAAGCCCCTGGATTCAATCCCCAGTACAGTACAAAAAAAAAAAAAAGAAAAGAAAGAAAAAGAAAAGAAGAAGAAGAAGAAGAAGAAGAAGAAGAAGAAGAAGCAGCAGCAAAGCAAAGCATCAGTCAGGCTGTGTTGCCTTATGCGACTGGACAGGCAGGAGGAGCTGCAAGCAGGTGATGCAGGAGCACCCGTTCTGGGTGCCACAGGGCACACTGGAATACGTGTCAGGGCAGCGTCTCTCCAAGGCCCTCGCATTAGTTTTGAGACTTAACAATATAGATAATTAGAACACTTTAAACTACCCTCACCTCCCCAAAGCTTCCCTTTCCATTCCCTTAGATCTGGACTTTCAAATCCACGAAGCCACGGGAATCCCAACTAGCTCTCAGCACTCGCCACACGCCGGTCACTCTGCTATTGCATTTACTTATTTATTTAGGCACCAGGGACCAAACCTAGGAGCACTTTACCTCTGAGCTACATCCTTTTCATTTTTTTATTTTAAGGCAGGGTCTCGCTAAGCTGTAGAGGCTAGCCTCGGACGAGCTGCCCCAGTCCCCCGAGTAGCTGGGGTTGCAGGCTGTACTGTCATGCCCAGCATAACTCTGTTTCACATGTGAGAAAACTAGAACTCCTGTGGTATAAGAGGTGCTGCTGGGATTTAGACCCTGGTCTGGATGAATACTATAGTTTGGGCGTGGGCTGTCCACTGTTCTGACGTACATCTGTTTTAATCCTATCAAAATGCAGTTGTGTCCTCCAGGACATTTTTGTACGACCAGCTTGACCTGTGATTAGAGGCCTTCGTGGTGTGTGGGGATTGAAAAGGTATTAGAACACACCTTCCACGGTCAGCCCAGTGTGGAAACTGCCTGCAGTGTCAGGGGCTGGGGCTGGGGGGCAGAACCACTCAGCAAGCAGGAGACCCACCAAGGCCGAAGAGCCGGTCATTGTCTGCAGCCAGGGCAGGAGCAGGAGCACTGGGACCATCCCATCTCCCCCAGGCAGGGCGCTGGCCAGCAGGGGTTTGGGTTGGGAAAACGCCCACATACTCACATCACACACGGAGGAGGGCACCTTCCTGAGACCAGGTCATGGTCACCTGTCCAAGAACCCAGGCGGGGACACCTGGGGGGAGAGTCCTTTATTATAGAGTCCTTTCTGGGTCCTGTAGAAGGAGTGAGCCAGCGACCCTGACTCCGTGATCAGGGCTGGTTCCTTGCAAGCTTCTCTGCAGGGCTGCGTCTGCCCCAAACAAAACACCAAACATCTTCAAAGGAGCACAGCTGCTACGCAGGGGTGGTTGCCCCTAAAGTCACCTGCCTCGCGGCAAATGCTGGTGTTGCTATTGTCCTACCCTGGAGAAAATCACTTCCTACACCCGTTCCCACCGCCCCAAGGGACATAACAAATTATGCTTTGGTTGGGGCAACCAGGTGGGAGCAAGGTCTGCAGGAGGGATACGGAATCAGGGTGACTCCCAGGGAAAAGGATCACTCTCGGGTGATAACGAAGGAACACCTGGTAAGAGGTCCAAGTATATGCGCGCTCCTGACTTCCGCGCCACCTGTGGATGACTTGCAGCAGAGAGGGGACCTAGATGAACTACCGGAGAGGCAGGAGCTGGTGCCATGTGCACTGCTGGAGTAGGGTCTGCAGAGTTGGATTCTAGTCTGCGGCTCTCTCCTCACAGGACCTTGGGGGAATTGTGACACTGTATTATCTGATCTGTAAAATGGGAAAAATAAAACTGATTTTATTTTGCCTGAAGAGAGAGTGAATGTAATGTGAAAATCTTCCAGAAGCCACAGGGTTATGAAAAGGCTGAATTACATAGTACACTTTTGTTTGCTTCTGGAGGTGTTGGGAAGGCATCCAGGGCTCTTTGCATGCTAGTCGGGAGTTCTACCAGGGCTGCAACCCCAAGCCGTAGCTTGACAGTCTTATCCTACTGTCAGAGAGGCCATGAGAACAGCAGCTCTTCCCCCTGTCCTGAGGCCTCACAGTGGCATGTGGGAGCTGGTCCTTGGGGAGATGGAGTGGTTGCTGGCTGAACATCCCAAGGGGTAGACCCCACTCCAGGCCACTCCCATCAGCTCAGCTCCGGGAGGCTGGCTCTGCGACGACCTCACACACCCTGACAGCTTCAGCTTCCTGGCCTCTCCAGGCTGCTTTCCTCCCAGGGACAATCTGGGTGTGGGGCAGGGGTGGCGTAGCCAGGAAGGGTCCACCACAAGGGCCCAAAAAGCTGCTTTGTATCCCGCAGATCGACGACAAACAACTTGGGGGTTATTTGTCTGAGCTTCGCCCGGTGACGATTGTGTTCGTGAACCTGATGTTTAAAGAGCAAGACAAAGCAGAGGTCATAGGCACGGCCATCCAGGATGCCTGCGCACACATCACTTCTGTCCTGAAGGTCTTCCGAGGCCAGATCAATAAAGTCTTCATGTTCGACAAGGTAAACATGAGCTAAGGGGTGGGACCTGCCAGCAGTTGAGGTCAGTGTCCACGGCCAAGCTTGTTGGCCAGTGGAGGGGACAGACAGGTGGAGATCTGACCCAGAGGTGTCAGTCTCTGTGCGTGGCACCCAGTGGGTGCCAGGCACTGCCCCGGTACTTTGCACACATGCACTCCTTTCCTTCTCACGACTGCTCCAAGCAATAGGTGCTGCTGTCGTTGTCCCCATTCTGGAGGCCTGGATCCTGGGACAAGTGGGGACAGGGCTCAGACCTGGGCGGCCTGCCACATCAGGGGCCCCACCTGCCACATCAGCATTTTCATCTGTGGCTCATCTCCGCCTCTCAAGTGCCTGTTCACTGTTCTCAGTCCGGGTCTTAGTTCTGTTCTGTGAGGGACGAGTGACCTGAGAAGTGGTGGTGAGAACTGACTCCCTGTCTCTTAAGAGCAGGGCACGTGATCTGCTTGCTCCTCCAGCAGGCACTCAGTGGGCATTTCACAGAGGCTGCAGCCACTGAGTGCCCTCTGCCAGCTCAGCTGGGCGGGGCCATGGACTGTGAGAACTGCAGGAAGTCCAAGGAGTGCTCACTTCCAGCCTGAGCCCTGGGTGCCCACTTCACCGTCCGTCCCTTCAGGAGGGTCCCGAGAGCACAGGGTCTCAGAGAACAGTCTGTGAAGTCTCTCAGGCAAGGCTCCCAGGGTACCGTGTGGCCCCAGCGAGTCACTGAGCATCTCTGAGCCTTGGCTCATTACCTGCCGCTCCTCTTTTGTTTGTTTATTGATTGATTGATTGAGAAGGGTCTGGCCGTGCTGCCCAGCAGGATGGCCTCCTCCTGAGACGTGCAGAGTGCAGAATTCCTAATTGCCAACCTGGCGCCTTCTGCTCTGTGCTCTCTGACTGACTTAGAACCCGTGGCGTAAGACGTGGGCTACAGGAGAGCAGACAGGAGGGGGTGCCCAAAGGAACGGGCACTAGAGGAAGTCCCACTCAGAGACTGGAAGTGGCTCCAGGGCTGGGAGTCCAGTGCCACTGGCCTCGCTGACTCTCCCGCAGGGCTGCTCCTTCCTCTGCGTCTTTGGCTTCCCGGGGGAGAAGGCCCCTGACGAGTTCTCCCACGCCTTGGAGAGTGCTGTGGATATCTTCGACTTCTGCTCTCAGGTCCACAAGATCCAGTGAGTGTTGACCCTGACCCCACCCGGGGGCCCCTGACCCTTTGAAAATATAGGGGGGTGCTGGGATTACAGCCCATTTGGTGGAGTGCTGTCCCGCCTGCACAAGGCCCCGGTTCAATCCCCTGCACCACACACAAAAGATGTGGGGGTGGGGCCCAGGACAGAGAAGGAGGAGGAAAAGAATCAAGGGCCCAGTTCTGGGCCTCGTCCCTCCCGCTCCTCTCCAGGCCCCGTGCAGTTGCCCTACACGGATCCCCAGATCCCGCCTGGGAGAACCACCGCTGGGTCCCCCTTCACCATCCCCCCTCCCAGGCCTCTTCGCTCCTGTCATTCTGCAAGTGCTCATTATCTCTCCCTCCCCCACCACGCCAGCACCGTGTCCATCGGCGTTGCCAGTGGGATCGTCTTCTGTGGCATCGTGGGGCACACCGTGAGGCACGAGTACACGGGTGAGCCCCAGCAGCCCGAGCGCCGGCCCTGGGCGGAGCAGCAGGGAGCCCAGCAGGAGCACTGTCACTGAGAGCTCTGTGCGGGACAAGGCGCTGGAGGGAGGAGCCGGAGGCCCTACCCATGGAGTGGCGCTTTTGTAATAATGCCCTCGCTCTTGGAATAGGTCAGGACCCCTTCTTAAAATGATGACTATTGGCATTTCTGAAAATAACACGACCTTCACGGAAGAGTAGGGACGAGTAGCTGAGATCCCTACTCCCCTTCCTCCCGCGAGGTTCAGCAATAAGGCATCTAAAATACTGGACACCCCCGAGCTCCCGAGATACTTACGTCCAAGTGACACCATAAGATTTCCTTCAAAGTAGTCCTGGGTGGGCAGTGGGCAGGCGAGGGTGGGGCAGGGTGGGCCGCGGGCATTGTTGATCTGGGCTTGAATGCGAGGTGAAGCTCCCCACAACAGAGTTTGTCAAAGGGCAGACTAGTTCAGAGATCATTCAGGACCGGGCAAGGCTTCATTCTGTAAAACAGAGTGGCGTCCTGAAGGGCAGAGCAGGCGGGAGACAGCAGACACAGAACAAAAAGCAGATTGGTCCCTGGGTGGTGTCCTGGGAAGGCAGGACGGGGGACAATGGGGAAGGGCCTGACTGGTCAGCTTCAGGTCAGCTCTGGCCTAAGGACGAAGGCGGGGAGCTTCAGCGGCTTGCCACTGGGGCTGGCCCATTGGGGAACCAGCGTTTCCTGCTCCTGATTTTCCCTCAAGTCCAGATCGCAGCTTGGTGGGAGTACATGGAGCTTTAGCATGGGGGAGTCTGTTTTGAGTTTTACTCTGGTTTCTGGGGGCCCAGTGCAAGAGCTTAGTCCAAAACAATGGCGTCCTATAACTTTCATTTAACAAGGTTTATAAAAGGATGACCTGGCTGGGGTGTAACTCAGTAGTACTGAGTTTGCCTGGCATGTGTGAGGCCTGTCTTTGGTCCCCAGCACCAGAGAAAACAAAACAAAAAAAAGAGAAAGGAATGTTTATGTTAAAATGAAATATCTAATGCTCATTTAGTAGTAATATTAAATAAGTGCTTACAAGCAGCCAGGCACCACCCAAAGATGTGAGCATATATTAACTCTCTTTTTTTTTTTTTTTTTGGTGCTGGGGAATCAAATCCAGGGCCTTGCTTGTGGCAGGCAAGAGCCCTACCACTGGGCTGCGGCCCCGTCCCTGACTCATTAATCTCCACAAACCACCCTCTGAGATAGTAATAGTGTCATCCCGTCTGGTGGACAGGAAGCTGAAGCCCAAGTACCTGTGCGTGGTAGTTAGAGGCACTGCAGGGCGTCCCCGCTCAAGGTGTCCCTCTGCCCGTCCTCCACGCAGCCCGCTTCCAGCCCCGTTGACTTCAGCAGCCACCAACTCAGGTCCACACGGTGCACACTTGGTCTGTGCCTGGTTTAGTTCAGTCCCATTGCGTGCTCTTCCCACGGTGGCAGAGGTCAGCTAGAGCCCATGGGGGAGCTGTCAGGCCTGGCCACCCGGCTTGCAGAGCCTCCCCGTGTCCCTGGTCCTCCCACCCCAAGCAGTGTACTCTGGGCCTCCCAAGTGAGGAAGACGCTTCGCTGCTGGCTAAGTGAGTTCCATGTGGGACATGAGTTTGTAGCTGTTGACTGACTGGATACTAGAAGGCCAAATGCTTGTGTCACTCATGAGTGGCAAGGGAGGTGACAGGTGAATGCCCTTGGGATGACCCTCAAATGACATTCAGTTCAAGGGCTGTTTTTTTTTTTTTTAACCCTGCTCTTTGACTCTCTCCTTCCTGTTGTAGTCATTGGTCAAAAAGTCAACATAGCCGCCAGGATGATGATGTACTACCCAGGAATCGTGACCTGTGACTCTGTCACCTACAACGGCAGCAACCTACCAGCCTACTTTTTTAAAGAGCTTCCAAAGAAAGAGATGAAAGGTGTTGGCGATTCTGGGCCAGTCTATCAGTGCTTGGGCCTGAATGAGAAAGTGTGAGTGTGGGTGGCCTCTCCTAGGTCCCTGTTGGATGTCTGGCCTGCCCAGGCCCTGCTTCCAGAGCAGACGCAGCAGACATTCATTGAGCATGTGCAGGACTGTGGGACTCCATCACCAAGTGGAGCTCCTCTCCCCTCCTGCGGCCCAGGGTCCCTAGACTCAGGGACAGACTCTTGCTGGAGATGGAAAGGGAGACTCCTGGGGACTAGAGCCAGACGCTCGGGCCCTCATCTTGCCCATCTTAAATCTGACCTCTTTTCTCTCCTTCAGCATGTTTGGGATGGCATACCTCATCTGCAACAGAAATGAGGGCTACCCTTTGCTGGGTAGGTAGTAAGACTTGACTTGAAAAAAACCTGTTTTTTTTTTTTTTTTTTGCAGTGCTGGGGACGAAGCCAAGGCCTTGTGCATGCTAGACAAGCACTCCATCACTGACTGACACCCAGCCCGAAACCACAGGACATCCAGAATAGTGCATCCATAAGAGCCTGCAGCTTATTATCACAAAATGAGAATAGAACCATACTCCAAGCCAAGAAAGAGACAAGTAGCAATACTCCAGGAACACTCACATATGCTCTCCCACTTCCTTCCCCACGGAATTCTAACACCCAGGATTACTTACACCTATTTAAAAATGTTACATAAGCCAGTGTGTTGGCGTGTGCCTGGGCTCCCAGTTTCTTGGGAGGCTGAGGCAAGAGGATGGGAGGATGGCTTGAGTCCAGGTGTGCAGGGCCAGCCTGGACAACACAGCAAGAACCTGTGTCTTTTAAAACATATATAAAAATAAATAAATAAAGCATTATAAATATATAGATAGATAGATATAGATATAGTTATAGATAGATGAGCCAGATGTGGTTTTTATCTATAATCCCAGCAATTAGGGAGGCTGAGGCAGGAGGATTACAAGTTTGAGGCCAGTCTTGGCAAGTTAGTGAGGTCCTTAGCAACTTAATGAGACCCTGTCTCAAAATAAAAAAGCTAGCAATGATCTCAGTGGTAGAGCACCTCTCAGTTCCATCCTCAGAACCACACACACACACACACACACACACACACACAGCCATCCGGTGTGCAGAGTGGTTCTTGCTAATCTATATCCAGATACTTACATTAACAGCTGCTTTTCCTAAAATGTCTACACTTGGATTAATATCTGAGTCTTTATCCATGAATTACAGATGGGTCCTCCACAATCTTTTGTCCCACAAAGAAGTGATAGTTGGCCCTTAGTCCCCAAGTATTTCTTCTGTTTGTCTTGATTGGTGCTGGGGACTGAACCCAGGGGCACTTACCCGCTGAGCCACATCTCCAGGCTGTTTTTTTTTTTTAAGAGAGAATTTTAATATTTATTTTTTAGTTTTCGGCAGACACAACATCTCTGTTTGTGTGTGGTGCTGAGGATCGAACCCGGGCCGCACGCATGCCAGGCGAGCGCGCTACCGCTGGAGCCACATCCCCAGCCCCATCTCCAGGCTTTTAAATTTTTTATTTAGAGACAGGGTCTGGCTACGTTGCTTAGGACCTCACGAACATCGTCCTGCGTTAGCCTCCCAAGCTGCTGGGATTACAGGTGCTCCCCGGCACCCATCTTGTCCCTCAGTCTCTTGACAGAAATGCTCCATGTTTTGAAATCATGGTCCTTTTGCCTCTCTCCTATCACCCAAGTTTCAAGGGCTGTGAGCTGAGCTTCTGATTTGAGCTTGTATTTAAAAACACAAGAAAAATAACAGTGACAGGGTTGGAACCCAAGGTGATTTTTATTTTGCTCTTTTTTCCTTCTCCTGAGTTTCCCATATTTTCCACAGTGAGCAAGTGTTAGTTTTATAATCAGGAAAAAAAAATTAACTTTTAAAAATAATTTAGGTTGCCCTTATGGTAATAATAATGTATATGATTTCTGGAGGTGAATTGGATTTTCTTAACCCTAATAACGCTTCTTAGCAGCCCCGAGACAATGTGGTTTGCATTTATGAGGGAAGATTTCCTTCATCACAGAATTGGAAATAAAAATGTTTTCTCTATATTTGTTCAGTATTAGAGCTCTAATCTCAATAAATCTATAGTTTACTACTAGTATGATGTAGAAAGAAAAAGCAAGCTTTAGTATTAATAGACTTGGTTTAATTCCATTTAGTATGAGCAAATTAAATGGAATTATAATGAGTTTAAAATAATACTTTTACTGAGGGGCTGGCTTGTAGCTCAGTTCCAAAGCTCTTGCCTAGCATGCAAGAGGCTCTGGGGTTCCATCCCCAGCACAGGAAAAAAAAATCAACTTTCTTTTACAACTGTGGTACTAAAATACAACTGCAAAATCACCTTGTTAACTGGAAAATTCTCGAGAAAGATTTTAAAAAGTTTGCAGGGCCTCAGTAAAGTCTGAACCATGCCATGTAAATTCCTAGGATAGTCTTGGAGGGGGGTGTCCCTCTGTGCTTTTTTAAATATCTGGACTTCTTTGTGTTGCTGATTTTGCTCCTCTTTTTTTAAAAAAATAAATGAAAACAATAGGGCGTGATAAAGAGATCAGATACTTTATGCGTACCATGAAGGAATTCTTGATGTCTAACTGCAGCCGAATCCTAATGTACGAAGGATTATTTGGATATGGAAAAAGCCAGATACTTATGGAAATTGAGTACCTGGCTCAAGGTGAGAACCACAGGTGAGTCCTGGGAATTCCCTCTCCTTGTCAGAGGCCCTGCCCCCTTAGAGAGCAGCTCCATTTACTTGGCATTTCAATAGTTTTGGGGAGATATGACCCTGCACCAAATAGATGATGATGAATATTTTGGGGTGATATGACCCTGTGCCAAATTTGATGATGAATTAACAAGATTAATTCTTTTTGTTTTGGTGGTGCTGAGAATTTTACCCAGGGCTTCATGCATGCTAGGGAAGTGCTCTACCACCCAGCCACATCCCCAGCCCTGATAAATATTTTGAACTAAGGAAAAGAGAAACTTTCTGGTCTGGTTGCTGGAAATCCTGATTTGAAGCCAGGTGGGGCTTGGGTATTTTAAACTTCCTAAATAATCCCAACATGCCCACAGGTTGAGAACCACTAGCATAGACATTGTGATCAGGGCTAGATTTCGCCAGCAGAACCCACACAAGTTTGTCACCCTGTGAGTGGAACAGTGACCGTCCTGGGGACTTGCTCTGGAAGGCGGAGCTAATATAATATCTTACACTGTTCCTCTATCTTCATGTGTGGGGTGTGGAAGGCCCCTTCTGGGACAGTCTGCCTGGCCCCTTGCAGAAGTGACAGTAATGATGACCACAAGGATGACTATGGTGTCCCTCTAAGGGGTGAAGGGGAAACTACTTGCTGACCCCTGTATTTCTATCACTCCTCAATGTCAGGCCTGAGGAAAGCCCGTTTCAAAACCCTGCCCGCTGCCAGGGCTGATCCACAGCAGGGGGGAGGCGTTCCTTCACGTAGGCACTTACCAGGTCCCACAGGGTCCGGGACCATTGAGGGCTGTGCAGGTCACCAGAGAACCACGGACGGGGTGGCTTGACAACAGGGAAGCCGGTCTCACAGTTCTGGGGGCCCAGCCAAGGGTCCAGGCAGAGCTGAGCTGCTCCCTCCCGGGTCGAGGAAGAAGAGCTCTCCCAGGCCTTTCTCCTGGCTTCTGGCAGCTGGCCGGCCCCGTCGGATGCTGTTTGGCTTGTGGAAGCGTCACCCAGACATCTGCCTTGGTCTGCACGTGGCAGCCTCCCCTGTAGTCTCTGGGTCCAAATCTCCCCTTTTCATAAGGACACCAGACAAGGGGGTTCGGGGACCCAGCCATCTCTAATAAGGTCTCATCTTAACTCATCCCTCTCTAACCATCCTGTCCTCAAATGAGAGATCCCTGGGGCCATGACTTCAGCGCAAGGACTTGGGGGGACGGATCAATGATCCCGAGCAATACCTGATCGCTGCCCTCAGGGAGAAGGGAATGTGACCCAGCCTTGGGCAGCAAGGAGGGTCTCCAGGAGCAGCCTGAGAGGCTAACAGATGAACAGCCATGGGGGGCCACGTGGGGCCACCAGCAACTCCAGGGACACTCCAGGATGCACGGATGACCTCAGCAAAGGTGGCGAGGATGCATCCACTTGCTGGCAGTGAAGGAAGGTCACTAGGCAGAGAGCAGGGCTGACGGTGAGACCTCGGGAAGTCTCATGTCACAGAAGGGAGCGTGGACGCAGGCCCTTGGGCAGTGGGAACCATGAACAGCTCCGGGTAGGCGTGATCCGGTGGGGTGGGCCGCCCCTCCCAGGACGGGGCTCAGGCCAGGGCCCTGTGCCGAGGTAAGCTCCTCCACGGAGCAACACCTTCAGCCCAGTGGGCAACCAGCCAGCTCCCTCAGGCTCCTGTGGGGCGCCGCCGTCAGATCCATGGGGCAGGGGCAGGGACAGCCGGGCCAGGTGGCGGGAGCTGGGTGCACAGGGTGCACAGGGAAGGGGAACGTCGGCAGCAGAAAGCAGCAGCTGCCACGGAGCTTGGAGAGTCCGTCGTCGCGGCTGAACCAGAGGAGTCAGAGCTCCTCTTCACTTCAGTATTTCTGAAAACTGTAAGCCAAACTCTCTTCTGACTCTTGGTTTCTCATGAACAGAACCATTGCTATCGCGTTGACTAAGATCAGCTTCCATCAGAACTTTTACACCGTCCAGATACTCATGGCCAACGTGCTGGGTCTGGACACTTGCAGACACTACAAGGAGCGGCAGAGCAACCTTCAAAGCAGAGTCAGGAGGCTGCTGGACGAGAAGTTCCACTGTCTCCTCAACGACATCTTCCACGTCCAGGTACCCGCTAGGACTGGGCTCTGCAGGGAAGGGCCACAGGGCAAGCACAGCCACTCCTTGAGGCTTCGTGATTGACATCTCCTTGGCTTTATTACCCTTGTCTCACTAGAGCACCAGGTGGTGAGGAAGTAGCTCCCAATCCTTCCTGAAAATCCACCATGTTCTTTTCTTAACAGTAACAAGGTCCTAAGGGTTGAAGCCAGGGCTTTGCACATACTACGTATGCACAGCTCTACCTCGAGCCACATCCCAGCCCCTACATCCACATTCAGAAGACTTTCTGGAGGTATCTGGAAATACCACACTCAAGAAGTCCCAAACGGCCCCCGGTTTTGTTGGGTTGTTTGTGTGTGGTACTGGAACTTGAACCCAGGGGTGCTCTGCCACAAAGCGACCTCACTGGCCCCTTTTAAAATTTCTACATTTTATTTTGGGACAGGGTCTCACCAAGTTGCCCAGGTTGGCCTTGAACTTCTGATCCTCCTGCCTCAGCCTCCTGAGTGGCTGGGATCACAGGTGTGTGCCAGCGCGCCTGGCTAATGGCCACCTGTTGGTTCCTCTCCAGTAGAGCTGCACAGTCCCAGCCAGCCTGAGCACAGGGTCACTTTCTCCCACAACTGAATGCCCATGCAAACACTGGGTGTGTTCTCTTCTTCCCTTGGCTCAAGGACAGGCCATCAGGGCTGAAAAGACATAAGGACATCCAAGGAGGATCTCCCTCGAGGCACAGGCAGCTCAGTGGCTCGCCCAGGGTCACACAGCTGGAAGTTCCTTCACTGTTTCCTGCACTCAGTGTTCTCATAATTTTTCATACAGTTCCCTATTTCTCGGGAGATTTCCAGGATGAGCACTTTGAGAAAGCAGAAGCAGTTGGAAGCACTGTTCATGAAGATCTTGGAACAGGTAAGAGCACCTGTGTGTCAGCCACTGGCCACCCGCCCAAGGGGCTCTGGCTCCAGGAAACATTTGGAAGTACGTGAAAGCTGGGCCCAAAGGTGCTCCCCTCTCTTCCAGTCTTCCAGCTTTGAGCTCAGAATCAATTCAGAATTTAAACAGACTCAGAGGAGTCCCTCAAGCCCACTCCTGGGGCTCGCCTCTCCTGCCTGCCTGACTTCCTTCCGTTCCATCATCATTATACCCAGGTTTGCCCAAATAAGAGTCCACTGGTGGTAACTGATATGAATTGTAAGTTGTTGAAATTCAGATTCATGCAGAGTTATTGAAAAGACAAAGATTCGGCTTGGTTCTTTCCCTTCACCGTAACAGACCATCAGACAGCACGGATACGCCGCCTGCCGCAGAGCACAAAGCCCTGAAGTCCTGCAGCATTTTTCTTTCTCTTTTGTCACCTTGTCCAGACAGTGAAGGAGGAAAGAATCATTTTCATCATCGATGAGGCCCAGTTTGTGGACGTGGCCTCCTGGACCTTCATGGAGAAGCTCATCCGGACGGTCCCCATCTTTATCATCATGTCCCTGTCGCCCTTCGTGGGCCTTCCCTGTGCGGCAGCCAGTGCCATCATGAAGAACAGGAACACCACCTACATCACCCTGGGGCCCATGCAGCCCAGCGACATCCGCAACAAGGTCTGCCTTGACCTCAACGTGCGCAGCATCCCCAAAGAGCTGGAGACGTAAGTCACGCTTTCCGCCGCCCCCAGGTCATCAGACGCTCCAGGATGTGCCTGCAAATGCCTGTCCAGTGTTTTTCTGGCCCTGCCTTTAGAGGGGCCGCATGCTGTGCCTGGTGGGGCGGTGCTGCTCACCTCTTCCTGTGGCTCCACGCTGCCCCTCCCCACACCCTGCTCAGCGGGTGTTTCCCCTGCATCAAGCTGGACTTGGGTCTACCTGTTGTGGTCTACCCATGATAACAGTCACTAGGAGCACAGTCACAGAAGGTGGTGGGAAAGGCAGGCTGTGGCCTGCGACCCACCATGTCTCCCGTGGCCGGCAGGTGTGTGGTCTGTCTGTGGCAGCTGTCCAGGCTGACTCTCCGAGCTCCTCAGGGTGCCTCCACTGGGGCCTTGAGATGAGCCCCCTAACAGCATGCACTAGTTCTCTCTCTCAGGATGGAACCCAGGGTCTCGAGTACGCCAGCCAAGCACTCTAACCCTGAGCTGCGTCCGGGCCCTTTCTATTTCATTTAGAGACGGTCTCGCTAAGCTGCTTCTCCCTGTCCAGTAGCTGGAATTGCAGGCAGGTGCTGACCCACCCAGACGACAGTGTCTCTCCTGGGCTGGCTGCTGACAACCCTCCTGTTCTCTGCTTTTGTTCTTTCTAACGATGTTGCCTTGCTCCTGGAAGGAAGATGGCTTGGACAAGGGGTCATTTAAAATAACCCCAACCCTATCCTGAAACAACAAGATAAGGGCTGGGGATGCAGCTCAGGTGATAGAGCACCCTAAGGTTCAGTCCCCAGTGCTCAAAATAGAATAACTCCAGTCAGGCATTGGGCTCTCTCTCTCCCCCTCCCCGCTCTCTCTCTCTACATACCTGCATTTTCCTTTTGATCCAGCAATCCCAGTTCTAGGAGACTATCTCAAAGATGTGTTGACACAAATATGAAGTCACATATGTACAAAGTTTCTGTCAAACTCTATTTGTATTAATACGAGACTGGAAGCGATCCAATGTCCATCTCCAAGGGGAGCTAAGTTCAACACCCTAGGATGCATGAATCCCGGAGGACTGTAGGGCAGTAAACAGAAGTGAGGGAGACCTGTGATCGGCAGGGAGGAGCAGGATGCATGGTTGGTGCTATGCCTTTATTCAGAAAAGTGGAATAGGGGTGTGTGTGTGTGTGTGTGTGTGTGTACACCCATGCACACTTTTGTTCATATATTTTAGAAAAAGTATTGGAAGGATAAACCAAAAATGCATCCAGTTGTTACCTGCATCTAGGGAAGAGAAGCAAGACTGAGGATGCACCTTTTATTTAGTTTTAACTTTGGGAAGATAAAAATGTTTTATGTAATTTAAAAAGAGAAAGAAAAAGAACCAGATGAAGGCAACCCCTGAAACTCGAGAGCAAAGTGGGGCACATGGAGAATGGGAAGGGGGTCGTCTCGAGTGGCGGCAGGCGCTCTGCAGTGAGGGCCGCCGCCTTGTCTTGCCGGCAGGTACCTGGTGGAGGGCAGCTGCAGGATCCCCTACTACTGCGAGGAGCTGCTGAGGAACCTGGACCGCCACCAGGTGCTCGTTTTCCAGCAAATGGAGCCTGAGGACAAGACCAAGGTGACCTGGAACAACCTGTTCAGTAAGTCTCTCGCGGACTCTTTGTCTTGTTTCAGTACTGGGTTGAGCCCGGGGTGCTCGGCCACTGAGCTACGTCTCCAGCCCCCTGTGCTTTTTGTTTTGAGGCAGGGTCTCACTCAGTTGCCCAGGCTGCCTCAGCTCACCATCTCCTGCCCCGGGCTCCTGAGTTGCCGGCGCCACAACGCCGGGCACTTAGTGGTCTTCTGTCACTGTCCTCACGTGGAGAAAGTGTTGAGAATGGGCCTTCCACAGGCTGCTTCCTGCAGGGTCAGAGGGCTTGAGGGGGGCGAAAACCTTGGGTCTGACACCCAAACTGTAAGAGGACAAAGAGGCCAGACCCCTGAACTAGGCCAGCACACACCTGGGTCAGCCAGGAAAGCCGCCAGGGTCAGACCTGAAGAGCTCGGCGGCGCCCCAGGTGAAGTGCCAGCGCAGGAGGCTGCGCACAGGGCCCACGCTGCGGAGCCTGCCGCGAGGGATGGCACGACCCAGACCAGCTGGAAACTCAGGGAAACAATCTCCTTGCCCAGAGGAGGAGGGGCCAGAGAGCGGGCTGAGTATACAGTTCGGGGAGTAGACGGAAGCTCCTTCGCTTTGAGGCTTTTCTGAGAGGTGTTTCTGAGCTGCCGGATTCTGCAGCTCCCAGTCTGGTAGGTGTGAGGCAGAAGAAACCCAGGAGCTCTCCGCCACGATGTTCCCTGGGTCCCCAGGTCCCCAGCTGGTCTGCTCCCCCTCTTCCTGGGTGTCTTCTTGTGTTTGAGTTGTATGTGGCAGGAGAAGAGGGAGAGAGCTCGCCTCTCTGTCTCCCCGGAAGGGGATCTTTCATTTTTGTGACTTTCAATGAGCGATGGTGATTTGACGGCTTGAACCACTCGGTCACCACTCAGTCTGCAGGGTCAGATTCTTCCTCTGGGGCTGAATTTAGTGGCACATAACAATAAATGCTGTTGAAGATGCAGGGGAACACAGGAGCTCTTACCCACTGCTGGTGGGAGTGTAAACTGGTATGGCCACTACGGAAATCAGGATAAACATTTCTCAAAAATCGAAAGTTAGGACTACCATACGATCCCGGGTCGTTACCCAAAGGGATTGAGGTCAGCATACTCCAGAGACACCCGCACCCATGTTTATCATGGCACAAATCACAGTAGCCAAGTCGTGGAATCAGACTAGGTATCTGTCACCGATGGAGAGAATGTGGCAGATACATACACTGGAGTATCACAGAGGACAATCGTCATTTGCAGGAAAATGATAGGACTGGAGAGCAGCAATCTCTGAGTAAGTCAGCGAGACTTACCAGATAGAAGAACCCGTGTCCTGTGCTCCCTCTGTGTGGAGTGGGGGAAGGGGAGCGGCGAGAGAGTAAGAGGGAGACATCATAGAGAAGAGGAGGGGATGGGGAGAGAGGACGAGAATGACCAAAGTATGAGATGGGCACGCAGGAACACACCGCAGTGAATCCGGGCATCCTGTATGATTAACATGCACTCATAAAAGTTTAAAAGATTAAATGAGTCAAGTGTTTCCCCGCTTTAAAACTTCTCAGTGTCTTCTGTGAGACCAGGGAGCTTGTGTTTTGGGAACAGTTGAGGAGTTGACCTTTCATCTCTAACCCAAGGACACCCCAGTGGAGTGTCCAGGGAGCCACCATAAGCCACGAGATTCCATGAGAAGCAGGGATCACCGGCACTCAACTCTGACGCTGGCTCCTGATACGGAGGAGGGAATAAATGCATGCGAATGGATCTGGGGACAGACAGAGAGAAGGCCTGTTGCTGGGAGGTTCCAGGAACGAGAAGAGCCAGTGGGGAGAAAAGGGGACGAGCTGGAGAAGTCCACAAGGAGCAGGAATGGCGGGCGCCAGCACATCGTGATTGCGCCAAGTGCCCTGAACTGTACCCTTTGAAGATGGTTAGTTGTAGGTTCCATGAATTTCACTTCAGTTAAAAGTCTGAAATGAATACACGATCCGAGACTGGATCTCTTTTTGGAAGAAAAAGAGATGTTAAAAGACACTGTGGGGTAGCTGACAAACTGGCAGGTGGACAGAGGGTTGCAGGAGCCGGTCCATGTCACCTTTTCCAAAGGCTGTAAGTGTACTGAGTTCTGTAAAGGTGTCGCTGTTCTCAGGAAACACGGAGTGAGGTGTCTGGGAGCAGAGGGCGCAGGCTGTGCAGCATGTGTTCACACCTTCCCGAAGCACCTCTCTGTGCAGGAACCCAGCGCGGAGCAGGTGGCCCTGAGTACAAGGCGCCCAGCGCTCGCTCTCTCCTCCCGTTTACACGACCGAGTCACACCATGAGGCGTCCTGTTAACTTGTTAGCTATGGTCTGTCCGTCCCCACGTGAGGCAGGAGCTTTGTAAACTCCAGAGTGCCCAATCCTGGAAGGGTGCCTTGTGCCTGGAGGCTCCCTGGGTAACCGTGGATGGAGCGATGCAGAGCGCGGCTGCTTTAGCAGTGGGTCCCCGGGGAGAGTATGCGCAGCCCAGGGCAGCACGCTCGCTGTCCCCTTCGCCTCTCACACCCACACACTGGCCTCTTCTCGGGTGCTCCCCTTCCTGGGCTTCCCCATCACACCCTCCTCCTGTGCCCCTTCCCTCTCCTGGGCAAACCCTCCCGTGGGGGTCCCGGGCTTCACCCTCACTCTCTGCTTTCTCCCCCGCCCCCCGCCCCCGACGTTTCCATTTATTCATATTTTGCTGGATTTGACGTGCGTGTGTGTGTGTGTGTGTGTGTGCGTGTGTGATCTCCAGCCCTAATCTCACTTTTAATCCCAGGTGCTATATATTGCCAGGTGTGCGTCGGCTCTCCCAGGGACCCCCTGGTGTAACACTTGTAACTTAAGGCACTGTCCTTTCTCCACCCGGTTCCCAGCTGAGTTAATGGCTCAGCATTTGCTTTCTGGTGACTCTACCCCCACTTACCTGTTCCTATCCACCATCACTCTTCTGCTTGCTTTTTTTTTTTTGCCTTTTTTGGGGGGAAGGGAGGGCACTGGGGATTGAACCCAGGGATACTTTACCACTGAGCCACATCCTCAGCCTTTTTTTATTCTTCTGTTTTGAAACGGGGGGCTCATTCAGTTGCTGAGAGTCTAGCTAAATTGCTGAGGCTGGCCTCAAGCCTGTGATCCTCCTGCCTCAGCCTCTCAGGTTGCTGGGAATACAAGTGTGCTCCATAGTACCTGGCTTAGTCTTTGCTCTTCAGTTCTTAGTCACTCTTCCTGGTGTTACCACTTGCCTATGTGTCTCGTAGCTCTTAAGCACCTCAAGGGCTGCGCACACGCAGCATTCATGTTTTAGCCCTTGCTGGAGACAATGCATTTAAAGTCCACATGCACACTGAAGAGTCAGATCGTCTGCCACTTGCTGTTTCTGCCACTCACGGGGCCCTCTTTCACGACCTGATGGTCTTGCTGTTGGCATAGGACTCACCTCTGCAGGAGATGCGGCCTGGGCCTTGCACTGGTGTCTTCCCCTCCCCACCACAGTGTCTCCAATCTGCCAAGTGTGGGGGAACCACGGGGAGGAGCAGGCGGTGCATGTTGGGGTACCCGGAGACCCAGTTACTCGGCAAGGTCACCTTCCAGACCTCCCTGTTTAAATCTCTGGCTGCAGTCATGCCCCAATCAGAGCTGGGTCTCCCTCGCCTGTGCCTGAGCGTGGGACTGCAAGTGTGCATACTAATGTAGGTCACTGTGTGTGCTGGGAGGGATCCTAAGTCCCCGTGAACTCTATTCTTACCAAACTGTGCATACTAGGGAAGACACCAATATCGGTGCCATTTACTGTTCTGGGGTGGGAGTTGTTGGGGGAGAACAAAAGCATTTTGAGTAAATTTCAATTTTCATAAATCAGTTTTTTTAAAACAAGCTATCCCAGAATATCTGGTGAGGCGGTGCTCCTCTCTTCCTGCTCTTTCTCACACAAGATCCACCTCAGAGCTTACGGGAAAGCCAGACTTTAAAGACAGGATATTAACTCTTGGCTTCCTTCCCTTCCCATCTCCCCACAGAGAATTTCGTTAAGCCAACAGAGGAATTAAAAGGGTTTTCTCTTAGAAATGAGGAGGGAAGTGAAGAAGTCTGTAACCTGGTCAGTGGTGTCAGGCTGAAAAACCTGTCGCCCCCCGCGTCACTGAAAGGTAAGGGGCACTCCACCTGGTGCCGGCTCTCTCCGGGTTCCGCCTCCACTTCCCCTGGGATCCCCCCTGCCCCAGGAGGGAGGGGCCAGGGCTCTCGGCCTGTCTGTCCTGCGTTGCTCTCGGCCTGTCTGTCCTGCGTTGCCCTGGCCTGTCTGTCCTGCGTTGCTCTCGGCCTGTCTGTCCTGCGTTGCTCTCGGCCTGTCTGTCCTGCGTTGCCCTGGCCTGTCTGTCCTGCGTTGCTCTCGGCCTGTCTGTCCTGCGTTGCTCTCGGCCTGTCTGTCCTGCGTTGCCCTGGCCTGTCTGTCCTGCGTTGCTCTCGGCCTGTCTGTCCTGCGTTGCTCTCGGCCTGTCTGTCCTGCGTTGCCCTGGCCTGTCTGTCCTGCGTTGCTCTCGGTCTGTCTGTCCTGCGTTGCTCTCGGCCTGTCTGTCCTGCGTTGCCCTGGCCTGTCTGTCCTGCGTTGCTCTCGGCCTGTCTGTCCTGCGTTGCCCTGGCCTGTCTGTCCTGCGTTGCTCTTGGCCTGTCTGTCCTGCGTTGCTCTCGGTCTGTCTGTCCTGCGTTGCCCTGGCCTGTCTGTCCTGCGTTGCTCTCGGCCTGTCTGTCCTGCGTTGCTCTCGGCCTGTCTGTCCTGCGTTGCTCTCGGCCTGTCTGTCCTGCGTTGCTCTCGGCCTGTCTGTCCTGCGTTGCCCTGGCCTGTCTGTCCTGCGTTGCTCTTGGCCTGTCTGTCCTGCGTTGCTCTTGGTCTGTCTGTCCTGCGTTGCTCTCGGCCTGTCTGTCCTGCAGGCTGGTTCTTCTACTTCCGATTAGGAGCCTCCCTCCCGTGATGTGTTGCGAGTCTGATTTGGACAGGTTTGTTCAACTGCAGAAGAGAATGAGGAACAGCACATTTTCAGTTAAACAGAAGCCAAATATGAGAGGGAAAAGTCTAGCATTGAGACACTTCTGCCGTCTACTCTTGTGAGAAAGGAATGACAAGGCACTGAATGTCACAGGGGTATTATTAATTATGCTTGGAAGAAAAATGGCTTTCGAGAAATGTTCTAGTTTGCACTCAGCCCCAACGCATGCCATCCAGAGTGACTTCAGACCTTGGAACTCTGTCTTCAGTTGGTGCCATTTGTGTGTCCTTCTCTACTGCGTCTCCTGCGGTGGGAAGGAGGACTAGCCCGGCTTCTAGTGTGTTTTGGGAACAGTTGAGGAGTTGACCTTTTATCTCTAACCCAAGGACATCCTGGTGGAGCGTCCAGGGAGCCACCGTAAGCCACAAGATTCCATGAGAAGCAGGGATCACCGGCACTCAACTCTGACGCTGGCTCCTGATACGGAGGAGGGAATAAATGCATGCGAATGGATCTGGGGACAGACAGACAGAAGGCCTGTTGCTGGGAGGTTCCAGGAACGAGAAGAGCCAGTGGGGAAAAGAGAGGACGAGCTGGAGAAGTCCACAAGGAGCAGGGATGGCGGGTGCCAGCCGCGGCCTGCGTGACCCCTGCTGTCTGTACACATCCCTGTCCCACTTTGACCCAAAGTCAGAGCCCTGGAGGCAGCCTCACTCTGCTCCTGTGTGTCTTTAGAGCTGCAGCTGCATTTTCTCTTTCAAATTTGTCTTAGTTGTAGGTGGACAAATGCCTTTATTCCGTTTATTTATTTTCACGTGGTGCTGAGGATGGAACCCAGGGCCCCACACGTGCGAGGCGAGCCCTCAGCTGCTGAGCCCCAGCCCAGCCCTGCAGTGTGTCTTCCTGCACAGGAGCGAGCTGCGAACCAGACTTAGCTTAGCTGGGTGTCTGCAAGAGGAGCTGTAGAGCAGGACAGGGCCTGTCCAGGATGTGGGTAGTCAGATGGGTAACTAGTGTCCTTCTGTGTGTGGCTTTCCACCTGCAGAAATCTCTCTGGTCCAGCTGGACAGCATGAGCCTCTCCCACCAGATGTTGGTGAGGTGCGCGGCCATCATTGGCCTGACCTTCACCACGGAGCTGCTGTTTGAGGTTCTCCCTTGCTGGAACATGAAGATGATGATCAAGGCCCTGGCCACCCTCGTGGAGCTGAATGTTTTTTACTGCTTCCGGAATGGCAAGGATCTTCGACTGGCCCTGAAGAAAAATGCCACCTCCTTTGAGGTTCACCATCGCTCCTCGTCTCTGAGACCCAGCGAGGAGATGGGTGAGTCGCACCTGAAGTGACCCATATTTCCCCTTGGCCAAAGGCGCATAGACTCACGGGCTGATCTGTGCTGGGTAGCGGGTTTATCTCTTGCCCACTGCCTGGCTGGCAAGCCCTTCCTGTTCCCTCCAGCTCACAGCGAGGAGGAGGAGCTCCGGGAACTGGAGGGCGAGGTGATCGAGTGCCACATCATTCGGTTCTCCCGGCCTATAATGCAGAAGACAGCTTACGAGCTCTGGCTCAAGGACCAGAAGAAGGCCATGCATTTGAAGTGTGCCCGCTTTTTAGAGGAGAATGCCCACAGGTGCGACCACTGCAGAAGTGGGGACTTCATCCCGTATCACCACTTCATGGTGGACATCCGCCTCAACACCTTGGACATGGACACCATTAAGAAGATGACTAAGCCTCGGGCAATCCAAGGTAAACCTCCTTCATTCCTAATGAACGCCAGCTATTCCTGGGAACTCTGGAGACTAAGATCTAGAAGCAGTGAATCTGGACCCCAGGGACTTGGCTTGGGCACAGGGAGGCTGAGACCTCAGCAGCCTGTGGGGAAGGAGAAGGTGGGGACTGTCCACACAGCTCTGTCTAGCAGAACCCGCCTCACTGTGAGATTGACAGGGCCCAGGTTTGGGGATCCGGGTTCTGGCCTGACTAGAGCCTAAACTAAAATGCCTGTATGAGTTCACAGCAATGGCTGGGATCCAAGGGGGCTGGGATGGTCCAACTTGATGCAGCGGGAGTGCGGTTGTGGCTTTGTTGATCTAGTGTGAAACAATTCCCAGTGGAAAGGAATAGGAGCGGGAGAGAATCCGGCAGGGAGGAGCAGGCAGGGCTCCAGAGAAGTGTGCTTGGTCTTAAGGCAGGGTTTCCAGACCACAGCAAAGCAAAGGTAGAGAGGCCACACACTTGCAACAGAGCTGGGGAAACAGCAGAGGGCTCAGGGGCGCGAGGGACCAAGGACTCAGTTCCCACAGGCACGACGCCCAGCAGGGTCACGGTAGCAGCACCAAAGCCAGCCGGGAAAGGCCCAGCTCACGGGCCCTGGCGGGAGGGCCTCGGTGCGTATGGCTGGGTTCAGTGGGAAAGCAGGGCTAGACGGAGAGGGTGCTTTATCATGAGGATATCAAACCCCGGGAAGAACTGCAGCAGGTTCAAAATATTCACTCCCATTCATTCTCTATTTTGCATGTATTCTCACTGGATCAAACCTCAAAGTGGGGGGTTATTTTCCCTTTATGGACAATGAAATTGAGGCTCTGGAAGCTTCAGTAATTTAACACAGAAAAAAGTGAGGGATGTTATTTAGTCTCCTCTTCATCTGATGGCTCCCCCTATCCCAGCTTCCTACAGCGAGGGGTTGGGCTTTTAGGGTCATGCTTTACCAGAGATTGCAAGAGGCTCTGCAGCGTCAGGTCCATCACTTTTTAAAAAATAATTCTTTTGTATATATTTTTCTTTGTTGGTGGACTTTTATTTTATTCATTTATTTATATCTGATGCTGAGAATCGTTAATGTTCTGAGCCCCTGGGGCTGGGGCGCAGAGCAGACTTCAGCAGGAGGACATCAAGGGAACTCGATTGTGGCTGAGTCCAGAGTCCCTCAGTAGCATTTGTTAAAATTCTCCTCAGATGCTATATTTTTCCAAGGCCATCGATGCCTTTTTAATTAGTGTTATAAAGGTTGTATTATGTGACGTGATGTTGACGTTGACATTTGAACCAAGATACAAAGACACAATGAATGCTGAGGTCCAAGTTGGGGTCAGAGGTGGATCTGCAGAAACTGCCGAGGAAATAGCAGAGTCTGTCGTGGATAAGGAAGAGCGTCTCTGGGGAGAGGTGGGGGTCCTCTGCACCTCCAGCTGGCTGTCTCTCCACCCACCGCCCAGCACAGAATTTGGGCCGCCCGCCCGCCCAGGAAGGCTAAAGCAAGGGACCTGGGCTGCACTGGGATCAAGCTGCCCCTCCCAGAGCGTGGAAAACATGTGTAGGGTTTCCCAAAGGTCAGACATAACCCGGCTTGGAGAAGAAGGCAGTCTGGGGAGTCTTGGACACGTGAGAAGACCCCCACAGAGGCCTGGGGCAGGGGGCAGGCAGTGGAGAAGGAGGAGGAAGCATTGCCTGAAGGAAGGAGGACCTCGGGCAGCCCCTGGGGAGATGGGGGAGAGGGCGTGAACCCAGTGACCCCTTCCAAGGTCTTAGTAGAGTGCCGTTTTATTTGGGGGAATAAGATAGGCTGGCAGCTAGCAGGTGGGTTCTGAACAGCTGGCCTCCAACAGGTTGGCTCAGAGAAGAGGATTCCAGTTATTTTTGGATCCTGCAATAGACCTTGGCCAGCTAGCCTGTGTCACATGAGGCCACTCTGGGAAGTGCTGCTGGTGATGTTACACTGGAGTGAGGCCAGGGCCTTACCACTATGGTCAGGACCTCCTGCCTGTACGAAAGTCTGTCACCTACACAGACTTCACACAGAGCCTGTGTGAGACTCCCTGCAAGTCTGATCGCAGACGCGGGAGTCCATGACCGTCCTCTGTACTTTCAGTGGTTCTTCTCAGGGTCTTATATTTTCTACATATTGCTGCCTCGTACTGCTTTTCAAAAAGTCAAATTGTGAAATTTATCTGTCCCCCCCCACCACCTCTTCGCCACCATGGTAGATGAAGATTTAACTCTTATACAACTTCCCACCATCTCTTTCCCTTTCCTGTGTGTGTGGGGGGGGCAGGGGGGTCTGGCTGTGTGGCCCAGGCTGGCCGTGAGCTCCTGGGCCTTAGTGCTCCTCACGCCTCCCCGTTAGCTGGGACACATGTGTGTGCCACAGCCCCGCTGCCCCTCCTAGTATCTCGTCACTAGCACCCCAGATGAATCAGTGAGTGCTTCCATGTCGACTGTAGAGATTTCTTAGAGAATGTGTATTTGTCCTAGAGTTTCTAGGAAAATCTCTGAGGCAGTGTCTTCCTCTAGGACATCCTGCTTTGGCCTGGGGAGTACCGCAGTCCCTAAACTTCCCACAGGTGGAGTCGGTCCACTGGACCTGCTGGCCAAGGCCTTACCTGGGAGAGACTTAGGAGGCTGATGTGAGTCAGAGTGAGGAGTGGCTCCTTCTCCAAGTCTCCTTTGAGCCTCACATCCTTAAAAATGGTGTTTTCTGTGACTCGATCCATTTCAAGGGTCCACAGCTCCTCCTTCATCCCTCCCCTGGCTCAGCAGAGTCTGCCTCCCCCTTCAGCTTCCAGAAACTCAAGGGCCTTGTTGGACATTTCATTTATTCAACAGATACCACTGCGTCAGGTACATTAGTGAGCAAAGCAGCATTCTTTTGGGAAAAGTGGATGTGAAGAAGAAGTAACCATGATGATAACAAATCTAGGGCTGGGGTTGTGACTCAGAGGTAGAACGCTTGCCCAGCATGCATGAGGTACTGGGTTCGATCCTCAGCACCACATAAATGTAAAATAAACATACTGTGTCCATCTAAAACTAAAAAAAAAATAAATATTAAAAAATAACAATAATAACAAATCCCACAGACGGCAATGGAACTTTGGGCAAGGGGATTAGGAAGAGAAGGTCATTAGGGTAGCCCTCAGGAGACTCATGTAGAGACAGAGCAGGGTTTTCTCGTGTGGATGGCTAGGATATAGTGTGCCAGGCAGAGGGGACAGCCAGCACAAGGTCCCTGTCAGGAATGTGGCCCCTCCCGTTCTCCACCTGAAGAGTGTACACCTTTAAAAAACATTTTATTCTCATTTAATGGGGTAGATGTCCTGGGGCTCGGGCTGGGGAGGACCCAGAGGCAGAGTGCTTAGCCTGCTCAGTCCTTCATTCACTCTGAGCACTAGAAACAGTGTCTTGGCCTGGAGGAGCAGGAGGTACAAGGAGGAGACAGTCTGACCCTTCAACCTGAAGTCTTATTCCAGGCCTTTGAAACTATGGGGTGAGCAGGTGGTGTCTTTGCTTTCTTCTTCTCTTCTATGAGCATTTAGTATCTTTTTTCTTTTGATTTTTATAAATAGTCCTTGGAGTAGGAAGCTCAATATAATAACCTTTATAAATGAAGAAAATAGAAAACTATAAGTAATATGATCCACTCAGTGGGTAATAAAGGCAGAGAGGATATCTCGCATACCCTGTTTTCTCTAGCCAATATTCTTTTCTCTGCATCTAATTCTCGCACCATTATGTGTGCATGTGTGTGTGTATATATATATACACCCCCACCCCTTGCAAAGCATTAAACTGAGGGCCTTGCACATGCTAGACAAGAGCGCTACCACTGAGCTCATCCTCAACCCCTACCATTACAATTTGAAACATTTAAAAACAATACATATAATAATATAGGACACTGAAGGAGGAGGAATAGCTTTTCATTTCTACTCATCAGTTTTTTTTCAACAAACATTTATTTATGTATCAAATATTTATTGAGCCCCGATTCATGCCAGGTAGTGGTGTCCATATTGGGACCATAATGGTAAAAATGATGGGATGGTCACATGTCCATTCACAAGTTTGAATTTCAGTGGAGGCCAGAGGACAATAAAAAGATGAATTAATAAAACCGTCCAGGGGCCTTGTGGGACCAAGTGAGTTGGGACAAGTTGGAGAGGATTGCTCAGAATTACTGCTGGCTGTGTATTACAGGAGTTCGGCTAGAGGGACTTAAACTTATTATTAAGTTCATTTTGCTCTTATGTAAAATGTTCTTCTCACAAGACACTAGCACATCAGGAACCAAAATAGCTGCTGGAACTGCAGCCATCATGTTCCCATTTAGTGCCAGGAGAAAGAAGGAAGGAGGAAGAGAAGGGGAAGAAGAAAGGGATCCGCCCCCTTTGAGGAATTCTCTAGAAGTGTCCTACCCAATATTTCCTCTATATCCCATCACAGAGTTTGAACCCATGACTGTATTCAGCTGCAAGGGAGGCTGGAAAATGTAACTAATTCTGAATAAAATTGAGTTTTGTTAGTAAAGAGGGACGGAGAGAAGGAGACGGAGCTAGAGATCCAGGTCAGGTTGTTAAAGACCCACTCCATCTTCTCTATAGAAACAGCCCGAACGGGACGGGCTCCGCTCCTGTCCAGAGAAAGTCTTGGCAATGCAGGAGGGCAGTGCCAAGGGAAGGAGGGCAGACGGGAAGGATTCAGGTGTGTTCCTGGGTGGGGTCCACCGGACGTGCTGCTGGGCTGAATGAGGAAGGGTGGGGAGAGCAGGGAATCTAGCCTCTGCCTGGGTTCTTGCCTTGAGGCAATGAACCATGGCAACCAGCAATACTAAATTAGGAAAGATGTGCGAGGGTCTAGGTGTGTGGAGGAGAGAGATTCAAGAGCTCTGTGTGAACACGGTAACTTTGCAATGCCTGTTAGGCATCCAAGTGGCTCTGACCAAGGAGGATTTTGGATGTGTAGGCATGTAGCTGGAGTAGATGGTCAGGGCTTAGGCATATGAATTTGAAAGTCACTGGCACATAGATGGGATTTAAAGTCATGGGCAGATGAAATAAGGGGGAAATCAGGATGGGAAAGGAAGCCCCGTGCCCAGCTGAGCCTTAGCAGCATTTAGATGATGGCTCAGCAGGCTGTGAAGGAGGGTGGGGACCGAGGCAATCTGTGCTGTCAAAACTGGTGAAAAGAGAGAGCAGTAGCTTGTCCTGAATCCTGCTGAAAGGTGTGATCAAATGTGGGCAAATGCACAGCCCTTCCATTCGGCAATGCAGGAGCCACTGGGAACCTCGACCAGAGCAGTTTTATTTCTTCTGTATTTTTTATTGTTGCTCTATAATTATACATAATAGTGGGATTCATTGTTACATGCTCATGCAGATGACAAGATAATGGTGTAATCTGGTCAGTATCACTCCCAGTATCTCCCCTTTCCTTCCCCTCTCCCTCCCTGGTCCCTTTCCTTCCTTCTACTGGCCTCCAAGAGAAGCTTTCCAGGACCAGGGGAGAGAAAGCCCAACGCATTCAGCCTCTACTTCCGAGGACAAGTGGGAGAAGTCCGCAAGGAGAGGGGTCTGCAGGAGGCCTGATGGCACGTGCAGGGCGGGGCGCTTGCTCCGTGGTGGAAGGGAATAAAAGACAACTCCTGAGATGCTCACAAGGCATTTCTAGAACCGCGGCCGTGGAGCTAGCCGACCCTGTAGTAGCCCTGCCTCTGCCACCAGCAAATCCGGACAGGAGACAGTTCCTCCCTGGCTCTAGGGTTTTTCCGCTTCCTGAATGGAGTCGGCTGGATTAGACAGTCCTCCTTTGTTTTCTATTATAAGATCATCTCTGCTGACATCTGGTTCAGCAAAAGGCTTTCACTTCAAGATTCTCCATCCTTGACTCAGCATTTTGGGGCATTTCATTTAAATTTTATCTGTATTTTCCCACTTGAAACTGAGTCACTTTGTTCAGGATGGTTAAATTGCTATTTCAATTAGCGCAGGGTAGAGGAGTTAGGGTACCGTTGTCAACTATGACCAATAGGACATCTCAGAGGCTTCCTGAAACGGAGGGATGGTTTACGTCCTGCTCCTGTGATACCCTGGTAAAGCTTAACAAGTGGCCTGGCTGCAGTTAGTCTGGCACTCAGACCGCTCCTGGGTTGCTGTCCCTTAGGTCCTCAGAGTTGGTTGCTTTCCTGTGGAAGGAGAGAGTAGAGCATACACATAACCCCTCTCAGCCCAGAGGTGACATCTTCTGTGTAAGAAGTATTCTCAAGGCTTCTCATGGTGCAGCAGGGCTGGGGGATGTGGCTCCTGGCTGGGCAGCAGCCCTCTGTGGCCAGAAGGGAACCGGAGTCTTTGAGCACCACATAAAAATAAATAAAATAAAGATATTGTGTCTCATCTAGAGACCAGACCCCTCTGCTACAGGGAGCATTACAATTATCCCCACAACTCCTTTGTTTGTTTATTTTCCAGCTAAAGAAGAGATCAGCTTAGCTAAATCAGAGGTTCCTAAGAGATCTGAGTTTCTTCCTGAAAATCTCAGGTACAGCTATATATAACCATTTAGGAGATAAGAATATAAATCATTATCAGTAAATTCACTGTTAGACTCTTTCATCTGGTCAGTCCTTTTGGCCTCTGAGATACAATGGGAAAATGTCCAGGCTATGTGTGATGACTTCAACAGTCAGTAGTATCTGTAGTAGGTTTAAATGCCTTGTTCTTGTTAGTTTTTAAAGATATTTTCATATCAAAGGAGTACACTAGCCAGGAGAGGTTGTGCATGCCTGACATCCCAGCGTTTCGGGGGTCTGAGACAGAAAAGATTGTGAATCAAAGCCAGTCTCAGCAAAAGCAAGCCACTAAGCAACTCAGTGAGACCTGTCGCTAAATAAAATACAAAATAGGGCTGGGGATGTGGCTCAGTGGTTGAGCACCCCTGGATTCAATCCCCAGTTACCCCCGCCCCCCGCAAAAAAAAAAAAGAGTATGCTAAGCTAGATGTGGTGGGTGCACGGCTGTAATTACAGAGAACTGAGAGGCTGAGGCAGGAAGATATCAAATTTGAGGCCAGCCTCAGCAACTCAGCCAGACCTTGACTCCAAATCGAAATCAAAGGGCTGGGGCGCTGGGGTTGTAGCTCAGTGATAGAGTGCTCTCCTCGCATGCGTGAGGCACTGGGCTCCATCTTCAGCACCACATTAAAATAAATTAAGATATTGTGTCACATCTACAACTAAAAAATATTTTTTAAAAAGGGGGTGGGGGGTGGGGGTGGGGGGTGGCTCAGTGGTGGAGTACTTACCCAGCATCAGCAAGGCCCGGGTGCAATCCCCCAGTACCCCCCCCCCCAAAAAAAAAGCCTGCTCTGTGTATTACCTGTTTATCTCCTACTTATTTTTGCATTTAAACAGTCCTGAAGAAATAAAAGATACGATCTTGGGGTTCTTTGACCTCATTATAACCAGGCTGAGGGCAGTCGAGGAAGACATCACCCCCCTGGAGTCCTGCCAGTGTGAGGAGGTCCTGGAGATCGTCATCCTGCCTCTGGCCCAGCATTTTGTGGCTCTGGGAGAAAACAACAAAGCCTTGTATTACTTCCTGGAAACTGCTGCCGCTTACCTCATCCTGGGCGATAACTACCTGGTAAGCTGCCGGGGAAGCTCCCGGAGGCTTTTTTTATCGCACCATGTTCCTGACTCCTGCCATCGCCCTTTCCTCTGAAAACCACCTTGCTCAGAGGCGGTGTCCAATTGAGAAAAGAGAGTGGGAACAAACTGCAACCAGGATCAAACATCGATCAGTACCCTGCTCCCTTAGAGTCTGGCATGGCCTGTCTCCCTGTGTGGGAGGTAAGTGGCCCTATTCCCAGCTCGATACAGCGAGGACTCTGGGTATCAGAGCTGTGGTCCAGCACAGCCTTCCCCAGTAATGTCCCCGGTGACGTTCACCCTCTGGTACCAGAATGCCTTCGAGCATGGAATACCTAGAGGTCTTCTGACGGGTGCAAATCTGGTTTTAATCTCATCTCCAAAAAGGCCTCCTCAGGCCGGGGTTGTGGCTCAGTGGTAGAGCGCTTGCCCGGCATGTGTGAGGCCCTGAGTCCGATTCTCAGGACCACATAAATAAATAAAATAAACATCCTTTGACCACTAAACAACATGTTAAAAAAAATATTTTTAAAAGAAGGCCTCCTCCACTTTTTCTTGATGCAATTTGTGCTAAAATCATCACATATAGCTTTAGGCCCCAAAGCACAAAGGCATGTGTCTCCAGGATAATTATAAATAAGGCTCCAGGGCAATGTGACCCATAGAATGCCATTGAAATGATCCACTGCTAAGCAACTTGGGTTGAGCTGGGCTTGGCTGAGGAGGTTTTTTTACTGCAGACATTCCGGGTGCTCTGATATGCTGAGACACCTGTAGGTCTCAGGAGCATGGGCAGGGCAGGCAGGCTGGGCTGAGGAACCCAGTGTCTCTCCACCTGTCTGACCTTAGGGCCTCCTGGAGCTGCTGGCCGACTAACCCTCCCTGAAGGAATTTGAGGAAAGGTCTCTCTGGGCCTTGCTTCCTCTGCCTCCAGCAGCTGCAGAAGCTCCACACACCTGAGCGGCTGTGTCCCCAGTCCTTGGCCACAGTGCTGGTCTAGGCTGTTTTAAAGTTGCTGTCCATCACAGCAGTCCAATCAACATTCATACCTTGGATTCATATACAATTTTAAAAACTAAACCATTAAGAATGTCAGCCCCTCAAGTGTTTAAACATGGAAGTCTCGTATGTATTTCAGGCATGTAGCTGGGGCGGCAGTGAGGAGGTGGCCAGGGGGTTCCAGGAGGCAGAGGTTTAGGTAGCCTCAGAGACCAATTCGCTGAAGCCTGTGGGTTCCCCTGTCACTCCACACGGAGTGGTGACTGAGGAGGAAGACAGTGACTGACAGCAGGGGCCGGGTGCAAGGTCCCAGTGCGCCCTGCCAAAGAGAACCTGGCTGGCTGGCTGGACAGCAGCTGCCTCCTCACGACCCTCCTGGCCTCCCTTGGCTGCAGGAGGCTGGCTGTGCCGCCTCCGGTGCTCCTCTCCAGGTCTGATCTTGTCTTGGTGTTTGCTCACGCCCTGGAGGCTGGCGATCAGTGAGGAGAGCTGCCTGGGGCTCACCTTCCTCTGCTGCCTCCCAGGGATGGCCTCGGCAGAGGCAGTGGGGCGGTCAAAACTTGCAGCAGCAGGAGGAAAGGCGGGATTGCTAGTGGGTCCTCTTGGCCGAGGGATCCTGCACCCAGGAGCATGCGACAGGGAGCTCTGCCCAGCAGCTGCTCCCTGGAGCTTGTTGTTCTCAGTGGGGCTGGGGACAGGGGAGGCCCACAGTGGTGCCTGCCTCCTCTCCTCCACCACGTACGGCGGGGGTTGTGGGGGGGCTGGTGTCCCTTCAGGGGTCTGTCCCGCTGGCTCAGGGCCGCTCTCTCTGTGCTGCTTGCAGGCATACGTGTACTTGAACGAGGGAGAGAAGCTGCTGAAAATTCTCAGGCAGAAAAAGTCCTGGAGAAGGACTTTTGAGTCTGCCACATTTTACAGTCTCAAAGGCCAGGTAAGAAGCCACTGGAGGCATGACTCAGTGGTCATTAGCAGAAGTCACCCTTGAGCTTCCCAAGTCCTCCTGCCACCCACACCAGAGTCCCGCCTGAGCCCCGAGCCCCCAGCCCTCACAAGCTCGCTGTCCCGGGCGACAGCTCTGTGAACCGTTTCAACAACCTCTAGGAATGGACGTGAGCAAGACGCCAAATGCTGACCCTAGCTGAGCTTCCTTCACGCCGTTATCCAGCCAGCAGTCACAGTTACACCCCCCACGCACCCCACCCCACAGGAGGGTCGTTTCCGGGCCACAGAGGAGCTGTGTTTAAGCATCCCGCCGTCTGTGGCTGGAACCTTCAGGCCCACCCAGACTCAGGGCTTCTCCTCTTCCCTCCGGCTGCCTCCAGGTCTGTTTTAACATGGGCCAGATGGTGCTTGCCAAGAAGATGCTGAGGAAGGCGCTGAAGCTCTTCAACCGCGAGTTCCCCTACAACATGATCTCCCTGTTCCTCCAAACCCACGTGGAGAAGAACAGACACTTCCACTACCTGAACCAGCAAGGCTCGGAGAGCTCCCCTCCAGGGTAAGGGGGAGCTGGGGGAGCGCAAGGCAGACCCCACACCACCCAGGTCAGCCCCCAAGCCCCGGCCTCTAGGGGGCGCCAGGACCCCTGTTTAGCTCTGACCAGTGGGAGGAAGAGCGTCTAGGAGGGGCTCCTAGGCCAGGGCCGGGTCCCCAGAGCACCTCACAGGCAGCTTTTGTCAGAAGGAGTTCAGATGACAAAAGTATGAGGGTCCCTCTGCAGAGCGAGCTCCAGTGGCCTCCTCTGCTGTAACCTGCTCACCACCAGGCCACACTGTTGTAACCAGCACCAGCCAGCCCAGAACCTCAGTCTCAAGCCCACTTCCATTCAGTGCTGAGACACTGGGCATTGTCCCAACCCAGGGACATTGGCCAAAGAGCAAACTACTGCCCGTCCAGGTAGCCCGATGAGGACGCGGGGTGCCATGGTCAAACTGTACTGGTAAGATTTGTGCGTTTGCTCCCTCTAAAACTGGAACAAGACAGGGCTGCCCTCCTTCACCACTTCTACTCAACAGAGTCCTGGAAACTCTAGCCAGAGCAATTAGGCAGGAGAGAGAAATTAAAGGGATGGGAATAGGAAAATAACTAAAACTATCCCTGTTTGCTGAAGACATGATTCTTCGTGTCTATATTTAGAAGACCCAAAAAAACTCCACTAGAAAACTTCTAGAACTCATAAATGAATTCAGCAAAGTAGCAGGATACAAAACTAACACCCATAAATCAATGACATTCCTATACATCAGTAATGAATAAACGGAAAGAGAAATAACCCCATTCAAAATAGCCTCAAAAATACATTTGGGAATCAATCTAATAAAAGAAACATAAGACCTCCACAATGAAAACTACAGGACTCTAAAGAAAGAAATTGAAGAAGATCTTAGAAGATGGAAAAATCTCGATGTTCTTGGATAGGCAGAGGTAATATTGTCAAAATGACCACACCACCAAAATACAGACTTAATGTAATTCCTATTGAGGTTCTGATGACATTCTTCACAGAAATAGAAAAGGCACTCGAGAAATTCATTTGGAAAAATAAGAGGCCCAGAATAGCCAAAACAATCCTCAGCAAGAAAAGTGAAGCAGAGGAGGCATCACAATACCAGACCTTAAATTATACCATAGAGCTATAGTAACAAACAGCATGGCACCCAAACAGACATGAAGACCCACGGAACAGAATAGAAGACACAGAGACACACCCACATAAACACAGTTATTATACTAGGCAAAGGCACCATAAACATGCATTGGAGAAAAGATAGCTTCTTCAACAAATGATGCTGGGAAAACTAGAAATTCATACATAATAAATGAAGTTTGTTAGAGTCTGTAAACAAATCAGGATGGCGCCTGGCAAATGTTAGAGTCTGTAAACAAGTCTGGATGGCACCTGGCATTTTGCCAGAGGGAGTGGTTTGTGAAGTAACGCCAGCGAGCCATTAAGTGTGGAGATTCCTTATTGGTTGACTGCTGTATCTAGTTTATGTTAATTAGATAAGCTGTGTGGAATGTATATATACCCCTCCTGTCCTACAATAAACAGCTCCCACTCCTGCTGTATCAATGTACACAAGTTGCTCGTCACCCCCCGGTTATTTTGCTGCAGCCGGCCTGCGGCAGAAGTTAGACCCCTATCTCTCACCCTGCACAAAACTCAAAGTGGATCAAGGGCCTAGGAACTAGAACAGAGACCCTGTGCCTACTAGAAGAAAACGCAGGCCCAACTCTCCATCATGTCAGCTTAGGAACCAAATTCCTCAATAAGACTCCTAAAGCACAAGAAGTAAAATCAAGAATCAATAAATGGGATGGTATCAAACTAAAAAGCTTCTTCACAACAAAGGAAGCAATCAAAAACATAAAGAGAGAGCCTTCAGAATGGGAGAAAAATCTTTGCCACCTACACCTCAACTAGAGCATTAATCTCTAGGATATATGAAGAACTCAAAAAACTTAACACCAAAACAAAACAAAACAAAACAAAAATAACACAATCAATTATTGGGCTAAGGAACTGAACAGACACTTCACAGAAGAAGAAATAGGATTAGTCAACAAATATATGAAAAAATGTTCAAAATCACCAGCAATTAGAGAAATGCAAATTAAAACTACTCTGAGATTTCATCTGACTCACGTCAGAATGGCAGTTATCAAGAATAACAATAAATATCATGAGTAACAATAAATATCGGTGAGAATGTGGGGAAAAAGGTTCATTCATATACTGGTGGTGGGACTGCAAATTGGTGCAACCACTCTGGAAACTAGTTTGGCAATTCCTCAGAAAACCTGGAATGGAACCACCATTTGACCCAGGTATCCCACTCCTTGGCATATACTGAAAGGACTTAAAATTAGCATACTATAGTGACATGGCCATATCAAAGGCTCAATTCACAATAGCCAAGCTATAGAGCCAACCTAGGTGTCCTTCAGCAGATGAATGGATAAAGAAAATGTGGTGTATATACACAATTTTAGCCACAAAGAATGAAATTATGGCATTTGATGGTAAATGGATGAAACTAGAGACTATTATGCTAAGTGAAATAAGCCAATCCCAAACAACCAAAAGCCAAAAAGTGTTCTCTCTGATATGCAGATGGTGACTTGCAATGGGGGTGGGGGGGGCGGTGGAGAACCCAATTGGACAGGGAGGAGAAGGGGACGGGAGGGGGAATGGGAATGAAAAAGACAGTGGAATGAATGGGACATCACTTCCCCATGTTCAAACATGAACACAGAACATGTTCAACCACAAGAATGGGAAGTTATGCTCCATGTATATATGATATGTGAAAATACACTCCACGGTCATAACTAAAAAGAACAAATTTAAAAAAAAAAAGAAAACTGTAAGTAATTTTGAACACAGTCCACAGAAAGCAAAATGCACTATAATTTTAAACTCTTCTTTAAAAATAAAAGATTTTTGCATTTCCGTGGGTGGAAATTTTGCATTATAAAACATGATAATGGGGGAGAGAGAGAGTGGGTGGAAGGGTGGGTGAGGCAGGAAGGTCGACCATGGCGGAAGCTGGGTATTGAGTGCACGTAGCTCACTAGACTCTTGTTGCCAAGTACAGGTCTGACAACTTCCATAATAATAAGAGTGTCCAGCGTCTTCCACCTGTTGGCAGTTCATACAAGGAGGCTGTCCCTGGGTGGTGGCCTGGAGAGCCTACAGAGGACTTCTCTTCCATTTTGAGAGAGACCCTAGCGCTATTCTTGTACCTTCTGCCTAAGATGCAGCATGGCCGGGTTGCTCCAGCTCTTTTAATTTCACCAAGAGCTGCCTTCCCAGCTTCCAGAGTGGCCCTTAGATGTGGGGTTCCCTGGGTGGCAATGAGATGAGCCAGCTCCTTTACACTGGTGGAGGTGGGCTCCTGGAGGCAGAGGGGAGGGCAGGAGCTTAACAGGGATCTCTGAGAGGCCTCAGGGCCGAGGTGGGCAGCTGCTCTTGAGTCTCTGATGACAGTGTGTGTGACGTGAGCTACTCAGAGCATAGGCATTCTAACAAAACTCAAAGTACTGGGACCCTGTATTTTCCTTGGCTAAACTTAATGACCCTAGTTGGCAACCATGTTATAAAAGGAATAAGAAATACCTGCACAAGGAGAAAAAGTAGAGAAGCGTTGGGAAGAAGGAGTTGGGGTCGCTGTTGCCTTGCCACACCCACCAGGCGACAGGGCAGGCAGGACCCTGGGTCCCCGCCTCCGCTCCTCATTACTGATGAGTGCCCCGCGTTAGCGGTAGAGGGATCGTGCCCTGTCGTCCGTCCCTGTCTAAAGGAAAGGACCCGGATTCTCCCGTCTCTACCCCGCATCTCTACCCCTCCCCCCGCCCCGTTCTCGTGGACGGTGAGACCCAGGGGTGCTGCAGCCCTGGCCCTCTGCGTCCCACTGCTGGACCGAGGGTGTCCCGAGCGTCCTTGGCTCCGTGGAGCAGAGCCCTGGCTCCCGGCCGCGGGGTGCGGTGGAGGCAATAGCCGGGGAGCCTGCGGGGCTGGTCCAGGGCTGGGGTCCGTCGTTCCTTCCTCTGCTAGAAGGGTGGTCATTCCAGACCCAAACGTGATGAACGGTGCATGCCCCTTAACCAGCGAGCGCCCACCCAGACCCGGCTGCCCACGGGGCCCCGCGGGAGCCTGCTCTGCGCCGCGGCCTCACCCCCTTGCGCTCGCCCTGCGCCCTCCGCTGCACAGGAAGAAGAGGCTGGCCCAGCTGTACCGGCAGACCGCCTGCTTCTCCCTGCTGTGGCGGATCTACAGCTCCAGCTACTTTTTCCACTACAAGTTCTACGGCCACCTGGCGGCGGTGATGCAGGTGAACTCCGCGCTGGAGACGCAGAACGACCTCCAGGTAGGGCGCCTTCCCAGCGGCTTGCAGTCAGGAGGGGGTTGGAGAAGCTCTGGCCCGGGGCGCCCCGCTCTTCTCCAACTTCACACTCTTAGAAATGATCAAGGATCCCAAGTGGCTTTTCTCTATGAGTTGTATCTGTTGACAAAAACTGCGACAATTCAAAAATACTTTAAAATAAAAGTAATAAACACATATTAACATTCTTCTTTTTTCTTTCTTTTGGTACCAGGGATTAAACCCAGGGACACTCTACCACTGAGCCACAAACCAGCCCATTTTATTTTTTATTTTGAGAGGGATCTCACTAAGTTGTTTACAGTCTCCTAAGTTGCTAAGGCTGGCTTTGAACTTGGGGTCCTTCTGCCTCAGCCTCCTGAGCTGCTGGGATTTCAGGTGCGCCACTGCACCTGGCAACATTTTTATTTTTTAAAAGAACTCTGTTTCCCCAAACAAACAAACAAAATACAACGACATTGTATTAAAATTTGGCAAATAGCTTAATGTCTGGTTTCACGGAAAATACTAGATTCTGACACCTGCTTCAGCCTTTACTCTGGCGCAGCTTCACACAGGTTACCTCTGGAAACGTGCACAATACACCCAGAGAATGAGGGCAAAAGGGAGAAGCTTAACGGATGATTCTCTTTTAAAAGACATTTTCAGGCTTTCTGTTGTGCAATCATTTACTTATATTTATAAGCTATTGCTTTTATGTTTCACAAAAATTAAACATTTTACCTTTTGTTTAAGGGACGTAGGCAAGAGGGGCCATGGGGCTTGCCTCCGATGCCCCAGCAAATAGATGTAGAAACTCAGTTTGATTTCTGGAAACCCATGGCTTTGGCCGGTGACCAGCTTTATTCCCAGGCTTGATAACCCACGGTTCACTGGCAGGTGCCAGGTGATGTGCCTGGGCTTGGGTCTGGGGACCACCTCAGGCTTTCCCCTCTCCCCTGCCCTGCTGCCATTTCAGATCATTAATGCTTACCTGGACTATTCACTCTACCACCAGCTGGCTGGCTGCCAGGGCATGTGGTTCAAGTATGAGTTGATGGCCATGGAGCAGATCGTGAACCTCCCGCTGAAGGGCGAGGGCATTGAGATCGTGGCCCTTGTGGCTGGTCGACTGGCCCACATCAAATACATAATGGGCCACCTGGACCTGGCCATCGAGTTAGGTAAGGGCTGGTGGGTGAGAGGGAAACGAAGACACAAATAATGCCCCCCCACACACACCGGGATTGTTTTCTTCCCAGGCTCTCGAGCCCATAAGTTGTGGTCACTGCTTCGGAATCCCAACAAACACTATCTGGTCCTCTGCAGACTTTGTAAATCGCTCTTCCTGAAAAGCAGGTATTTATCTTGAAGCCTATTTATTTTCCAAAGTCAGTCATATTGCTGAATGTTCAGGGCTCATTTTTATCCTGGTCCATAGGGCAGGACGGGGAGTCCGGTTCCCAGTAAGATGGGACAGCTGGGGGCCTTCTTTTGCCTTTGGATACCTCTGTTTAACAGAATTCATTCATAAGCATCATGGTTGCTCTCATGAGACTGACCATCCCTATTTTGGAAACAGGACTTCAAGCCCGACAGGTGGTGGGAAAGGGAAATGTCTCATAGGAAGGAAAATGCCCAGACAATAGCAACCAGGACTGAAGGCCAGTTTGGCCTGACTATGGTCACCCTGGTCTCAAGATCTATGAAAAACAGGCTGGGGCTGAGGCTCAGTGGTAGAGCACTCGCCTAGCGTGTGTGAGGCCTGGGTTCGATCGTCAGCACCACAGAAAGATAAATAAGTAGGGCTAGGCATAGAGCTCAGTTGGTAGAGTGCTTGCCTTGCATGCACAAGGCCCTGGGTTGGATCCCCAGCACCCCCAAATAAATAAATAAATAAAATAAAGAAGGAAAGTTATTGTGTCCACCTGTAAATAAAAAATATGTATATATGAAAAAGAAGAATCTATGAAAAAACATATTGGAAAACAAAACAAAACAGATGGCAGTTTGGGTTTAAGGTTTGTTTGGTTTTGTTTTACTGGGCAGGACCAGGACTAGACCAGGGCTCACTTCTCCCCATCCACCACTTGGTGATCCTACTGCCTTCTCTGTTCCACAGATACAAGCAGCTGATCCAGGTGCTGGGGTGGCTGTGGGACCTTTCTGTGGCGGAAGAGCACATCTTCAGCAAGGCATTTTTCTATTTTGTCTGCTTGGACATCATGCTCTATTCTGGTAAGTGCAGCTCTGGAATTGAAGAGAAGGTGGGTGTGGCCCCTGTGCTGTGTGGTAAGGCAGCCACCAGGGCTGAGGCCTTGAGACTGCAAGTTTTCAGGCTGCATGGATATGACGGGGAGGGAGAGGTTGGTGGCTGTGCTGACGAGCGGTCTGACAGGTGCCAAGATTGTGGAGGAACAGCAAGAAGGAGAATCCCGTCTGGAGTCAGTTACACTCTCAGCTCAGTTTACCCTGGAGCTGACAGGCCTGTCTGGCCATGCACCGTGTGCTGGGAGGGCTTCATGTTTACTAGGGTATTCTTAGAGACTGTGCTTTAGATTAAAGGACTGGGTTGCTAATGATGAGAGTGGCAGGCACCAACAGCTGTTAGTGAACCTGACGACCTTGAATTGACTGCAAGTGGGCAGCCCTCGGTGCACAGTTCACCGGCAGGATCAGCGGGGGGCTGTTGCATTTCAGAAAGGGCTGCACATATTGCTGCCGGTCCGGAAGCCTGGCTGGGAAGGTTGGGGAGAGGCCACACTAAGGTCCTCTTTGTGCTCAGGCCAGGAAAGTTGGTTTAGACTCTGCTCTTGCCTGGTCTGGGCTGTGGAATTGCGTTGTGAACCTATAGCATTCCGTGAGAGCAGGGACTCGGCAACACAGGGGTGTAGGACTGTCGTTCTTGAAGTCCACGGGACCCTCTGGCTCATAGCAATCAGAAAGGACTGTCTCCACAGTGGGCTCTGAGGCCCGCAGGACGAGCACCCCCTCCCACCCGCCCGCCACGCTCTGCTGCTGCTTTCTCTTTTAGGCTTTATCTATAGAACGTTTGAAGAATGTGTGGAGTTCATATGCCAAAATGAAGACGACAGACTTCTCAAGTTCCAGAGTGGAATCCTCCTGGGACTTTACTCCTGTGTTGCTATCTGGTAAGTGTCTTGGATGTCACTAAGTTTCTAAGGGGAAACGTCTCCTGGAAGAGCTCCAGGGAGTATTTCCAGAAGAAAGCAAAAGCCTGTGTAGCTTCCACCCGAGTTGGCTGGAGGGCGTCACAGAGTATCCACCCGGAGACAGGAGGGAGGGGTTGTCTAGTTCATCACCTCAACCAAGGACAGGGACGTGGCAGTCTCAGGTGTCCTGCAGTGAGCAGTTGCTACACACACTTTGCTGGAGAAACCGGAAAGGGCATGGCCCGACGGCCTCTGTGTCCCTGGTTCTTGTCTGTGGATTGAACTGAACCCAGACAGAGTCCTGGATTGGGGGGTAGTGGCGGGATTGCATCTGTACCGAAAATGTACATTTTCTTATCATTTTCCCCTAAACAATACAGTAAAACCATATTTACATGCATCACACTGGGTTAGGTCTCCTAAGTCCTCTGGAGGTGACTTTAAGTCGACAGGACAGGGTGCATACGTTATGTGCAAATCCTGGCCATTTGCTGTAAGGTACTTGAGCATCCACAGGTCCTGTGTGTGGGGAGAGGGGTCTTGGAACCAGGCCCCCAAGGGGAAGGAGGGGTGGCCACACTGCTTCTGAGGAGGGTGGAGCCTCCAAACCAGTCATGAGTGGTGCTTGCCCACCTGAACCCACCCACATCAGAGCAGACAGAAACCACGTTAAGAAGCCGGGACTGCAGGATAGGGCACCCTCAGCAGCGGGCAGTCCTGGGACCTGCAGGCCTCTTCCCCCTGTGCAGAGAAGATGCACATCATGCCCAGGCCTGCTGCCCTGGCTCTCAAGACGAAGGACAGAGACAGGGAACCCCGTGCACTTGCCTCGTTCTCTCCCCAGACCACCAGCCAACTGCAGCACTCCTCGCTAGAGGAGTGAGGAAGCAGGCGTAACCTGGGGCTTCACCTGTGGAGGCCCTCACGTGGAAGGAGACGGGAGGAAACAAGACTCTCTGGTAGCCCACTCCCCAGGACCCTAGGCTCAGTCCCATCAGCTTGCTAAGCCTTTGACCAAGCAAGCCTCCAGCGATGGCCACACCTGTGCCTGATGGACAGCAAGCCTCCAAGATGGGTCACAGCCAAACGTTCCTTAAATTCCACAGCCACCCCTCAGCTCAAAGTCCTTCCAGTCTATTTCCCACCCACCTTCAACTACATGCAGCCACATTGTCCACTAGAGGTCTTGAGATGAGAGTCAGTGACAATATGGAGACATTCTTATATAAAACGTCACAAATCAGAGCAGCTTCAAATTTGAATCGAAATGCCTTCTTATTATAAAATTATTTGGGAGAACTCAAAAATCTCCAAATTAATTACCCTTGCCAATTAATGTTCAAAGTCAAATTCACTTGCCATGTGGGTTGAAGTTCAATAATAGTCCAAATGTCATTCTAATTTTCTCTGTTTTGACTGGAGAGTTTTTCAACAGTTGTGTCCTAGGCCAATGCGTCTCACATTTAGTGGGCATAAGAGTCACCTGGAAAAGGTGAGCATGGTGGTACACACCTATGCCAACCTCAGCAACATGTCAAAATGCTGCCTCAAAAAAAAAAAATCACCTGGCCCCACCTGTCTATTTAGTAGAATCTGGGGACCTGAGAATTCACATTTAAAAGGGGAGCCCAGGTGGAACTGAGGACACCAGTCTGCTTACACCACTCAGGAGTGCTGGCCCCTGCATCTCTCTTTGGAAAAACTGGAGCAGTTTCTTCAAGCCCAGAATTTATAACTCCAAGTGTCTGATATGTCTCATTTTTTTAGACTCTAAAGAAAGATGGTGGCTAACATTACCTGGGTGCTCCTAAGGATCTGATTCATTTCAAACCATCAGTGAATTCCGAGTTCTCGGGGCCTCGTGGCCCACAGCCTCCTGTGTTTTCAGGCAGGAGGCCCCCAGAGCCCCAGGGCTGGAAACTGCACCCAGAAGCAGTGGACAGGATGTGAGCTCCCTGTCCCCAGGGGTGGCTCTGATTGTCTTACTTCCCTGTGGTGTGCAGGTACGCCAGGCTTCAGGATTGGGATGAATTCCACACGTTTTCCAGCAGAGCCAAACCCCTGGTGTCAAGGAGAACCCCCACAGTTCTTTACTATGAAGGAATTGCCAGGTACCTGGAGGGGCAAGTTCTCTATCTGCAGAACCAAATTGAACAACAGCTGGAGAATGCCCAGGACCGTGGGGTGGAGCTGCTCAAGGTGAGGCCCGGGGCCCTGTCCCTCCTCCACTGCATGGCCGCCTACTTACTGGGCCAGCCAATTTCTGACTGCAGAATTTACATTAGACGTTTATTTATGATAGACATTTTTGAAGGCAATCTTCCTAAACACCAGAAAGAAGAAAGTATGAGCTGCTTGTATCCCTACTACTCAGCGATGATTGCTTTTATGCACTGAGATATCACCTTTCAAGTTCTTTGATGTGTGTGCGTACACGTTTCCATTTGTTGTGATTTGCTATTAAACATATTATGAATAATTTCCTGTCATTAAATTAAAACAAAGCATAGTGTTTATCTAATATTATTATTATATTATTATATTATATAGCCCAAATTTTCTTGGATGAACTTTTCTACAATATTTTATTGCTATTGTTCTGATAAGCAACCTGGTAGATAAGTCTTTGAACATGACAATTTCAAATATTCAACTGATATGTATTAAGAACTAAACTAAGTACCAGAGTAAAAGAATGAGCAAATTAAGCTGGGTGTGGAGGCATATGCATGTAATCCCAGCAATTTAGGAGGCTGAGGCAGGAGAATTGCAAGTTTGAGGCCAGCCTTAGCAACTTAGCAAGACACTGTCTTAAAAAAATAGAAACAAAAATTTCAAAGGACTGGGCATATACTTCAGTGGTAGAGCACTTGCCTAGTGTGTTCAAGGTCCTGAGTTTAACTCCCCAGTATGGGGGTGGGAAGCAAAGTAGATCTGGGACCGCCCAGGGGGGTACAAGCCCCTCAGGGAATGAAGGGTCAAACTGCCGGTGTTAGCATTTACCTTGTTCTCATAAAAACTGAGCACTGATGTGTTTTTATTGTTGTGTGACAAATTTAATAGCCAGAACCAGCACCCAGGGCTGAGGCTTTATTTAGCTCAGTGGTCGAGCAGGGAGCATGGGCTTGGCGTGTGCGCGCCTCGATTCAATCCCCAGCACCCTAAACAAAACAAACCGACAGCACCCGCTTCCTGTTTCACAGTTAGGCAGGCTGGAGGTCTGGGAGGGCCTGGCTGGGATCTCTGCTGAGGGTCTTATGCGGCTAGAACTGAGGTAGGGGCCCAGCTGCGTTCTCATCTGTAGAAACCAAGAGTCTGTTTCCCAGTCTTGCAGGCCATGAAGACACAGGCCCACTTTAGACAAGCTGAATGATAAGACCTGAACAAGGTAGCTGGGCCCACGGAACAGGGCAGCTCACTGAGTTCTGAACGTTGCCACTCCTGCTTTATGAGAAGAGAGCTTGGGGCTGGGCACGCAGCTCAGTTGGTGGAGTGCTTGGCTTGTGTGCAAAAGGCCCTGGGTTCAAAAAAAAGAGAGTAGAGAGTGATACATGGCCCGGGGGAGGGCTCATTAGCGTTCCCCCCAGAAACACCTCAGGGTCTCTTCCCAGCTTACCAAGTCACTGCCTCCGAACAGGTGGATGTTCAGACTTTGCCCACTGGAAGGTGACATGACACGGAACAGGGGTCTGCAGCTCAGATCTGTGCAACATGCGCTGGCTCTCGGGATAGGGAAATCGCTTGGTTATATAAAATGTCACTGGAGAGAGCGAATGTCTCTTACTTAAGAAGATACTCAGGAGGAATCTGGGATGTACTTAACTCCAGGTCATTCAGAAAAAAATATTCTTGGCCATCTTACACTGGATTTAATTCATTCCAAGTTTCTCTTTTCCCCAAATGTCAGGTGCATGAGTCAACTGTCATTGTCACTTTTAGAGATGAATTGAGTACTGATGAAAGTGCCCCTCACTTGTGGTCAACCTGATCAATATGTGAGAACCCAGACAGAAAAATGAGCAGGTGATTAAATGAAGGTCCATCAATAGTAAAGAGATAAAACCAGGCAAGGCCAAAAACAAGCAGACGGTGCTGGGATCACCACAAAGGCCTAAAACACTAACAAGACTCAGTGTTTGGCTTTTGGATTCAGGGAGGGAGTGGGGATGGAAGCCCGGGGCCAGGACGGGGCCCAGTGCTGGGTGGAGGCTCAGACCCTGGGGGGCAGAGTCTGGATCCTGGAGAGCAGACCTTTATTCAGCGGTGGCAGCCCCAGACTTACTGAGTCCCAGCCAATTCCATTTAGCCAACTCCCTGGGCCATTTCCATAGGCTATTATTTTTGGTGCAGGCCAGACAAAGAAGGCCACTGTCCACAGGTTGCGTAAGTGGGCCTACCTCACAAGCCCTGTGTATGACCTTGAGTGCCTCTGCTGAATCAAGGTGTTCATGACCTTGGCAGCATACTACAAGCAGCCTGCTGGAGGCTTTGACGGAGGAGCCTACCTACAGCCATTTGGGGTCTGCCCTACAAGACACATTCTGCTCTCCCACAGTCCTGGACATTCTGCTCTGTGTTCCTCAGTCCTTATTCTCTGTTCTGTTTTGGAGGTTTCTATTGGAATTCCTGCAAACTCAGAGATTCTCTCCTCCGTTGTTCCTAGTCTACTAATGAACCCATCAAAGGCATTCTGCATTTATTTTCTTTTTTATTAATCTCTAGCACTTGTTTTGGGTTCTTTCTCAGGAGTTCCATCTCTATTTTTCCTGCCATCTATTTTACCCATCAGAGTTCATATTAATCATAGTTGTTTCAAATTCCTAGACTGACAATTCTAATATCCCTGCCACGTCTGGTTCTGTTGTTAGCTCTGTCTCTTCAAATTGGTTTCCTTTTCCGTATAATGTTTTCTTGATAGCTGGACATGATGTACAAGGTACTAGGAAGCAGTGTCAAAGGTCTTCAGTGGTGTGGGATAAGGTGTCTGGGAGGGGAGGTGTCCTGTGGCCCCATGGCTAGGCTCAATCTTTAGAGAGCCTGCTTAGCTGGACCCTGAGCCTCACAAGTGCAGTGCAGCTGCCGCTCCGAGGGGAGACAGGGGTGCGGCAGTCGGCCACTGCTCTGATGAACCCCTGGGGGCGAGACTGCTTACGTAGGTCCTCCTGAGAGCACTGGTATATTTCAAAATGATCCCTTTTTGCCTTTCCCTGCTGGAAGCATAAGGGAATCCCCCCCCCGCCACACCCCGCCCCACCCCGCCCCCATATTTGCTGCAAGAACCTGGTCAATCTCCTGGAGGTGAAACTCTCAAAATGTAAGTTTTTCAAATTTACTTATTGTCCCTTTTTTTTTTTTTTTGATGGTGGTCAAATGCACACAGCACAAAGCTGCCCACTCCAAGTGTGCAATCCAGCAATGCTATGGAGCACCATCTCCTCCACCTGTCTCCATAACTCTACATCTTGCAGAGCTGGAACTCTGCCCGCTAAGTGCACAGTGGTTGAGCCTTTCCAGTTTCTTACGTCCTCTATTTCCTCACTGATCTCCTCTGGCTCTTCTCCCTTCTGTCCAGAGTGGAGTCCTACAGTCTCCCACTCTTCCTCCAGGTTGTCTCCACCTCGGTTCTGCCAGTTCTTGCTTTGTGATTTTGATGGTTTGCATAAACCTCCTCTTGCTGTGTGGAACCTCTTTTATCTATCTATCTAGATATTTATTTATTTTTGGAACATCTTTTTAATGACCAAACTCCTCTTTTGTCTCTTTTTTTTTTGAGAGAGAGAGAGAGAGAGAGAATTTTAATATTTATTTTTTAGTTTTCGGCAGACACAACATCTTTGTTTGTATGTGGTGCTGAGGATCGAACCCCGGCCGCACGCATGCCAGGCGAGCGCGCTACCGCTGGAGCCACATCCCCAGCCCCCTCTTTTGTCTCTTATAACTGTTTTTGATTTAAACTCTATGTGTCTGATATTACAGATTTTCATATAACAGTTTGGTAGCTCTGATGGATATCAGATTCTTTCTCCTCCCCAGCATTTGCTTTTTTTTTTTTTTTTTTTTTTTGCTATTTTTTGTTTTTATTTTTCATTGTTCTGGGCTGTCTCTGTGCCCTGGATCAGCAGGAAGGCCCACGGAAGCTCTTCTCTGGTCTTTCTGAGCCTGTGCCTTTCCTTGGGTGTGCACAGTCACTTTCTAATTCTCTGCATACAGGCAGCTGCTTTGGAATGCTCAAGCGGGGGAGAGAGAAGAATGGAGACGGGAGGTTCACCAGCCCTTCAGTGCCCTGGGTGTCCCTGCAGCCAGAGGAGGGCTTTAACGATGGCAGGAGGTGCACTGCCTGCCAGCTGCTTGCCTCTGGGACTGTCACTCTGTGTCAAAAGCAGCAATCAGCGGTCAGAGTGCAGATCCCAGGTATCTGGGGCAGGGTCCTTTTTGTCCATCTTGGATTCAGCAAGTTGTATGTAGGTCACTCAGGAACAGGTCACAGCTGCTTGCTGCGGGGCTGGCGCAGGAGACAGGCAGCTGCTACTGTGCTAAGTGCTGAAGTTGGCCAAAATTTGCTTCAACTCACCATCCAACCCAGACTCGTGCAAAGCTTCCAAGGACCCCGGAGTTCTGAAAGAGTTGAGTCCTGCAGACTGCCAGGCGGCTGCTGTCTGAGTGGGAGACAGACCCTGGCGCTTCCTGCTCCACCTCTTCTGCCTGGAGTTTTAACCCCCAGATGCCCCTGATGAGTCTCTGAACTCCTCCGGTGCAGTGCAGGTCCCTTACCCTGGCACTGTTTCCACAGCAGCTTGCCCTGGAGGCCCTGTGTGCTCCTGTCGGTCTGCAGTCTTGGGGGTGGCTGTCTGTCCTGTGTCTCGCCCCTCCTACAGATCTGAGAAGAGCTGGGCAGGTTTTGGTCTGTTCAGATCTCGACTCGTTTACCACGTGGTGATTTCCAAGCTCCTTACGTGCAGAACTAGCCATCTTTCCTCCTAAATTTTCAATCATTCACTTGTGCTGCTTTGATAATGAGAGTAAGATGTTTTGTTTTCAAAGTAGTCGCAGACTGGGGATGTGGCTCAAGGGTAGAGCACTTGCCTAGCACGAGTGAGGCCATAGGTTCAATCTCTAGTACTACCAAAAGAAAAAAAAAAAAACTAGTTGCAGAAAACTATTGGCAGGCCACCGTGGTCTGGGGTGGGCCCTGGCGGCCCCTCTCCCTCACGTTACCATTCTATCTACCATACTTAGTAGGTACGTCTCTGTAACACACTTTTTCCCTCGATTGCTCATATATTTAAAATGTTCCCAAACCATCTGTGGAGGAAATGACTTTGTGGTCAGTGAGCTGTTTCGGACTCTGGTTGTACCATTCTGTTGTTTTCCTTTAGAACCTGGAGAGTCTTGTGGCTCAGAACACTACTGGCCCAGTCTTCTACCCGCGACTCTACCACCTGATGGCCTACGTCTGCATTCTGATGGGAGATGGGCAGAACTGCGACCTGTTCCTGAACACAGCCTTGAGGCTCTCGGAAACACAGGGGAACATGCTGGAGAAATGCTGGCTGAACATGAGCAAGGTGTGGACCCCCGCTCGCGGGCTGCAGGGGGCTGCTCTCAGGAAGCCCCACAGGACAGCTTCCCAGTCAGGCTCTCCCCGGCATGGGAGGCCCCCGTCTTGGTCCACTCGGGCTGCTGAGACAACACTGCAGCCTGCACGGCTTAAGACAATAGGAATTTACTGCTCATGGTCTGGGAGCTGCAGGTCCAAGATCAAGGTGCCGGATCTGGTGTCTGCCAGGCCTGTTCTTCACAGACGGTGCCGTTGGCTGCATCCTCACATGGTAGCTGTGCAGGGGGGAAGCTTGGTTCCCTCCTGCCCTGTCTAAGGGCTCTAATTCCATCCAGGAGGGCAGGGCCTTCATGGGCCTTATCCCTCCCAAGGACCCTGCTCCCCAACGCCATCACCTGGGGTGAAGTTCCAACATAGGGATTGGGCCCTACTGCCCTTCCACCCCTGTAGCCATCACAGCCTGTCTGGGACCCCACACAAAGGGGCTGCATGTCCATGGATCAGGCTTGTGACCTCCTTTTCCCCTTATGTCCCTGTGGACTCTCCCTCACGCAAATCCTGCTAGCATGGCTCCACCCTGTCTTCCTTCCCTCTTCCACTCTGCGTTACATTTGTTTCCCGACTTGTGAATGTTGCATGTTGCTTTGTTCCAAAGCAAAAGCCTAGTTAGTACCTCGCCTTAAATTTGGTATTGTTGGGTAGGGGAATGAATTGTGTGTGTGTGTGTGTGTGTGTGTGGAGAGAGAGAGAGAGAGAGAGGGCCATGTCCCAGGGCTGCTGTGGGCCACAGGTCGGCTTGTTCAGCGACTTGGAAAGTTGGAGGGCCTTAGCATCCTGGGATCGGACGCGCCACGCTCACACGGGTCAAGAACACCAACCCACCATTCTCTGTGCCCTCAGGAGTGGTGGTACTCCACCTTGGAGAGCTTGGAGGACCAGTGGCTTCAAACGGTGCTGAGCCTCCCCCCCTGGGAGAAGATCCTATCGGGCAAGGTAAACATCCATGATGTTCAAAAGAACAAATTCCTGATGAGAGTCAATATCCTGGACAACCCTTTCTGACACTCCAGGAGGAGGCAGGCGGTGGCAAGAACCGCCCCCGACACCTCGCCCGCCCGTCTTCCTCTGCAGCCCGCCTCCTGCACGCTCCCGCTCCCATGTTGGTTTCTTCTTTCCAGAGGGTCGAGAGGGGCTGCAGGGTCCTGCTCACTCTCCTAACTCCACCCACCCACGCACCTCCACCTCCCCTGAGCTTTGCAGCCTGTGTTTTCCAGCCCGGGCTGGTTGTATCATATGGGAAAACGTCAGCACCAAAGCGGGTAGCATCCCGAGTTGTGACAGACATGTTTTTAATTAATGTATTAAACTCAAAATGTTTATTTTAAAATGTCCAGTTGTTAAATCTTTTTAAGTTAACACGAAATTGTAAATGACAAACTTTCATCGTGGTCTCTAAGGACAAGATTGGAAAAGACACACTTTTGCATCACCTGACTACAGCTTCCAAAGCCAGGCGGGTGTGCCAGCCCCTCTAGCCATGTGCGTCAACAAGTGGGAAATTAGCTTTTAAAAATTGCAATAGTAGGGGCTGGGGATGTGGCTCAAGCGGTAGCGCGCTCGCCTGGCATGTGTGCGGCCTGGGTTCGATCCTCAGCACCACATACAAACAAAGATGTTGTGTCTGCCGAAAACTAAAAAATAAGTATTAAAATTCTCTCTCCCCCCCAAAAAAAAAACTTAAAAAATTGCAATAGTAATAATTTTGATTATTAATAATTTGGAGCATTTTTATATGCTCAAAGTTGGGTGTGCGTGTGTTGTGTTGGGTGTTTTAATTGAGAAACAGTAGCATTCATCTCTATTTCCCAGATGCCGAGGCACGGCTGTGTGCTTGTCCTCTGGGCAGCATAGCTGAGTCCCCTGGAGCCCTAAGGTCAGCCACAGAGGCCGCAGGCCTGGCTGCTGGGGAGGGAGGGCTGGGCAATCAGAGCTCGGGGCTGGGAAGGGAGCCCTACCACCAGCACACCCCGATCCCACGCGCTCCTCACGCTTCCCCCTCCCCATGCCTGGCTGTGAGTGTCAGCAAGGCAGGGGGCGAAAAGCACCGAGGAGCGTGATGAGTAGACGCAATCAGTGTCACCGAGCTGTGGTCCTGAAGCTGCACGCTGTCCCCAACGCCAGTCAAGGCATCTCCTTTGTCAGTGCCTCCAGCAGTTTATAGGCTGTTCCTCCCCTGCTTTCTCTCATTCGCTCATCCAAGTAAGCACCACACGCCGAGCACCGAGTAGTGTTGGAGGTCGAGATACAAAGGCAACAGAGACGATTCCTGACCTCTGCCAACTCTGAGGGCCACAGGGAAGACCGACAGATGTCGCTCAGCCCGTTCCATGCTGTTCCAACGTTCTGTCTACCCGGACCACGGGGGAAACGGGGCACACACAGACCCAGGTGTTTAGGACGCTGCTGCAGTGCTTGAAGCCAGGCCACCTCTGTGACATGGTCATAAAAAGCCAAGGCCAGGACACTGAATAAACAGTCAAAGACCCAAGGACTTCCCGTGGCGTGGGAGACCCACGCCGTCGGCCCAGCCCACTCTCCAGTCTGTTCACATAGCACCTCCCCTGGCCTCAAGATGTGCACTCCTCCACCTTCCGGGCATCCTTGGAAGCAAGGAAAGGTCTGTCTTTGGTCCCTGCCCGCTTTCTGGGTCCACTACTTACCTGTGTTTTTTAGAGGCTGGGCTTGGTTAAGGTCTCCACTGACCACTTGTAGGAGGTGATCTGTGGGATAAATGAGAGGAAGTCTTCCTTTTGCTTACTCCCTGTGGGCTAGGGCAGCCTGGCCCAACTGGGGTGGACCATGTCATCTGAGGATGTCCATTTGTCCCTTGAGTCTCCCATTTGCCATTTGTTCCTGGGCAAAGCGAAGGCATTCTTCCTATAGTGCCCTCTGCCACTGGGGGTGGGTGGAGGCACAAGAGGGGACGTCAAGCTCTTGACAGCGCTTGCCCAGAGGACAGCAGGCTCGACGTGGCTTCCCTTGTGCCCTGGGAGACAGAGGCAAGTCCATCGTGCATGGCTGCTCTGCCCTGGAAGTGCGCCCTCCTCCCACCCCAGCACTGGCCCTGCTGCTGGAGGAAGAGCACGTGTCAGGCACCCACCAGAGTGACCAGCTTCCCAGGAGACCGAGTCTTCCAGGAGCACACCCCGTGCTGGGGGTGCCCGTCCAGCAGACACTTGCCCTCGGGACTTCAAACGCTTCCTTCACATTCTATTTGCTTCTGACCAAGACAAAGCCAAGATGGGCAAGCCTGGAGAAGACAGGGACAGGCAGTCCTCGTTGGAGGCACAGTGGTGTAATTCCCTGAGGACTGACCACAAATGTGACAGCCAAGACATGGAGTCAACCAAGGTCTCCACAGACGCATGGAAGGATAAAGAAAATGAAGTGTGAACACCCAATGGCTCATCATTCAGCCACAAAGCAGAAGGAAGTTCTGCCGTTTGAACACAGACTGAACTGGAGGACACTGAGTGAATAACTTAGGCACCGAAAGGCAAATACTGCATGTTCTCACATGTGGGAGGTAAGAAAATTGATCTCCTAGAGGTAGAGAGTGGTACAGTGGTGACCAGAGCCTGGGGGGGGGCCGGGGGAGTGAGAGAGAGGATGATTGACAGGTACAGGGACCCAGGTGTAAGCCAGCTGCCAACAATTAATTGAATAGTTCAAAATGACCAGTGGAGAGGACTTTGAATGTTATCTACACAAAGAAATGACAAATGTCTGAGGGGAGAGACCTGTCACTTGCCGTGATCATTACACATTGTGTACATGTATTGGAATATCACCGAGAGCCCATAAAGATCTACAGTTACATTGTGTCAGTTAACATTCCTTTTTTAAGGAAGGCAAGTGAGACAGGCGGAGGTGGGAAGAAACTGGATGGTAGTCTGGAGCCTGCACCTTCCACATGTCTGAGTCCACGTGCCTCCATTTTCTCAGGAACCCAAGCTTGGTTTCTGGTCCTGACGGGCCCTGCTCAGGGCTCATCTCTGGGGGAAGCCAACGGCCTGCCCCGGGGATGGGCGTGGCGCATCTTCTGTGTGGACAGCAGATGGCAGCACTGGCTCTGGGATGGCTGCAGCCCCGGGACCTCTCTGGTTCCTGGGCAAGTGCCTTCTTAGCTCCTGGCACGCTGCAGCACCCCAGGGTGCGTCTCAGGAGCACCAGGCAGCTACTTTTAGGAGAAGGAAGATACAGATAATCCACGAGGGCTTCGGGCCCAGGGCAATCAGAGAAGCGATGCTCTGGGTTTTGTTTTGTGTCATTTTTTAGGAGCCTCTGAACACTTGTCACACCTGTGGGCTCCGGGGAGGGCAGAGACAGAGGTCCAATCCCCATTCTGTCTCCAGCCCTGAGCCCAGTGCCTGGACATATTGCCAGAGCTCAGAAAGCACATGTCAATCAATGAGTGTAGCCACATTTCCATTTGATCGTTTCAAGCTAACTCTTCAGGCAGCCTCAGGAGAATGAACTTAGTACTTACTGAGCAAGTAGACCATCTGGTCCCTCACAGGGACCCACAGTTACTTGCCCTCAGGTGAACTAGCCAGGCTTTGCCCAGGTCACAAGGACAAGTGGAAAAGAGGCTGCATGGTAGGCAGGTGGGTTTTGGACCCCAGCTCGATGGGTTGGATCCAGTTGCAAGCTGTGTGTCCTTGGACAAAGCCCCTTCCCATCTGCTCTCTTGTTTGTAAAATGGGGACAATAACAGCATATTGGCAGGGACACTCACAGGTGGCTGTGGGGTGATTCAGGGAAGTTCTGAGGGTGTGCCCACTGGGTCTGGGTGTGGAGAAGCCCGCTGAGCACGAGGGTGTGTGACGCCGTGGGACGGGCAACTCCAGCCTTGTCTTGGGGGTTGGGGGCTCAGGGCACAGCCCACCCGCGGGAGCAGTCACCGAATGACTCTCCTGAGGAGGTGCATGCACACATTAGCTTTGGAAAGACCACCACTCCTCTTGGTGCTGGGAACTGAACCCAGAGCCTTCCGCCCTGGGAGCAGGTTCCGTACCACTGAGCCCCGCCCCAAGCCACCTTTACTTATGGAGAATGGATTAGAAGTGGGCTGGGCAAGATGGAGGCAGGGAGGTAATGATGTGAGCCCGAAATTAGGGTGACCTGCAACCAGGAAGTGCCCTAGAGAGAGACAAGGGCAGTGACATGAGACGCTGGAGGAGGCAGAACAAACTGAGATAGGATGGCTCTTCAAGGAGGTGTCAAAATGAACCCACAGAGGCCAGGTAAGGACTGACCCTTGGCCAGCCTTCGTGTGGTGCCATGCTGCTAAAGGGACAGTGTGCCTGCCCTTCCCCCCCACCAGGCCTTGTCAGCACCCAGGTCTGCACTCCTGACCCCCTGGCCTGGGTCTGCTCAGGTACCCACCCTGCTCCTGACTCTTCAGCCCCCGGCTGCTCCTTACCTTCTGCCACTGCTCTTGAACATGGTGCTCACCTCCCTCACACCCTCCCATCATCTCTGCCCTCCTGCCCTCCTGCTGGTCAATGTCCAGTTCCTTGTGTCGGGCTAAACTGCAAGGCCACATAAGCATTCACTCTGAACTTCGGACGCCGCCGTCTGCCTACGGTTGGCAAGATGAGCTTGCTAAAAGACAAAGACCCTTCCTTATACTACTAAAAGTCCCACCTGCCCTCCAGATGGAATCCCATTTTTGTGCCTGGAATGTAAGGCTTTTAAGGCAGAGCTCGCCTCAGGTCTGATGCCTGAGGAGCCTGGGCACCCTCCACCAGGAGCAGTGCTTTCAAATGCCTCTGCCTCAGAGCTCCTCCTGGGTTGCTGACTGACCCTGCTGTGGCTTAGGACGAGCTCCGAGCTCACCAGGGCAGGGGGGTGCTCATGCTTGTCTCCCTGGCAAGGGGTGCAGCTCCGAAGGCCTGTGGCAAGCGCAGGCAGCCCTGGGCCACGCCTGGGACCTGAGGCTGCGAGCACTTGGAGTGAGCAGGAGTGAGTAAGGAGACGTGGCAGAAAGTGGCAGCCCCCAGGCACCACCCTGCCCACCAGGTGTCCATTCCAACAGGAAGAGAGGGTGGGGTGTCACAGCTGGGGCCTTCCGAGAAAATGAGGCAATGCAAAGACCCCTCTTCAAACCCGATTCAGGAGACAGAATTAAAGACAGGTAGTCAGGACAGACAGACAGGGTCCATGGAGAGAATGGAGGCCAATTTGGGTCTGGGAAGTTGGAGGGACTGAAATGTTGATTTCTTCAGAGCCCTTCCTCCACCCTGCTCCTACCTGTGGCTACGGTGACCTGTCCCAGGGATTGTCCCCTCCTACAGGAAGTTGTGAATCACCCGCCTTCCGGCCCAGGTCACTCCACCAGGCCCCTCCAGCCCCTCTCTTCTCACCTTGGGGCCCTCCCTCCGAGCACCTCCTGGCCCAGTCACTAGCAGGAAGGAGAGAGACCGGGGAAGACCAGGGGAACAAAGGAAGCCTGTGGCACATAGAGAGGCGGACGCTCTCACTTCCTGGGAGACCCGGATAGCTATGGCCCCTGCTCCCTCCCGGAGAAGCCCACGTTTCCCCTTTTTAAATAAGCCCTGCTTTATACGCTTGCACTTGAACACGTGGGGAAGCAGGATAACTGGAGCTATCAACTCTTGTAACCAAGTCGGAAAGATTCCAGACGTTGCTCAGAGTAATAGGCTTAGTTCAGTAGTTCATGGAAGGGAGAGGGAAAGGGAAAGGGGACACTCTCAAGGGAGAGGTGAGGGACAATGCACCTGTCCTGCACTCCTGTTTTGTTGGGGATCCAAGAGAGGTTTCCAGAGAGTCCCACTCAGGCTCACCTCTTTACTTTTGATTGACAGCAAGATGACATCAGATTTTCAAGTCCCCACTGCCTTGACAATTTTAGGTCACTTTGTTTGGCTCATGCTGACTGGTTCTAATTGGTTTCTTACCCATAAATTCTTACTGATTTTATGGTTAGGAGGAACTATCCTTATCTCCCAGAGATTCAGGATCGGGTCACAAAAGTCTCTTGGGTTCCTCCCATTGACATTATCTCTGGCCTGCATTTCTCCTGCAGATAACAGGTGGTTGGCTGAGGAATGTGACACGTCCTGTCCACTCAGGCCAGGCAGGGCTGCAGGTAAATTGCTTCTTGGAAAAGAAAGCATGTGGGGTTGCACAGTGGGCCCAGTTTACAGAATTATCCCCTCACACTCACGTTCCCACCATCCTCACCTGACCTGGCACACTGACACACATCTGAAGGTCACTGGTTCCTGCGTGGTGGTTGGTAGCAGTGCGTTCAACAGAACTTCACGGGAAGGAAACGTTCTATTTCTGATCAACGTGACAGCCCCCATAACATGGAACCACCAAGCTCCATGGTCAGAGTGACGGAGGACCTGAATTTTAAATTTAATCTAAACTTAAATGGCACCTGACCTGGGCCACCACATAGGACGGTGTGGGTCTGTACATATCTGCATTGAGCTTAAGATGCCAGACACAACCCCGACGTTTCAGCCAGGACTTCTCTACAGCAGGACAAGGCCGGCGTGGCCCAGGAGAGAATGGCCTCCAGAGAACACAGTCAGGCTGCCCAAGCCGCGCCTCTCACCAACATGGCGAGTCCAGCACACCAGCCAGCGCGCAGTGGCTGGCCGGCCATCAGTCCATTACACACCAGCCCTGGCACTCTGCTGCGCCAGCAAGGAGGGCAGGTCCTGAAGGGCTCTGCATTCCTCCGGGCTTACTGTACGTTCTAAGAGAGGCCCTGAAATTTAAGTGCAAATTTTGCTTCTTTTGTTTGGTTAAAAAAAAACCTTCGCCATAAAAAATTTCTATTCAAAGGCAGAGAGAGAACCGGTAACATGGTCTAGATTTGAACTTCAGTCTCTTGGAGTCTGATGGGTTGACCCCAGTACCTTTGCCCACCTCACACTCCCGCTGTGGTTCAGGTGGGCACCTGAAATTACTGAATGTCCCCCCCCCCAAGGCGAAGCAACCACAGATGTGTCCGTCACACAGCAGGATGTCTCTGGGGCCAGACTCAAAAGCAAACATGAGAATGTTAAACCTGCCAGATTTCCTCTTCCCAGAGGTAGGGAGACCAGCCACAGGAAACAGCCCTTCCCTGTGGTCGGGAAGACTCAAGGCCAGAGAAATGGAGACTGAAACTCCCAGCCTGGGCTGAGGACGGCCTGAGGACTGCGGCCACAAACAGCCCCCATCCTCCTGCGGGAGGAAGTGCGGAAGCAGTGCTCCCCGGGGACTCCTTTGAGCCCAGAGGCCGCGGTTTCCTCCCCTGTAAACAGCCAGGCCTCCCACAGCCCAGCCTTCAGCTGTGGCCCCGCAGCCAGGCCCAGGGCTCTGGGGGGGATGTGAGGAGGGCGGAGGGCAGGCCCGGGCTGCAGAGTGCTTAGGTCTGGCTTTCATTTTTATAGTACATCAGGACCAACGGCCATCATGGCACCGCAGCAACAACTGACACAGGTCCAAGGCTCAGAAACGGCTTCTAAGGAAAGACATGCAGGTGTGAACAACACGGGGCCCTGTCCTTTCCAGAAACTTCCGGCCCAAGGCTGGGAAAGGCAGCCTGCACCGCACGTGGGGTTTTCCCTTGTTATTAGAACATTGGGGTGCGGGGTCAACCTGGCCTTGTGTGTGCTCCTTTTGGTTTTAAAACAAAAAGAAATCTTCATTAGAATATGTTGGGTCCTGACTCAAAGAAACCATTTCTGAGACAAAGGGAATCTACAAACTGAGCAATAGAAGAAACCAAAGATTTGTTTGTTTTTTTTTAAATTTTTTTATAGTTGTAGATGGACAGAATGCCTTTATTTTATTTATTTGTTTTTATGTGGTGCTAAGGATCGAACCCAGTGCCTCATACATGTTGGACAAGTGCTCTGCCGCTGAGCCCCAGCCCCAGCCCTTAAATGTGTTTTTTAAAAAATGCTTTTGTTCTTGTAATCCCAAGCCACTGAGGGGGGGTGGGGGTGATGAGTGAGGCAGGAGAATTTCAAGTTGGAGGCCAGCCTCAGCAATCTAGGGAGACCATCTGTATCAAAAAAAGAGGGTTAGCTCCAGGCAGAGCCGCATGGGTTTAATCTCTGCACCACCCCAAATGCTTTGTTAAGTATGGCAAGATCTTAGTTGTTAGAAAACGTCCGTGTGGTTGAAGATACACAATAAAGGGTGTAGGGGTGAAATGGCTGCTGAGCACCGGTGTCCTTGGCCAGCATGTCTGTGTCTCTGTGCAGTCTGGAAACCAGAGCTGGCAGGAGGAGTCCCGTTACTGGTGGCCTCCCGTGCCCAGGGAAGCACAGCCTCCCTCTCGTTCTACTCCTGGGCCTGTGAGGGTCACCTTGGGATGTTCCTGCCAATACTCTCTCCCACTCAAGAGTGTAAAGCTATGCGGCCGGGACTCCTCACGGACCCTTGGCAATCTATGGAATTAACAGAGCACCAGAAAACTTGAGTGCTTTAATAGTGACTTGTACTTGGGATCCCTGGCCTAGAAGACCACTTTTTTTGGGGATTGAACCAGGGGCACTTAACCACATCCCAGCCCTTTTCATCTATTAATTTAGACAGGGTCTTGCTAAGTTGCTGGGGCCAGTCTTGAACTTGCCATCCTCCTGCTTCAGCTTCCTGTGTTGCCGAGATTACAGGAGGGCACCACCACGTCTGGTGTAACATGTTATTTGTAACACAGCTCTCAATAGATGAAGACCCCCAGCGACCTGCATCTCTACCACGCATGCTACCATCTCCCTCACGTCACCTGCACCCAGCTCCCGAGGACCTCATCAGGCACCCAGCCCCATTGTTTAAATACCGAAGTTAAGGGCTCTACTTTAGACAGAAGGGCCTGCCCCACCCTTCCTAACACTGGCTGAGTGACCGTGGCTGGGCAAGTCATATACTCTAAGCCTGACACTGTCTTTCTGAAAATGGGTATAAGATTAGTGCAACTATTATTAGCTCATAGAGCTGTAACAGAGTAAGAAATGCCAAGTGCCTGGCACATTGTACCAAGCACCAAGTAACTATTTCTAAGGTGTCTGTTACTCCTACTTATGTTTGTGGACCCCACGCCAAAGCAGGTTCTGGGAGGAGCTTTATCTTGACTCGTCTCCTTGTGCTCAGCACAGTGCCTGGCTCAGAAGAGCTCTCAGTATAGATTGTTGAATGGATAAATGCATCCACCCATCCGTCTGCCCACCCAGTCAACAAGCATGAACAGCTGAGGGAGCGGCTGTGCAAAGGCCCCGAGGCTCATGTGTTTGAAGAATAAAGAGGCAGGTGTGGCTGCAGTGGAAGAAATGAAAAGGTTTTATATTTTTTTCTGTTTGATTAAAAATCACCACACAATAACATTCAGAAATTAAAAATGATGTATTAAAATATTCACAGAAGTACAAATGAAAAAGATCAAAAATAATAATGTATTGACATTTTTTTTCCCTAGTTGGATACATTTCCATTGAGCAACTAGACGGTTAGGAGTTTTAATTTCCTAGGTGATCCCTTTTAGGTGGCCCTTCACAAGACTCATGAAAAATTTGGCCTCTTTCTGCTTGTTGCAAGTCTGGCCCTGGTCACAAGGGCCAGACAACCAGGGGGAAGTGGTGGACCAGTGGGCGGAGGCTCTGCTCCTGGGTACCAGCCTCTGGTAAGAGGCTTTTCCAAGCGGCTTCCAGGGCAGGCAGGCTGGCCAGGACGCTCGCTGCCCTGGGGGAAGGGTCAGGAGGGATCTTCTGCCACGAGGCAGAGGCAGACAGTGTGAGGTGTCCACTGGGCAGGGAGGCCAGGAGTCGGGGAGGGGAGGAAAGAGAAGTGTGTGGAGCCCACAGGGCCCCGGCCTCCCACTCGCATGGTCCTACAGGAAGGAGAGAAGGCAGGCTCACACCTGGGCTCTGGCACTGGGCCTCCCCACCACACCCCGGCCAGCCACCCACGCAGGAGCCTGCTGAGGGCTCCCGGGGTCTTGAAAACAGGCAAAGGTCTCGGGTCGAAGGCCAGAGTGCTGGGTGGAAATGGCAGCCAGCTGAAGGGCAGCTACGGCCAGCAGGTGTCCACCAAGCCCGTCTGTGGCTGGCGAGTGCACGCAGTGTGGCTGCAGCCGGGGGAGCAGCAGAGCTCAGGGGTGGACGGCGGGCCCCGCAGCAGCCCTTTCTCCACTCACCACCTTGGAGCACCTCTAACCCGAGTCGTGCCTTTTCCCTTTAAAATGCTCTTAGGACGCAGCTTCCCACACTTCCCACAGGGGACCGAGGTGGGAGGGGGAGCAGCTCTCAGGACCCCAGGGGAAGGGCCCACGCCCCTGCCCCCACCTTCTAGATGACACTCTTCGCATAGCCAGGGCTCCGGGCTGTTCTAAAGGGGAAAATGTTTCTTTTAAAACAAAGCACTCTGGAAGATGGGAGAATGCAACCTGCACGGCGGTCTCAGGAGCTTTGCCAGCCCAGGAAAACCTGAAAACGCAGAGAGGTGGCAGGGCGGCCGTGGAGGAAAATGAGAAAACAGATCCCTCTCCTTCCTACACCACTGTTCACTGTTTCAAGTAACGGGGGGGCGCGAAGGTGGGGGACAAACCAACCACAACACCAAAACAGGAAGAGAAGAGAGCGCACGGGGCCACTCTACTTCCACTGATTCCTAAAAGTCTTGACCCCTTGAACCCCAATCGTCTTGGGGGTGGGAAGCTTTGGGGAGACCAGGCCGACTGCCCGGGGCTGCTTTGCTGGAGGCCTGAGGCTTCTGGGGGAAGGTCATCCTGTGCAGTTCGAGGCCAGAGCCCTCTGACCACCAGGGCCCTCTGACCACCAGGGCCCTCTGACCACCAGGTGATCCAGCCAGCCCAGATCCCTTCCCATATCCCCTGTGGGGACGGAGCCAAGGCCTCTCTGGCTTCCTGTGTTATGGCCACTCTGGCCCAAGGAGGAAGGACCAGGGTCAAGAATGTGATTGATACCTTTCTCCTCCACAGGTGCCACACTCCCGAGCTCAGCCTGGCCTTTCCATCAAATCACCCCCATGTGTTGATCTAAGGCACCTGGAGGGGAGCGGCACCAGTGGCACCTAGTGGCACACTTATCCTTGCTAACCTGCTGTCATGAACCCACACACTGACAGGACATAAAGGGTGTGACATTTAAGGAAGTCGACATAACACATAAAATTTGCCCCATGTTTTAGAAAAGCACCAACACAAATTTCTCGAACCTTCTGTAAGTGGCATAGTTAACAGATGCTGTCTAAAAGCTACAACCAAATGAACGGTTCTGGCGCGTGTGATAGGGCCCCTGGCTGCGTGTCCGCCACGGGATCTCCTTCCTCCAATGACAATAAATGCTAAGACTGGTTGAGCCCTTGGATTAAAAGGCCACGTCCACTGGAAACACAGAAGTCTGCTACTGTCTCTGAAAGGCAACCACATCTAAATGGTGGTGACAGGAATGTTTCTGAAATGTCCCAACTGTTAATGACTCCCAAAGCATGTACAAAAACGGCAAGACGTTTATACGTAGGCAGATTCACAGCCTCACACCATCTTCTCGACATGCAACGCTGGCCCTACAGCAGGAAGATTAAATAGAATACACATGTCCTTCACCCACATCCTTCCCTCCCTCTGGGTCTACACGTGTGTGTGTCCTTGCCTGGGTCCCCAAGGCCACACGTGGTTATGGGCTACATTTTCTGCACAAGAGTCCAGTTTGGGTTTGTTTCTTGTCCAGGATGCTCTGGGTCTTAATTTTTCCGGATGTCCGCATACACCACGGATTCCGACTTGTTGATCTTGTCACTGTGATGGCCGCCGGAGTGGTCTAACTGCGCATATATGACTGGGCCCTGGAAGAGAAGCAGAATTAGAGGTCTTGGGCAACCGCGTGCCTACGGGACAGGTGTCCCAACCACGGACGGGATGTGGCTCTGGTTCTAAAGCACACACCTCCCTCGTCTGTGTGTCTACAAGAAGATTTCCCCTGCAGGACCTCCTGGACCCCTGTCCACCAAGGCTAGGCACAGGTGGTGACTCTAAAGCCAGCATGGGCGCTTTGTTCCATTTCTCTCGTACGTTTGGAAGCTTATGTGACAACACAACACTCCTCCTCAGGAATATCCCTTGCTTTAGCCCCACAGAACTCTGCAACCTTAGCAACAGTGGTCAGTCTCCAGGACCAGATGGGCACGTCTGTCAACCTGAGACCCGTGGAAACTATGGAAAACACACTGGGTGCCACTCAAAGACACCATCAATTTGAACTGGTCATTTTAGATAAACAGGTACTTTTATTATTTATTTTGTGTGTGTGTATGTTACTAGGGATTGAACCTATTTTTTTCTTTTTATTCTTTCTTTTGAGACAGGTTGCTAGGTTGCTCAGGGCCTTGTTAGATAGACTGCTTGAGGCTGGCCTCAAACTTGGGATCCTCTTGCCTCAGCCTCCCAAGTTGCTGGGATCACAGTGTGCACCACTGTGCCCACTATCTTCAGTGTAACTACTGATGGCACCGTGATCCTCAGGACTCCAGATACTGTTTCTTTTATTTCCTTTTTCAATCTTTTGGTGCTGGGGGTCAAACCCAGGGTATTCTGCAAGAAAAGCAAGTGCTCTACTACTGGTCAACACCCCCAGCCCCTTCTTTGACTTCTAATATCAGAAAACTCTTCTTCCTGGTTTAAAATATGAAAAGATGGACTAAAGCACAGGTCTCTTCTCGGCAGTGAAGCAGCCGCTCAGCCCAGCCCAGGGCACACAAGGAGCAGCAGCCGGACAGTGGGCGTCTGCCTGCAGGGGAAGCGAGCCTTGGGCGAAGGCTGAGGTTCCCCCGGCCAGCTGGCCGCACGTCTGACTTCTCCAGCAGCAATAACAACACAGCAGCATCCCAGCCAGGAGCCCTGACAATGTGGAGCTTCGTGTGTGTGCTGCGGTCTTGTGGGGCTGTGGCTCCGACTTCCCCAGGAGGGCCAGGCCCCAGGTACGGGCTGCGGGCTTGTAACGTAGCAGGGCCCGTGTGACTCACAGGACAGTCCCCCAGCACCGCATGCGGCTCCAGCGCAGGAGAGGCCCCGCGCATCGGTTTCTTCACCTCTAACATGGCCCTAAGAACGGCATCCACACCTGAGTCGCTGAATGAGGTCCTCAGGCAACCCAGGTCTGTCTGTCAGATAATACACTAGTTATCATCGAGCTGCCGTTACCCGGGCATCTTATCACACGAACACAATTTGAAACAGGCTGAAGCAACTGACAGGGTAACCGGGGGGTCGAAGCCCAGGTGCAGGCATCGGGTGGGGGTGCTCTCACTGAGGCCCCTCGTGGGTGAGATCAACAGACCACACACACTGTCCACACTGAATCACAGAGACCTCCTACCTGCATCCCAAAGCTGCAGGAAAACCGAAGGCCGATCCACAAAGACGCAGAAAGACGCTCAGAGGACAGCGTTCCCACAGCTGATAACAGAGCCCTGCCCATGACCACCGCGGGGAGGGGTCCGCAGGGTGCAGCAGCATCTCCTCAGTGCAGTCAGCGCCGTCCACTGAGCAGGATCTACCCCTCTACTGCTGGAATTGGGGCCAGTCTCCTGACCTGCTCTGACCCACAGAATAAGGCCCGAGGGACATCACCACTGTCACACCTAGGCCTCCATAGGTCTCGTAGCTTCCACTCCTGCACTGGCCTTGGGACCCGCACCCAACACTCTGCGAACAAGCCCAGGCCAGCCTGCTGGTGACATGGGACACATGGCCCAACTGTCAGACTGTGAGTAAGACCACACTATGGCCGCCCAGCTGGTCATCCCTCCAGCCAATGCAGGTGCACAAGTCAACTGGCTCGCCCCATCAACAGGAGAGCCTGAGCCAAACACCCAGCGGCTCTTACACAGGAGGAGACCGAGAAACCCTGTGAGTGGGAAATGCAGAGGAGCCAGGAACAGAGGTGGTGCAGAGTGCACCTGCACCCGCAGCAAGCCTCAGAGGCCGGGAAGTCCCTCCTAGAGAGAAGGCCCCAGTCCCACCCAGGACGCTGGGCGGTTTTCCTTCAACCTGCTCAGCTGTCTGAGGTCACTCCCTCTCCCCCTGGGATGTGACAGAGTGACTCAGGTCAGGGACCTGTCAGTTGAGGCCTTGGCAGAGGTGGGTCCAGAGGAAGGCAGGAGCTCGGGACCTGCTGGGGGTCCTCAGAGCTCGGGGAAGTCTGCTCCAGAGGGTGCTGAGAAGCTGAGGGTACGCGGGGTCCCCACGGACCTGGATTTTGAGGGCCAACGAGACTACTCAGGACTGCAGAGGACACCATGAAACAAGGTCAACTTGGAGATGACCCTGCCATCGCGGAGACAGTCACTTGGGTACGCAGAAATCATAAGGAGAAGGACAACGACAAGACCACACCAGCCTACCTATTTTTGCAGTAAATCTCTTCTTTTGGCACTGGGGCTTCCCAGGTAAGCCCCCGCCACCGAGGGTCCACACCCAGGGCCGCCACCGAGGGTCCATACCCAGACACTCCTCCCCCACACTCTCCTTCATGTGCTTTGTTTTGATATTTTCCCTCAAATATTGACTCACAAAGGGCCTTAAGTACTGAAAATGTTTCCAGAAACAAACAGCCCGACGTAGATCGATCCTTTTAGTGATAACTGGAGAGAAATGTACCTCTGAATTCTACTTGTATCAAATTTATTCCCAAGTAAAAACATACTGGAAGGTGGGCCAGGAAGAGAGGGTTCTGGAAGAACAAAGAGACCTGTCTGCAAACACACGGGTGCCTGAGCAGGCACCGCGGCTAGCCGGGCAGCGTCTCCCCACCTGGAAGGGGTCACTGTGCTCTTTGGGCACACGCTCACCGCTGTTGACAAAACACTCTCAGTACTCACTCCAGTGTTTGAAGAGCCAGGTGAAATGGCAGCACCTAAGTACGGTGGCTCTCTGAGGCAAATGGAACCAGTACTGACCATCAACTCAGAACTGAAGCAGGACGGGAGGAGCACCCTTCTCAGGACCTGGCGGACGGGCTGACACCAGCTCCGCCACTGATGACTACCCTCGGCTCAGCACCTCGGCCACAGCTCAGTTTCTACAGGGGCCACAAAGAACGCAGCGTATTCAGCTGCCGGGAGGCGAGGAGGGAATGCACGCAGCGATCTTATGCATCTCGGTGTCTGCGTATTAGAGCCAGCAAACTCTTAAATATCCCAACCACCTTTCTCCAAAATTACGGCCTTTTGCAAAACCATGCCCAGGAAAAGATCTAGGAAACCAATTCTCATCAAGTACTTACACAAAAATTATTTGAAACTAAGCTTTATGAGAGATTTCTGGCTCATTTCCTCCCTGTGCTGCCCCCACTGCCGCCCCCACGTCCTGACCGCACGCCTTGTGCTGGGGAGGGCTTCTGGCTCTGCTGTTCACCCTCCCTTTGCCTCCTCTGCCCCTCGGGGTGAAGCAGGGTGACATCTAAGCCAGTCAAAATTTCTGTCCCCTTGCAGGTGGCTGGAAGACGTAACAGCGTGTGCCTGATTCTTGGACAATGGGATCGAGGACATGTTTGCTGGGGGGCTTCCGTTAATCAGTCTTCTCCACTAGTCACGGTGGTGACCAAGGGCGCATGCCTGGAAATTAGGGTGCTCCTTTTAAAGTTCCCTTTGTGGGGAGCTATTATCCTTTTCTTCTTATGGTGAAATAGCAGGGAGCTACTTACTCATCCACAGAGTGACTGCTGACACTGTTCAGTTCTCAGGTGGCGCCTACACATGGAAACGCAGGAAGATGAGAGAACCCTTGGGATGAACTCAAGGGAGAGTCTGTAAACATTCCTGCCATGTCCCCACTCCCAGCTCTGACTGTCACAGACCCATGTGCACATCACACAGGCCTAGGGTTAGAAGTGGGGAACAGATGAACCACACCTCAGAGACAAGAGAAGGGATGCCCATGTTAAAAAGTCTCTCCAAGCTGACACCATTAGCTGGTCCCCAGGGTGACCTGAGTCTGGAACACACGACTAACCCCTACAGCGCCACGTGGGGCTTATCTAGATGTGAAAATCTCCCCAAGGTTGTTTGCCAGAATATCCGCAAACACTTTTCTCTACCTGGTGGAAGAGCCTGAGGTTCTCTGAACACCCCGGGAGTCCCCTGAGAGCAGCGCTGGGTGCTGATCTCTGCCTTGGTCCTGTGGCAGCCAGCCGCATGGCTCGTGTAGGCACTCAGATGCCCACGGAAGTGATGAAAGAGGACACAGCGGACACAGTCAGATAACACATCAGCTCAAACTGAAGACGGTGCGTCTCCTGTGGCCTCTGCTGAGAGCTACGCTGGACAGGGCCTGGGCTCTCTGCAAGGGAAGCATCCCCGATCGTGCAAAGCAGCACCATGGTGACGCTGACACAGCCAGCAGGGTCACTCGCTGACACACTGAGGGCTTAGAATGCCGTGGAGTATCTGAGGCAAATGTTCTGACCCGGGACAGTGTCCTCCAAGGCAGTTAGTGTGACACAGAAGCCGGACAGCACAGCACACTTCACGAAGGAACACTTGCAGAAGTGAGAGGGCCACCTCCGTCTCTCACCACGGGCCAAGGACACGCGGATTGCACACCCAAGTCATTTACCCTTGGTAAGTCTAACAGAAAGGGTACAAACAGGACCTGGAAGACAGCCAAGGAAGGCTGGTGCTCTGCTTTCCTCCCCAGGGATGAGAGACTGAACCCGCAGCGCTGTGTCCGAGCTGCACCCCAGCCCTCTTTTTTAATCTTTATTTTTTATTTTGAGGCAATATCTCTCTAAGAAGGCACCCATGCTGGCCTCGAACTTGCCATCATCCTCCTTCCCCAGCCTCCTGAGTGCCTGGGATTCCAGGTATGAGCCACCCACTCTGCTGACAAAAGTGACTTCTACCCAACCTGACCACCGCTATTTCACTTATTTTTGGGGGGCTGGGGATTGAACTCATGGCCCACGAGCTACACACATGCTGCCCCTAGGCCTCAACCCAACCCTCTATCTTTTAATTGGATTGCTCTGAGCATTAATGTAAGGTGACCATCAGTGTGGTGAGTCAACCTACTGCTTCACAGGAGACCCCTCTTGATTTGGGTTTTGCTTTCTGTGGTTTCAGTTACCCACAGCCAAGCCTGGCTCAGAAACAGACACAGGCAAGTCTTTCTCTCCAGACTTCATTTTGGATGTTCCTACTTCTGCCCTCCACTTCACTGACCTTTTCTTCTATGGTATCTGATGGGTCTTTCATGGCACCCCATGCCTCTTCAGTTCTGAGTTCCCTGTGATTCTGTTTTACAGATCTACTTTTCCCCTCATTATGTTCAGGGTTTTCTTTACATCCTTGAGTCTGTGGGATTTACAACACCTGTCTGAAGTTCCCCGTTTATGAACCGTTGCCTCTGACATTTCACCAACGGCCTCTCAGCCGGCTCCTCCTGGTTACGAGTCTTCTCCTCCTCTTTGTATGCCTAGTAAGTCTGATGGGTGCCAGAAATGGAGAATTGCACAGTGTTGGCTATGGGGTTTGTTGTGTTCTTCTAGAGAGAGCTAGATTCCTTCTCCTTGTCTGGAGTGTCTGTTTCTGGCACTCTGCGGCCACCTCACACTGCACCTACCTCCCCAAACCACTCCCCTCCTGCACTGCAGCAGCACCCTGCAGGGCTGCCAGCTAGTGGCCAGGGCCTGGCTCGTTGTCCTTTCTCCCGGATCACAGAGATGTACAAGCTACTCCCACATGTCTTAAAGCCCTGTTTCTTCTCTTCCTTCCTAACATGCTTCCAGCAGGAGAGCCACACCCAGAGCCACTCTCAGTCCAAATAGGAGACTGAGGCTCCGGACACAGAGAGGGAGATCAGGACCTGGCCAGGAGCCCATGCTGCCTCGCACCCCAGCTTTGACCCCATCCCAGTTACCTGGCAGCAGAGCACCAGGTCTCCTCACCACGGAGTCCTCCAGGGAGCAAGGTGCAGGCCTCACCCACAGGGCCTCTCAAGCACGGCCGCCGTCTTTACTTCCTCTAAGCCTCTGTCCCACTAGCACCTCCGTGGGGCAGGCAGCGGGCCAGCTCAGCCGGTTCTGCGCCCTGAAGCACCACGTGGTCTCAGGCACCCAGGCAGCTGCCCGGCAAGGCCACAGCATGGCCAGATGGTGCTGCCCACAACGCCACAAGGCCACTCTGTGCCAAATTCCAAGTGAAGTCACTTCTCCTGCATCTCTGCAGTAGGTGGGAACCGAGCCTGCCGATCATCCAGATAAAGCCTCCCCTGTTTTCCTACAGAATCCATGAAAATCATTTTTGTTTTACTCAACCCCAGGAAGTTGGCTTTTCCTGTGAGTTTCTTTTAGAGGACTTCAGTACAGAACACAATTTGCTCGATTTTCCTTGGGCAATTCACTGAAGACTCTCTCAGCTGAGAAAGCCATTTCTTAATTCTACCTGGGCCACGGGAGTCACATTCTGAGCAAATAATGTGTTAGTGTGGTTGGGCGGAAACCTCAGCAGGGCAGTGTCCTCCACACACGGAGGCTGGGGTCTCTCGAGAGTGGACCTTGAGCAGGATCATGCTTGCTCGCGCTCTCTCTCTCTCAGCTCTGCTTCCTTCCTGAACCCAGAAGGGACAGAGACCAAAGTTTGGAGCTCGGTGCCGGGGCAGGACAGCCGTCGGCCATTACCTGGTGGGATCCGGAAGGCAGACTCTTTACCAGACCCTCTGTGTCGGAGGAGGACTTCCGTGGAGCCTGCTTAACCGGAGACAGACTCTCTGATGTGTTGCAGCTGATGTAATGGCAATTTGGAAAACAAATGTAAAAAGAAAATTAAAAATTAAAATGAATGAAAACAAACACAGAATGGTGAGTGAGGCCAGACGCAGCGCAGATACGTGAACAGACAGCGGACAGTGGGCACCCGAGGGTCACCTGTCTTGAAGACGGTTTTCCACCTGACACTCGTTCTCTTAAGTGGTGGATCTATTGCAGAAATCAGCGTGGTGCCACCCCTTCAGCCCCGTTTCAAATGAAAACAGGGGGTTCTGATCACAACACAGCCTGGGCTGCTTTTTAAACCCTACTTTGGGCAAAAGTCCAAAGGAATGAGTTTATACCTTAATGCAATCTGCTTTTGCTATCGTCAAAAGCAAACATCTTCTGAATGTATTTAAAAACTACATCCAGAGTGAGTCTTGGCTTTTCTTCCCCCATCCTCTGGTTCCCCATATTCTGTTTCACCACTAGTAACACAACCACACCAAAAGCAACAGAAAAAGACAAAGAGCAGACAAAGAGACCACCCAGGAAGTCATGAGGGTGGGAAGTGTGGGGTGCCACTCGGCAGGTGAACTCTCCCGGTGAGAGGGCTTCAGCAGCAAGGCTACCGAGAGAGGGGACGGGAGCTCCTGGAAGGGGTCATCAGCGGTCCCTAAGGGATGTGTCATCAGCACAGCTTAAGTCCTTTTTTTAAAAATATTCATTCTTAAGTTTTAGGTGGACACAATACATCACATTTATGTGGTGCTGAGGATCGAACCCAGTGCCTCGGGCATGCTAGGCGAGCGCGCTGCCACTGAGCCACAACCCAGTGCCGCAGCTTAAATCCTTTAGGGCAGTGTTGTGAAAACTTTGGAGTTCGGGGAGGAGCACATTTAAAGTGTCAGTGCTCAGACTGAAGCACACCACAGACGCTGCGTCCATTGGGACGGGAGCCTGCCTGGCTGAGCCAAGGTCGTGTAACTGCTCTGAACTAAGAAGGCTCAGTGACCGATGATAAAACTCATGTGTGAAGAAAGAAAACAAAGACGCGCCCGTGCACACAAGCGTGCACACACACACACACACTCACAGACACACACACACGCGCGCGTGCATTTCCCGTGAGAGCACACACAGCCACAGGAACCAACTTCATCTGGACGTTGTGCGCAGCTGCCTGACATACTTGTGGACAGACCTCGAGGGCTGCTGGTTAGCGGAGCAAGCTGGTTAGTGGCCACAGGGAGACGGCTGAACGGACACGGAACGTGAACAGCAACAGGCAGTGTGATTAGTTACCATGTGTCTACTGGAGAGGAGGAGCCCAGCCCTGCCACAGTCCCAAGCGTCTTCTACGTCAGCTCTCCTTAGGAGTGGGGGAGAGGCAGCTGACCAGCACACCAAGGGAGGGAGGCAGGGGAGGGAAAAAACCAGAGTGAGAAGAGCAGCACTCGTGATGCCATGCAGGGTCCTAAAGAACATCGCTCTGCCTTTATTAGCCCCAAAGCAAGAGCCGGCACGCCACCACCTGGATTAGTCCTGTGCTGAGACCCAACCCTCTGCCTGCTCAGGAAAACTCTTGCCATGCAAGCGAACCAAGCCAGCACCAGAGAAGCATTCCACGCGGGCCACGCCCGAACCGGAGCACTCAAGCCCGTCCGTCCACTCGCAGCACTCCTAAGCTCCACACCAGCAGTCCGCAGACGAGGATCCGCTGTCAACCAGCAAGAGAGCGCACGGCACGCAGTGCTCGGCCAGCCCTGCAGGACGTCCCGCACCTGCAGCACTGCGCCTGTGACACGGCCCCAGTCCCCACGCGAGCTCTATGTAGCTTATGTGGGTTAGCTCTCCAGCCCAGGTGGGAAAGGCAAGGTCCTGCAATCAGACACACCGTGCTCAAAGTGTCCTGTGAGAAGTCACAAACAGAAACTTTTTTTCCTTGCTGTTAGATTTTTTTTTTAAATATTTATTTTTTAGTTTTTAGGTGGACACGATATCCTTATTTTATTTTTATGTGGTGCTGAGAATCGAACCCAGTGCCTCACGCATGCCAGGCGAGTGCGCTACCCCTGAGCCACATCGCCAGCCCTTGCTGGTAGATTTTTATTGTCTTACGCCCCCAGTTTGGGGTGGGGAGGGAAATTACTAAAAGGAGGAGCCCCACATCATCACACCAGGCTAGGACCGTTAGGACTTCCTGACCAGGGTTTTGTATCGACCCAGTGAGAAAGCAGACTCTCGTTAGGTTAATGCTAAGAAATTAAACTCAGGTAGGGCAAGTGAGTGTGCAGCTTCAGAATCCCAAACGCAGAGTGGACCATCCCAAACAGTGCAGCCCACCCTGTCCAAAAGGGACCTGCCGAGCAGGGGCCAGCCTCCTGTCCACAGCCGGGAGAGGCACCGACTGGAGAAGGCCAGTTAGGGGCAGAGGCAACGCAGGTCACTCTTCACAAGCTCTCTCCACACACATGCAAACCCTGCCTTCGTCTCTCCACCTCCCGAGTCAGCGTCTCTTACCCAGTGTAATCCCGCTTAGAGCTCCTCCTTCGGTACAGGACGGCCAGGATCATGCTGACGAGCAGGGTGAGACCCACAACCACAGCAGTGACTATGCCCACCACCACCCAGACCGGGAACAGCGGCAGACTCTCTGGAGAGAGAAGGCGACAGCGGTGAGGACTCTCTGCAGGGAGGAAGGCAGCTCCCTGCGCAGAAGGGCCCGGCCCACGAGCCAGGCACCACCTTCCCTGTCCACTCAGTTGTCACCCAACCAGACACCAGTACCCAACTGAGGACACGAAAACGTTGGCTATAAAGAACCAACTACAGAACTGAGCACTTCTGATCCCCGGTCCTAAAACCAAAGCAAGACTGAGAGGTGTACTTTATTATTCTACTCAAAGCGGACATGAATTTCCTGCTTATTCTCAAAAAAAAAAAAAAAAGGGAAAAAATATTTGTACTGCTTTTAGAAATGTCAGATTTTTGTTCCTAGAAGACATCAAAACAGTATTGATTTTCTTCTTTCCCACTGTCCTCTACAACTAGCCACCATCAATTTAGGTTTCGTACAACCAACACTGAAAAGCCAATATCCCTAGGATCAGGTCCACAGGCTCCTGATGGGGGAATCAGTGGCACGGCCGGACAACGGGCGGTTCCCAGCAGCCAGGGGTGTGGGGTGGGCCACAGGTCCACAGAGACAGGCAGCACAGCTGTCTGGCTAAAGCCCTCCCTCCAAACACAACCGACAGGTCACTCTTGTTCCCAGTGGAGCCTGGGATAGAGGACGGCCACCACCATGGAGACGCTGAAGGGCCGAGTACCTTTCTCCACCACGTACAGCCTGATGTGCCCAGGCTGGACAACGATGTCCGGAGGGTTCTTGACGTCGCAGATGTAGGTGCCATTGTGAATGAACTGCATGTTTTCTATGTTGATGGACGCGTCTTTCTTGTCCAGGTCTCCAGCCCAGCTGATTCTGTCCTTAAACGGGGGGTAGTTGCCCAGGTACACTTGTCCTTGGGAGTAGTGGAAGAACTGCAATGGGAGCAAGAGCACAGTGAGCCACGCTCGGTGGCAGAACCCTGGAGCCTGGACGGGCCGCGGTGAGGCTCGGCGGTAGTGCTGGCCTGCATGCACGAGGCCCTGGTTTGATCCCCTTCACCACACATAAGACTCCACACCGAAAGAAATGCCACGCCCACAGCAGGTCTCAGACGCGGAACCCAAGCCAGAGGTGCCCGCCTCTGGAGGCTGAGCCCCAGCCCCCTCTCCAGCGTCCCCATGCTCTTCTCAGACCTGCTTTTAGCAGAGAACTTTCTCAAAGACCTTCAGACCCAGCACCATGGGAAGGGGACCGTCCCGGTGCTCAGATCTAAGCAAGCAGCTTGCTGGGGGCCTCTGCTCTCATTCCTCCTGGACAGGTGACGTGGTGCTGGGGACAGTGACTTGGCAGGTAACCCCACCCACCTCCTGACCTCATAACCACCTCTACTCTGTGAGTGCCCAGGTCCTGGCCTGGCATCAACAGTGTCTCACCTGATGGCCCACCACCTCACAGGTGGCTGCCCTGCCCTCCAAGCTTGTCACCTGCTGTAAACTTCTGCCTACTCCTCTCATCTCGACCGAGGCTGCTGTCTGAACCCTGCTGGGCCTCCATTCCCCCTGCAAGTGTCAGGAGGGGGCTAGCAGGAGGCCTTGGGAAGTGAGGGCTCCACCCTGGGGACAGGCCCATGACATGATAAGGGTCCAACCAAAAGAGCACGTGCTCCTGCCCCTCGGCCCTCGCCAGGTGCTGGGCCCTTGATCTTGGTCTGCCCAGCCTCCAGATCTACAGGAAATAAGCTTCTGTTCCTTACACTTATCCAGCACAAAATGGGCTCAGACAGGAAAGACTCACTCGAGCCACCAGCCTTGGAGCGGTCCTTGATCCTTGCCTTCTTCCCAGGTGACTCCCACCCCGCTGCCGGATCTGCTGTCCCCTGTCCTGTCTCCACATTTCCATAGCAACACCTGAGTCATGCTCATGAGAGTGGCCTCTCAACTGGTGGACTCCAGTCTGAGTGGAGGCTGATCTACCTTCTAGGCTAACTGAGGGCTGGGGCTGGGGCTCAGTGGGAGAGCACTTGCCCTGCAGGTGTGAGGTCCTGGGTTCAATCCACAGCACCACCTAAAAATAAATAAGTAAATAACTAAAGGTATGGTACCCATCTACAACTAAAAAAATTAAAAAAAAAATAAAATAAAATGGCTAAATGATCACCAACAAGCAGAAATAAAATAACTGTTAGTATTGCTATTTATCCAATATATACCCTGCATTTAAGCTGACCCAAATACTCATCAGAAACTGTGAAGGGTCTGAGGTTTTAACCTACTTGCAAACTAACAAATTTCCTGGTGGGATGTGGGAGGGCAGTTCCGGCAAAGACTTCATTCCATGAAGAAGACTCGGAGACGAGCCTTATTATTATTATGTAGGACGCAGCAGGAAGCTTTGATCTGCTCCCCTTGCCTCCAAGACCCCAGGGATGGCCCAGAGGGGCCTGGCCGGACGCTGCACATGCAGAGCCTGCATCACTGCCGAGGAACCCAAGACAGAGCCCAGATCTGTCTGTTGTCTGAGACAGGGTCTTGCTGCGGTCCAGGCTGGTCCTGAACTGGCCAAGTGATCCCCTCCCTAGCCTCCCCGGCGGCTGGGACTACAGGTGTGCCCCGCCACACCCAACCTCAAGTCCGAATCTTCAACAGTGGGCAGAAGGCAAGCCCAGCTCTCACCCGAAGGACACAGCGTCTTCACTACACTGGGCAGTAGGCAAATGTGTCCTCCCTCCAGAGGGGAACAGTGTCGGTCTTCCAAAGCCAGTCACCTACCAAGAAACTCCAGAACAAGGCACCGTGCTCTGCTCCCAGCCACGCAGAAACAGGAGGAATGCGCGCCTCCTTGCCTGACACTCACTCCCATGGCCACCCTGGAACTTCAGCAGAAACACAGCGACCTGCCCAAGGTCACAGGCCCTCCCGATGGAATTCAACCTAGCTTCGATGCCAAGGCTCATGCTCTTCCATTACTGAATGCCTCTCAGGACTGGTCACGTCTTGCCTGCTCAAAGCCCTTCACTCTCTTCTTTGCCAGGAAATAAACAAACTCTCAACCCAGGAAACAAGCCCTTCCCGCAGGAAGTCTGCCTCCCTCCCCACAGCATCTCTGCCCTTGCCTGGCATTTCTGGGCCAGCAGTGGTAGCAGCTCTGCGATGCTGCCCACGGCCGCCTTCTGAGTGGGTTCTCTTGGCGAGTGTCCTGTATTGGACTGTGACCTTAGAAGACAGGGGACGAGATGTGCTTCTCTGCACTCCTTAGCACACAGCAGGAATCACGTTTGTGAACTGAATTGATGAAGACGACCTTGGTCAAACCAGTGAAAGACAGGAATAAAACAGTAAAAATTCACAAGAAAAACCAGGCCTCATTTTCAACCAGTATTTAAAAAGTTCAAGCTGTAGGTTGTAAGACAGGTCTATCTCCTCTCAAAACACCTGTTTTCACTGTATTCAGCTGGGGCATCTGGAGGGAAGGACGGCACAAGGCTGGAGCTCAGGAGGAGGGAAACAGAGCATGAAGGGATGAGGTGGGAAGGGAGCGGGCCAGAGCTCCACACCGACTGCTCCAGAGAGCACACGAGCCGAGGGGGAAGGAGAGGCAGGGAAGGGCAAGTGCGCGTCAGACGCGGGACCCAGGTCCACAGACCAGGAGAGCCGTCCGCGTCAGACGTGGGACCCAGGTCCACAGACCAGGAGAGCCGTCCGCGACAGACGCGGGGACCCAGGTCCACGGACCAGGAGAGCCGTCCATGACAGACGCGGGGACCTAGGTCCACGGACCAGGAGAGCCATCCGAGGTGTGCTGGGCCCTAACAAGGGCTACCTGCTCCCTGATTGAATGTGTCCTAGTATTTTAGAAATAAAGAAGATGTTGGAATTTGCCTTCCGATATGTGACCACAATTCTAGATGATGCTAAAATTTATTCCAGCCATGCTAAGAAAGCTACTGTTGATGCAGATGACGTGCGATTGGCAATCCAGTGTCGAGGTGACCAGTCTTTTACCTCTCCTCCCCCGAGAGATTTTTTATTAGATATTGCAAGGCAAAGAAATCAAACCCCTTTGCCATTGATCAAGCCATATTCGGGTCCTAGATTGCCTCCTGATAGATATTGCCTAACAGCTCCAAACTATAGGCTCAAGTCTTTACAAAAGAAAGCATCTACTTCTGCAGGAAGAATAACAGTACCACGGTTAAGTGTTGGTTCAGTTACTAGCAGACCAAGTACTCCCACACTAGGCACACCAACCCCACAAACCATGTCTGTTTCAACTAAGGTAGGGACTCCAATGTCTCTAACAGGGCAAAGGTTTACAGTACAGATGCCTACTTCACAGTCCCCTGCTGTAAAAGCCTCAAGTCCTGCAACATCAGCAGTTCAGAATGTTCTGATTAATCCATCATTAATTGGGTCCAAAAACATTCTTATTACTACTAATATGGTATCCTCACAAAATACTGCCAATGAATCATCAAATGCATTGAAAAGAAAACGTGACGATGATGATGACGATAATGACTATGATAATTTGTAATCTGGCTTTGATGCATGTAACCTGTAAAACTTGGTCTTAAATCCATTGTACCGAAATTAAAGAAGCATACTGGATGTTTTCAAGTTGTGTGTTAGAAAACTTAAGTAGTATTTAATGAGTAAATAATAGTTCTTATTCTTAATTGCAATGTTGGATTTTCTTTAATAGGACCAGTAATGGTTTTTCATCAGCCTTTATGTGTAAAAAATAAAGTTGTTAATTGATTTGTTTGGCAAAAAAAAAAAAAAAAAAAGAATCCTTTAATCAGTAACTGCATTCTGTAGTTAACTGTGAGTATAAACTGATGAGGTAAGAATGTGAACCAGAAACGATCTTATTTGTGGGGGGGGACTGAGGATTGAACCCAGGGCTGCTCTACCATGGAGCTCTACTCCAGGCTTCATTATAGTTTGAGACAGGTCTTGCTAAGTTGCTGAGGCTGGATTTGAACTCGTGATCCTTCTGCTTCAGCCTCCCAAGCTGCTGGGATGACAGGTGTGCAGCACCTCACTGGCTCCAGCAATGCTCTTAACATTACGCCTTGGATTATGCAGATCTTCAACCCACACAACAGGGATAATTCCAGCGCTGGGGTACTGCTCGGTGGTTCCTTCCCCTTTCTCCTCCTCCGTCCCCCTCTCCTCTCTTTTGTAGCACTGTGTGTTGAACTCAGGAGCATTCAACCACTACGCTGCATGCCCAGCCCTTTTTATTTTATTTTGAGATAGGTCTTTCCAAACTGCTGTGGCTGGCCTTGAACTCGTGATCCTCCTGTGCAGCTCCTGAGTGGCAGGATGGCCGTGTGGCTGGCCTGCTTTATTGTCTATGAACTGAACAACTCCCTGTTCAGAGGATAGCAGAGGGAAGGCCGCACAAGTTGGCTGCAGTCTGTTGAGAGAACACATGCATGGAGTCTGCCCTCCTGCGATGCTGATGGCTGTGCCCCTCGCCCTGTCTAGAGCAGCTGAATGACTCCATCACTGGTCTTGAGACCTCTACATGGAGTCTGCTCTCACCCTTATAGCTACCTGAGGGGAGGCTCCTTGCAGAGACCTCTAGGCCATGCCTTCTGCACTCTGTCCCACCCAAAAGCACACCCACATGGCCCGGTGAGGAAGCTGAATGAATCTGACACCCTGACTCTACCTCACCCTTCCCCGCCTCCCACACAGGCCACTCAGTGGTCCTCCTCTTCTAAGTCCTGGAATCTGCAAAACAGGTTTAGGTCCTAGTGCAGGGCAACAGCTTTCACCTGGGGGACAGAGGTCATAGCTTTGGCAATACCACATGCAAAAATTAAGCCCATTGGCCAGACAGAATGGTGTTTTTCTTCCACTCGCTAGGACTATCTTGTATGTACTTGAAGTTTCCCCAGAGGAGACCCTGAGCAGCTCATGGTCTATAGACAAGGGACTGGCAATCCTCTGTCCCTTCAGCAATGGCAGAGGGCACATTCTCAACACCAGGAAGTTAAGTCCCGAAACCACGGCCTTAGGCAACCCCCATAGCCAGCAGGCGGTCACTGCTGCCGGCCTTTCCATCCGAGCTCCAGGGGGAGATGTGGGCACTTCTTGCTACGTCAGGGCACGGCTGGGGGCACTGCCCGGTGAGATGGACCAGATCTTCCCTCTTCCTCTTCTCTGGAGCCCTAGGGCCATGGAGAGCTCCACCTTGTGATGGCACCCCAGCTCCTCTCACTCCATTGACGCAGGAACACAAGTCACATTCCCAGCACGTGGACTTTGTGATGTTCAAACCACGGTGCTTCTCTGGGTGTTCTTACTTAAGGATGAACGACGGACTCTGTCCCTGCAAAGTGCTCACAACCTAAAATGTGTGGCACTGCTAAAGTAGGGGCGAAGTTCCAAGGACATGTGACAGGACAACAGGAACACAACAAGGTGCATGGGGGTGGTGCCTCGAGGGTCTGCTCCCCAGGTCCTCCTGACGACCTTCCTCCTCCAGCGCCCCATGTCAGAGCATCACCTCCACTTTACAGACCTCCGGCCCAGGTCTAATAAGCACCCACCCTGCACCCGTCCAATTTCTAACTAACCCCCCACCCAGGCCCTGCCTGTTCCACCCTCAGCTGCCTCTCCAGGCGTCCACAGGTGAGAGGAAAGCCATGCTGGGACCTTTCCTGAAGACCCTACACGCCTGTCGCACGGTCAGCCTGTGGGCTCAGGAGGAGGTGGGAGGGGAGCAAGGCGAATGCCTAAAACAGCCGAAATGGAAACCGGGCAAGTGGGCTTCAGGCACACCACAACCAGGGACCGCAGTCAGCTCAGGCCACCCTGCAGGGAAGAGGACTTCACAACAGGGCTTGACCATGGAAGGGCGTGGGAAGTGGGCACCAGGAGCAGGACAGATGCAGCTCATGTTCTCCTGGAGTACAGCCTGCAGCCTACAGCAGACCAGGACCACACTCATCCTGGAAAAGGACAGTCGAAGAATGGACTGTCCTCACAGGACAGCAGGACAGAAGCCTGCAGCAGGCCTGGTGGGGCAGAGGGCACTCCTACCGACACTGTGGTGTCAGCCCCCTCGGGCTGGAAGCTCCAGGAGACGGACGTCAACCCGCCGGTCACGTTAGTGGACTTGAACTTGCACGGCAGCTTCCCTTGCGTCCCGTTTGCCACAAAGATTTCTTTGGGTGTGTACACCTCCAAGGCCGACACACCAGCTGTCCCTGGAGAGAAGGAAAGCACAGGAGTGAGGCTTGGTGTGACTACCACGTGCACACTCACCAGATGACACAGAAGACACAAGGAGGTTGGCAGACACAGGAACTCACTGCTGTCACACCACACTGCAGAGCAGGGTGGTGCACGCCCCTGCGCCCAGTGACTCAGGAGGCCGGGGCAGGGCAAGCAAGCTCCACATACCCATGGAACCTGTCTCAAAACTAAAACTAAAAAAGTAAAACAGGGGCTGGAATGTAGCTCAGTGGCAAAGCGTCTGCCTTGCATTTGCAAAACCCTGGGTTTGACCACCAGTTCCAAAAAAAAAAAAAAGAATCCCACCAAAAAAATAAGAAAAGCAAAACAGAACTATACGTTTGCTGGCACGTAAAGATTTCCTACAGAGTAACTGCTGATGGTCTTAAGTTTTTAAAGGTTTTTTGTTTTGTTTTTTTTTTTTTTGGTTTTTTGGTACTCTCTTTTTTAAATTTTTTGACAGCAGAATGCTTTACAATTCCTATTACACATATAGAGCACAATTTTTCATCTCTGTGTAAGTTTTATCAGTTTTACTAAATCTAACATGTATGTTTTCAGAACTAACAGACATTTTTTTTTTGCATCTATAGAAAGCTTTTATTTGTTCAAAGTAACCAGTGCTACTGATGCAAAACAAAAAATAAAACCCAACAACTCCCCAATACTACTTTCAAAACCAACATATCAAACTTGATTTTCATTAGAATGTAGTTATTTTTTCACACTAGTAAATCAAAAACCAAGACCCATATTTTATATTATATATATATATATAAAACAATGCAAATAGTTATTGAGCTTCATCTTCTGGACAAGAATGCCAAGTTAGTTTCTCTTCATAAAAAGCAATTACAATTTGAGGACACTTCATATTTGCTTCTTTTGCCAGCACCAAGTCTGCCTCATCTGAATCTTTCCATTTCATAAGAAACATCAATTCTCCACTGCTGTCTGTGGCACCAATTATTCGTTCAGGATCAAGACCTCTGGCAAAGCCTCTTGGTTTGTCAGCAGCATCTCTTTTCTTCTTTGACTTGCTATCATCAGATTCGCTGTCAGATAAAGATTTTCTTTTGGTACCATCTTTTTCTTTACAAGCTTTTTGAGAATTAAGAAATGCTTCAATTAACTCTGGGCAATCTAAATTTTCTTCAGGTTCCCAAGTATTGTCAGCATCTGTAAATCCTTTCCACTTCAGAAAGTATTCCACCTTTCCATTTACTACACGTCGGTCTAGGACTTTTTCTACCACAAATTCTTCAGGCTCTGCCTCTTCAACTTTTTTACTCTTTTCATTCTGTTTCTTTCCCATTTTTTGCTTTGTACGCTTATGATTATTATTAATGCAATGTGTTATAATTAACACATCTAAATAGACATGTTCTTACACTTTTGCACAGCCAATGTAGTCTTATTGGAGGCCATTTTTTAAAATTGCAGACTTGAAGAGCTACACTCCGATGCTCCAGGTCGCGGATCTGCAGCGTCTCCAGCCCTGCGCGCCTCAAGCTCGAGTCACATCAGACGGGGACTAACATTTTAAAAGCAGTTTTAGGTTTACAGATTAAATGGGAAGTGGAGAATTCTTGCAATGACCCCCCGGCTCCCGTTAGTCACATTGTTCTCGGCTGGTCAGCAAGCCCATCACAGCACTGCTGACTAAGGCCCACAGCTCACATGAGGGCCACTCTGTGTGTACTCTTTGGAGACGATGACATGTTTCCACTGTCACAGTGCCACACAGAGCATCTCTACAGCTGGGCCCTGGTTCACTGCCCCCAAGTCCCTGGCGACCTTTCTCGGCCTGTTTCTACCTTTGCCAGACGCTCTACAGCTGGCACCAGCGTGTAGCCTTCTCAGACAGCCCCTCCCAGCTGGCCGAGTTCACTTCCACTCCCGCGTGGCCTCTGTGGCATGGTGTCCCTGGCGCATGGAGTTCCAGAATTCTCCTTCACCCACTGAGAGCCGGCAGCTGCCCCCGTGGCCTGTCTGTGGCAAAGTGAGGCACATCCTACTCCTCTAAGCAGCTCTCAGATTTGCACTGTGACCCCAGGAACTTTCTTCACCTACATTTAAAGCACTGGACTATATGTTTTTAAGCTAAGAATTTTAGGGCCATATATGTTTCTTTCTAACCTTCACTTAGTTTGAGTCTGTTTTTTTGAGTGAAGATTCCCATTTTAGCAGCAATCCATACTAGTTCCTGCAGTGGCCTCTGATTCCAGATCCTGAGAACAGAGCTGTGTTCATGCAGCCAGCGATGGGTGTTTTCGCTGCCATGTCCTGGGCTCAGGCTAGTGGAAAAGCTTCAGTGGGCAAAACACATGCTGGCGCACTGAGCTGGGCTGCTCCTTGAGGCTCTTTAAAATTCTTGGCTTAAACTCACCCAGCCCTTCAAAATAAGATATTTTAAAAGAAGCTGTTGGTAGTGAATATGTGCAATGTTCTGATGATTCTTAAAATGTAACAGGCAGGAAAGGAGCAGTACTGTCGCCAGGACTGATGGTCAGTTTCAGAATCTTACTGAGGCCTTAAGGATGATTCTGGCCAGGGAGAAGAGGGCACTCCCCCATTCCTCCCAACCATCTTCCAAATATTTATTCTCAGGACACAATGGGCACTTTTTGGCTATTCTTTTAAATAAACTGATAGCCACACTACATCAAGCAGATTTTTTTCTGCTAAAAGAGGGTGGATTATTATTATAGGGAACAATAGATTATTATTTGTGGTCCAAACCTCAAAACAAGCCCTTCTGTCAGACCAGAAGCAAACAAAAGAAGTCCCTTGCTATTGTGGGTAGGCAGAAAAGCAGCCCCGGGCACTGGAGTTCAGAACCAAGCAGGAAGCCAGGAGAGCCGGTTAACTAGTTCATGTAGGAAGGGGCTAGTTAGCAGCCCTGACTCACTCTGCCCTGTTGACTGGTTGTCTCCACAGAGAGCCCTGCAAGGAAAGCCAGGCTCTAAAGTCCACAAACAAGTTTCCTAGGGATTCTTGAGCCAGATCAAGGCCTGGCTGCAGAGCTGTGGGCTCGAGGCCAAGCAGCCACGTTTACAGTTAATGATTTTGAGCAGAAAGACTATCCAATATGCCTAACCGGCTTTAGGCACTCTAGGCTTGACCTAGTTGCACCAAAGCTGGTTACCATTTGAACCACCCCATCACTCTGGCTAATGGGAACACGCAGCTCTTGGAGCCAGGACTGAGTCCAAATCTAGACGATCGGCTAGTTCCAGAAAGAGGAAGGGACTCCGACCAGTCAGCCCACTTCCCTCATCCCCTGCTGACATCCTCCTCCCCAGGGCGCTCTGGCTGCCCTGGCCATTAGCCCTGGCCATTAGTCAGCTCCTGGTTTCCCTGTTTACCTTCCCTTTTCTGGTGATCTGGCTAAGACTGGGCCTACCCCAGCCGGTCACCCCAATGGCCACACCTAACCCGGGTTTTTCTGGCTCGGCATTGCTGACAACTGGGTCAGACGGTGCTGTGTTGTAGGGGAGTGTGTGGAGCACAGTCAAGTGTCGGGACTGTGACGGTAGCCTTTCTTCTGCCCCAGGCTGTGGCAGCCGCAGCTGGGTCCCGGTGCTCCAGACTCTGTGTCAGGGCCTGCATCCTCGCCACTCCGCACAGTCAGGCTTCCCAGTGTCCCTGACACCTGGCTCACTGATCCTGCTGCCAGGTCTGAAGCTAAAGCCCACCGTCCCCCAGCCACCCCAGCATCGGCACACGCTCCCCAAGTCCTCCTCCTGTGTGCACTGCTTCCCTGCCCACCCTCCAAAGCACACAGCCACAGGGCGGGCTTCACCCTCCACAGGCGGTCGCTGACCTCCAGGAGACCCTGCCTTTCTCACCTGGCGTGGGATAACCTGCAACTCCTGCATACCAAGTGTGCGTCGGCCACTCCCAACAGCCCTGCCTCTCATGGAGGCTCCTAACGCGCCCAGCAGTCCAACCACATGTCCCATCCACCCATCACTGCAGCCAGACCAGGGACAGTGCCTGGATCTAGCTGGCCAGACTCAGCTGCCCACCAGCCGAATAAGCAAGCCAAGGATGTAAAAAGGAAAAGCGAATTTCATGCAGCTTGATCGAACCAGGAGAAGCAGCTAAATTTCTCTGCCTGTCCCTCAGATTCGGTTCTGTCTCACTGCAACAAAAGCCAGTGACACCCACATGGAGATTCGCCAGGCTGTGCCGGCCAGAGAACATCAAGTTGAGCTTCCCTGGCAGCAGGCAGGCCAGAGGGTACTTTTCGCGTTTTCATTCTCGGCATGAGGCAATCTGGGATGCAGAAAAGCCCTTCCCAGCCCACTTTCCTCCACATCTCCACCTCTGCCAGCTTGTCCTTCTTGCTACTGACTGACTTCCTGTTTCCCTGAGAAACCCGAACACCGGGAAGGGAACTTCTCACACCCCCAAGCCACCTCTGCCCCCACAGCATCTGCCCACAGGTCCTGCCTTCCCGCCACGTGCAAGCGGGTGGTCTCTGCGGAGCCACCTGCAGCTCCTCTGCCCTGCCACCTGAGGACGCCGATCCGGCAATTCTCCCTCTTGCCCCTGACCTTTCCTTTGGCTGTGAAGTCATCACTGCCAGCCATTTAAGTGCCACATTCACACTCAATCCCAGTTTTAAGGGCAAAGCTCAACCCTGCAGCTGTGGCCCTTTCGTCCTCTATTTACAAATCTAAAAAGAGCTGTGTGCCCTGCTCACCGTGTCCAGTCTCCCATTTTCTCCTGAACGTGGATATTCAGCCTTCACCTCCACGACCACACTGGCGACTACACTGGCGCTGTCCTTCTCAGGGGCTGCCGCGACCTCCAGGTGGTTAGATCAGGGTTCCTTCTCAGCTCGCCTTACAGACCTACTTCTGGATCCCGCTCCCCCTTGATTCTATTCCTCTCCTATTGCCGCTCCTTCCCTGCTCTCCCTGACCTCCTCTGTCCCCGTCATTCCCTGAGCACTAGTCACACTCCTCTGCTCGTTCACCCAGGCTCAGACTCCGAGCAGCTCCACATGCCAAGCACACCCTTCGCCACGTACCAGCGTCACTTGGCTGAACTGACGCTGCCTCAAACTCAGCTCCTGAGTCCCGCCCCTCAATGTACCTTCCCACCGTCCTCTCCCTCAGCACATGGCAACCAGCCTTCCGGGGGCTGGGACCCTTCCCTGACTCCTCCTGCTCACCACGGCCTCCAAAGCTGTGGGCAAAACAGATGATCTCTACTGAGACCCGTGCCTAGAGCACGAGGCTCCCTGCCCCACCCAGTCGTGGTCTTGCTCGTGGACTGCTGCAGGGCCTTACCCACTGGGCCCGGTGGTCCACAGGGCCAGAGGCATGATGAGAGAGTCACATGTTAGATCCTGTCTCTGCTCAAGCTTTCCACGGCTCCCACATGGGGATGGGCTCAGTCCTTGCATTCTGCGGCCAAGTCTCGCAGACCTCTCAGACTTCGTCTCCCACCATCCTACTCGGGCTCCAGCAACCACCTTGGTCACCTTGTGGTGAAGGCGACCACTGACTAAGGTACCTCAGGACAGAGGGTGCTGTGGACGGGGAGACTGGGAGCCCTGGGACACTGGGACACTATGGGGGACAAGGAAGAGAATGCCTCAGGTAGGGAGGGTTCCGTGGGAACGCTTGCTTCAAGGTGCACGTGGTTTCCATGCACCTCACGGTCTGCAGAATCCAAACGCCTTTTCTTCTCTCCTTGTGGTGCTCAGGATTGAACCCAAGGCCTCGTGCGTACTAGCAAGCACTTCACCACCATGCTGTACCCCCAGCCTGGAATCCAAAGGACTTTGGCCAAGCTCACTGCTGCAGTCCCTGACCAAGTGCATGTGACCGTGAACAGCATCTGTTAGAGATGCTCTCCTGTGTGGGAAAGAGAAACTGCACACAGGTTTCCCCCTCAGCCTGCATTCCATGCAGCGAAAGCAAGGGACGATGTCACTGGTTTCCTAAACAATGGGGAATGGTGCACTTTGTCCAGCCCACCCCCACCTTCTTAAGTGACTGAGAGTATTATGGAAGTACATAGTGAAAGTATTGTGGATTCAGGCAGCTCCCCTCAGAGCCATAAAAGGGAGGTTTTACGGGCTCATTAAAATGGTGAAAATGCAAACATAAAGAACACTGAGATATACAGAAAGTACTGTTCTAATCTACATTCCATGTCACTGAAGACTGGAATCCCAGTCTGAATAAGACATACAACAGATTCTTTTCAAGCCTAGGATTTGCAATTATGGCACAGTGGCCAAGAAGGCTGTGACATGATTCCAGCCTTGGCCCAGAACCTCACAGAGAGAAGAAGCAAGCTTCCTGCTGACTTCTGGGAAAACCAGCAGCCTAGGGAATGAAGTGAAATGAGAATTGACGGCCAGCTCCAGGTCCTCCTTACACATAAGCCCCCGTACGTAGGAGCCCCTGCGTGGTGACGTGGGGGGGGCCTGCTTTCTCCCTGGGCCTTCTCCCAGGAGCAGAAGT